ATGGAGTATACTAATAAGCCAAAATATACAGTCAATCACAAATACACATTATTCTATTTTCCCATACAGAACAATGATTATGATGATGATGACAAAACATCAACTATTCACAATCAATCCTATTGAGAATAACTATTGTGAAGACTCTTGTTTGTTAATACTGCTCATTCCTTCTCTCAGCTTATAACACGAACTAGCAACATTATTAGTTGTCACATTTAGAATGTGAATTCATTATGGGCTTTGATACGATTCATATCACACAATATGCACCAAAATGAAACAATACACATTTGTTGTTATTCTATTCCAAATATTCATTGTCCAAGTATTGATTCAAAGTATCTCGAGACTTTAGTATACAGATTAGTCATATATCAAAGGAAATACAACAATACTTGTGGTAGATGACTGATTCATCCTTCCTATTTCTATTGATGAGTTCATCCATATTTGATACATGTCACATAACAAAAATGATCCTATTTTCACAATAACAAACAGCTCTTTCGATCAATAATAATATGATTTATCAACTTGTAGCCATCTTAAACCTCATTAATATGGAACAATAGTAGTAAGAAAATGGCACTATTTGCGTGAAACCTGGTGGCAGTTTTCTGTATATGCTATTTTGCTCCATGACCACAATTGCGATCCTTTGTCCATCGTTGTAATCCACCAACCGATTCTGAGTCCTCGACTATCGTTCCTAGGCTGTCTGGTCGACAATCATCGGTCAGGAACCAGGTTTCGTGCTTTCTTATGCCAATTCCTTTCTACTATCAACCTAGTGCTCGTTTCTATTGTTGTGTTTGTTGTATCAGTTATACTTGGATGCAAGAAAGCAATAGACGTACCTAGCTAAGGTGAATTATTGTTATTTCTCTCGTATTTACATGTTTGTTTGCTTATTTGTAATGACCGAAAGCCAATATGTGTACATTGTCATCACAAATCCATCTATTGTTGTCTGTGCAAGTCATAAGTGTTTTTGATAAAGAGAGAACATGCATTATTCCATTCTCATACAAGATTCACCTATCAATGGTTCATTCGAATGGATTAATCTTTACAAGTTCAGAAATCCATTTATCACTTCCATGATTGTTCTATTCAAACCCAACCAAGTCATGTTCAATATTGTGGACTCAATCAATGTGGTGACAAACACCAATGGTGAAGAGGTAACAATCTCGCCTGGTTATTATACACTGAGTGAAATCATTGCCATTCTGAACACCATGATTAATACTACATTCTCAATTTCCACAATGGATACAAGTTATGAGTGTATTTGGATCCAGTCTCCATACTCTATCGATTCCACGAGGTACATATGATATCGAAACGATCATTGCAATGTTGAATGTGAGTGATGCTCTATTTGAAGTAGTGTATAGTGGAGAAAATGCATTTCGAGTCTATAACCAGTTTGTGATTCTTCCTTTGATACAACTCATTCATTCCTTGAATAAAGTGATTCATTTATCGAGGTGTGTGGGGAGCATGAATGAGATCAAGGAACTATGGAAACCAGCAAAACGAAGAGGTGCTACTCGAGTGATCATCAATGGATTCAAGGGAAACATATACTTCATCGATCTCATCGATTTCTCTTCCAAACAAGACAAATCGATACAGAAAGTGTTGGGATCACAAAAGAGTACCGGATTCTCCAAGAATCGTGGATACAAATATGTCCTTGTATGTATTGATGAATATTCGAAATACCTGATGACTCGGAAACTGAAGAGCAAGAGTGCTACAGAAGTCACGCATGCGATGAAGGATATCATTCAAACATATGGTGAATCACCAAAGCATAGTTGCTCGGATCGAGGTACCGAATTCACCAATGCCATCTTTCGTACCAACATCTTGAACAAGTATGACATCACCATGTATCACATGGATTCAGCGAATAAGGCAGTACTAGCCGAAAGAGCAATTCGAGATATCAAGGAACACATCATGGTTCCTTCCTTCCATTCAATCAATCAATGGAAAGGTGTATGGTTCGATTTGATCGATGGTGCAGTTCGTAGACATAATGCAAGGAAGAACAGAGACATCGGATATACACCCAATGACATTTGGCTTAACAGCAACAACGATATCTTGTACACGGAGAAAACAGAACCATCCAACATGACAGCAAAAGAACACAACACCTCAATTCAAGGTGGGTGATTATGTTGGAGTGACACGAAGACCTCGCATTCTGGAAAAGCGATCATTGACGAACAAATGGTCTCAGGACTTGGTTGAAGTTGTTGACATTGACGATCACATCATGCCATTGATGTACGAAGTGAAGAATGTGGAAAGCGATAGCACACAGAAGTGTTATGATTGGGAACTGCTGGCAAGCAAATGCAAACCACAACCAACACCACCCATCACTCGATCCAAGAGTGGTAAGGAAGCCAATGCATTGAGAGAGGCAGCAAGATCACATCGACCCATGACGAGCACCCAGAAGAAGAAGAAGCAACAACCTCGCTCAGATGTTCGAAAACGATCGTGATGCTCTTCACATCTCCCAGACATACAAGAGAAGGGATATTCGTGAATGCAGAGATCGTATGACTCTCACTTGTCCATTTTATTCCATTTATCAGTTTGGTATGGGAAAGGGTCACAAGATTGTTGAGCATATCGATGAATGGCACATCGAGCAATCACACACCATCCATTGAAACACTCACCTTATATCCCTTACCCACAACCGATTCGATGGAATCATAATGTTTGAATAGGGCATAATTCTCATTGTAACATGGAATCGATGTGATTATCAGATATAAAGCAGAAGATAATTGGAATTGGCATTGATTATTGAATGGTTGAGTGGATGTGGGTGTATGTTCAAACAGTGTGGCATTATTGACTTTCACAAAACACCCAGAAGGTATCGTCCATGAATATTGAGGAACGCCATCCACTGTCTCATGCACGATGACATATTTGCCATCGTTCTCTGGCATGTTGATGAGCATGTTATCGAGCTTCTTGAACGTGTAATTGTTTCCATTGCTGCTGAATATGTACGACATTGATTCAATTTACTTTGGTTGATTTGGTTCATAGGGTTTTGTCATACACACCCTTCAGACAAGCTCCATTCATATTCGAGTATGTGAACATGCTGAGTGAGAAACGAGCCAAATCCAACACCATTGTGGAGAAGATCCTCTACAAGCTGTTGGTAAACTCGACATTTGGCAAATATGTGGCGACTGGATTGAAACGAATGAAAGTGAAGTTCGCCACCACATGGAATGACCACGAGGCCATTATTCAGAAGCATGGATATGATAGAACCGCCGGGGACCACCATGTACTCCGAGAATCTGATCGGTATCAAACTGAATACAGAGGTGAGGAAAATGGTACAACCGTTCTTCATCGGGTTCGCTATTCTCGACATGTACAAACACATCATCTACGATTTCTACTACAATGTCCTCAAGACGACATTCGATAACGTTGAGTTACTAGGACAAGACACGGATTCACTCGTCGTGTAATTGAATGGCAAGGGTATTATCGTTCACAAGATGTGTGACATGTACAAGTCATTCCATTTCTGGGAACTTGATAACACGAACATCTTCTATGAACAACTCGTGAACTACTACGAACGGGAAGTGGAAAAGAGCAAGTTCCCTTCGTCGTCCTCGTTTTTCAACTCCAACAAGAAACTGCCGGGGACCCATCTTCAAGGGCGAGCATAACGGACATCGCATCACGGAATTTGTTGGTTTGAGACCCAAGATGAATTGTCTAGTGGATGAGAAAAATGTAGTACACAATGCGACAAAAAGTATTCCACGGAATTTAGTAATCGATGGTGAGAGAATGAGCGTGAAGAACATTGATTTGTACAAGCGTGTAGTTGAGGCCAAGATGAAGGGAGATGTAATCATCGAGGACAGTTTAAAACGCATCAACTATTAAAAATTCGATATCAACACCAAGTATCAAAATGAGACACTCATGACGTACATGGACATCAAGAGATAGATTTGTGACGATATTGTACATACACTAGTATTGGAACATTACCGATTGGCTGATAAGCAAAGACAAACTAACAAGTATTCACTTAGCCATCGGTCAAATAATATCGTGTTATACACGTCGTCGATGTTTCGGGTAAGCAACATAAGCTAAGGTTAACCTTTTGCACCTTATTTCTAATGAAGGGTCGAAAATACAAGTTGTCCAGGGTCAGCAACGGCGAGGAATGGAAGATGGGGTCTGAGGGGAGACTTTGGTCGAAAAAAGTTAAAAAGGCAGAAAGAGATTCGCATAATAAACGTCAATACATAACTGGTCACTCACTCACTTACTCATTGTTTATGTTTAATAACAAATAGCAGAACTTTTCCTGAAGCATTTTGAATCGTACTGCTTTAATCAGTATGAACCAACTGTGTGTTGATTATTAATACGGTAAAAACACATAATCAAACCAAATGTTTTACACAAACAATCGATTATGCATACAGCAATGTATCTCTCTCTGTTCTTTCTTTCGCAGCCTGAAGCTTCTTCTTCGAAAACCGTGCAATATACACGATGCAAATAATCGCCAGAACGCCCAGCAGTATAAACAACAACACATACATCGGACGCAAGTCATGCCTTTCAATACATCCGTGATACGTAATACGATCAAACTTGTGTGTCGAGTGCATTAAATAGTCCTCTACATGACACACCAAATCATGTCTCACCGGTGAAGGTCAAATCGATCGTTTCCACAGAGCCGATAACGTTGCGATAGGAAGCCATTGCATCACCCCCCGTTTCATTAAAACACTGAATATCACTATAATAAAAAACTCAAGAAGAGCGATAAGGAGGTACCCAATCTGATAATCAACGTAAGTCTGCAATGGAGAACTACACTGCCACTTCGAGTAATACTCAGCATTCATAAATCGAATTGTGACCCCGAAGTATTCTATGTCGCCTGTAATGTCTTTCATTTAACTAAATGCACCACAAATTACGTGTCTTATTGCCTTGGAGCTCCCCCTTTCTACAGATTAATAACCCAATTGAAACCAACACTCTACCATCAAATGTAACGACCATATCTATCATTTCGCCACAAGTTTCCTGTAAATACACATAGTGATACAGCAAAAGATTCGTAGGCAGTTCTTCAATATTGCCATACAATGTGAGTACCACTTTATGGTCTAATTTTAAAGATAAGTCACTCTTTTACAATCCCAACACTCAGAGATAAATGTACCGCAATCTATAGTGTTATGATCATCAAAACCGCCCTTACTAATGCTTCCATAGTCTTGTTTTCTGAAAGGGGACATTTCCACATTACCCTCTTCTTTTTTATCATTTGCACTGTATTTCAATTGAAGTGCCTGTACAGCAACTAAAGCCAACAAGCAGAGTAAAACCTTCATGTGATGAACAAAACAGTATGTACTGTTCTTTTTTTGTTGTACCTAGCAAACCATTTACTTCTGGACCGCTTTTCGTAGCGTAACGCTGTTTCTTACACACACACATTCAAGTTACAAACAAACACACGACCAACCTGTATCTAGCAGATTACCTTTATTTATTCCTTTTCTTGCATAAGCTGAGCAGCCGTCTTAAATTCCCCTACTGGATCCCACTTCGTTGGCATGTTTTTACTCGTGATTTGAAACAGCCTTCTGTTTACTGTCATCGCCTACACATCTCCACACAACACTATTCTAACTGTTTGTCGCTGAGTTTTCCACTGCGTCTGTAATCGATCAAACTCTTCCTGTTGCTCGTTCTTCTCAAGCAGCAATAGGTCGAGCTCTTCATCTCGCTCTTGATTCTGCTTGGTGATCCGTTCTAACTCGTCTTCGAGTTGTGCAATGGTGTGGTTCTACTCATTGTTTCGTATGCTTGCAAACGAACTTGAATTGCAAACCACTCCGTTGATTCTTCTGCTTCAGATCGTACACGTTTCTCTAAGTATTGGGACCAAGCATCTTGCTCGTTCTGTAATAACGTTTTGTAGAGAGTTTGTTTCTGATCGAGCTCGTGTTTTCGTTGCTGTAGGTGTCGAAGCCCTAGTTTCGAAGGATTCCATTGCTGCACTACTTGTCTGGCGTTTGACGTATTCAGCGGAGAGTTCTCTTAGCTCATGTTTACATTGCTTTGTATGGTGTTCGATTTCGCAGTTCACTATTCATTATCAGCATCGGCATTCCTACTGTATTCAATTGAACTGAGTTGCAGCTGATTCCGTTCCAAGACTTCCTGAGCTAGTCTAATAACTCACTAAATTGACTACCTTTCTCGAGTCGTTCCTTCTCTTTTTCGAGTAGTTGCTCCTTTTCTTCTAGAATCCTCTGACTCTTGGAGATGTGCAAATTCAACTCATCCACCTTTGCTAAAAACTGACTATTCATACCACACAAACACCAACCTCTTCGATCATAGAAGATTGATCCATTTTTGTGAATAATCGTCATTTCCCTCCATCTCTCCAATTTCCTTCTGTAAAGATTTCCTTACAACCATTTCGATTATTCGTATTTCCTTCATAATTGTAATGGGTTACCGAGGTCGTCATTACTCCGAGAGCTCCAGCTCCAGCCGTTCGCGCTCTAGATCTCGAGAAGCAAGGGACTCTCATTCAAAACATAGCCGATCTCGTTCTTCACATTCTCACCGAAATCCTCTGAATCGAGATGCGTATGTTGACTCTCTTTATAAATTTATTACATTAGGTACGATAAATTTGGAAGAAACATTCTTTTAGACAGCGACTCAAGTCAGGACGAACGAAACGAGAAAAGAGACATGTCTAAGACTCGAAGACAAGATAGTGATATGGATGACGTTGGTTTTGGAGATGACATGGATGGTTTTGCCATTGATCTCAACGAATCTGGTTATCAATCGAGTAGAGCAAATCCTCGTGAAAAAGATTCACTTCTGAAGAAGATGAGGATTCCAGAGATCAACAACATTCACAAGGCAGTTATTAAAAGCAATCTCGCGTTCGGTTCTTTTGCTAGAGTAAAACAGCCTACATACGCTAATCGAATAGATACCTGAATATGCCTTCGATGGTCTAATCTACACAAGCAACTATATTCCTGACCATCCTGCTCCCCGCGAGGGACAGGAAGTATGGGTGAAGGTACTACGCGTTTTTGAGTCGGAAAACAAAGTGAAGTTGGTGATGGGCTGTGGCTTCTTTGATAGAATGTCGCTCTCCATGAAGGAATGCAATCAGCAGACCGGAAAAGATTTGAATCCGAGCAACAATCATGATGTGTGTTCATCAACAAAGCTTCATCCCTAGGAAGGTTATTTCGCAGATAATCAATATATCCAGTCGAGCTCGATTCGGAAAATCACGTGCTCGCGCGTTTGATTGGCTGCTGGAAATGATTTGCAGTGCGGATTGCAGGGACACGCGGAATGGGAGTGTTACACGGATTTGAACAAGAAGGAATTGTATACCTTGGTGAGTGACGGAGACGATGGAAAGAAGGAAGAAGAGAATAGTGAAGAGTCTCACCAGCACCGTCATCGCCGCAGTCATCATCGCCATCATCATCATCATTCCCACAAATAGTTTTGCTATACGTTTTTGTTGGACACACCAACGCTCGATTTGCATTTTCTGTTTTGGAAATGTCCCACGCTGTGAATCTGCTGAGTTCCAGTGAAGAGGTGATATTTCTTGAGCAGTTGGAACTTCTGAAGCAGCAAAACGTCGAATTTCCTCCCAATGTTGAGAGACTCTATGTAAAACTCTCTTTGCGCAAAGTAATGTTGATTTTGCCTTTCTCCATAGAGAATGCGAGACCGATATCTTCCACCATTTAATATCGATTATGAAATCGAGGAATTCATTAGGAAAACAAAAAAGCGTGATCAAAAAGTGACTTTGAACTAATGCAAGAAAAGCTTCTCGCAAATCGCTTTCGTGTCCTTAGGACATGTAACAGAATACCCTATCGTTCGCGGATCCACATAGATCTCATAATCATTTCCACCCTATGCTTAGTTGTGTGTATAGAAGCATACCTTATTTGTTTTATCCCCAAAGAAGTAAATGGTATCATAATCGGTCAAGTACTGTAAACAAAAGGTTTTATCCATTCCCTACGTGTCAAGCACTGTGAATACCCGAACTTCAGGAACCACATCGAACGATGTTAAGCCACCAATCAGATAGGTAAAATGAAGTTGGCTGAAGCGCTGTTGAAGATCATTTATCATCTTTTCCCGAACATGATGTTCACGATCATATTCTGAAAAGGCAAGCCGTTCCTCGCAAGAAGCATTTCTGCCTACAGGACAAATATTGATAAGGCTTGATCGGAATTCTACAAAGGTTCCACTGCAATGAACATAGACATAAGATCCTACCGTTTCACTGGGATGTCAAGTTGACTTAGATAGAATAGTACATAACTAATGAAAGAGTTCAACTCTTTGTCGGAATACAGTGAAGTGAGAAGCTATATATGGGGCAAGGGTAAGAATTCTACGGTTTTTTGAGATAGAACATTATGCTTGTACGTCTCTCCTCCATTTTGAGAAAATAGAAATTCTGCTTCCTCGGCAACTAAAAAGAAACAGGAAAAATCAAAGTCACCTTCAGGAGTCAGCTGGAGCATATGTACTTCATGGGAAGCACCCCCTACAAAACCTATGTCTATCTTTTCATGAAGAGAATGCAGAAAACTCTTCATTTCAGTGCTGATTGTCTAAAATCGATTTTCTCCTTCATATCTCACATCTCTATGTTCTGTTATTGTTCCATCAATATCAAATAATGCGATTTTCTTACAGGACATTTTTCGCAAAACAAATATAACAACAAACAATAGTAATACGAATTGTATTTTTCAGGAGGTTGCCAGAAGATTTTGTTATTTTAGAGTTCACATTTCGTCGTTATTGCTGCGATATTAGACACTCGATCGAATGGGAAGATCGTTGCGGCATGAGTTCATCCCGCTCATACCTTACCGGTTGAGAAGAGTGCTGAGGCTGAGAATATAAGCTCATTATCCAAGCAGTTGTATCCGCTGTGGAGCGATGCGAATTAGGAGTGGGCAAGTGCTTGGCATTCCCAGCTGATTGGAGAGTAAAGGCGAAATCTTCGAGGGAATCAAAGACATTGTTTACAGAAGGTTGCTTGGGCAGAGGAAACTGACTCAGAAAGTCAACCTCTCCAGCTGTTGTTCCTCTATCCACTTTCTTCTTTGAACTCTCTTCATGCTTCAACAGATTCGAGGCGGATTCATCCTCTTTGTCTGCCACCCATCGCTTTTCTACATATTTTTCGCGAATGAACTTTTCCATTTCATTCACTGGAGTGTGCTCGTTCGGATGAGGATAGTTTTGAGGCAGCTTTGCTTCATAGTAAGCATTCACTCTTTGATTTCCCCATTGCTGCATGTTTCGAATATGCTCGTCTTTCCAGCTGTCAAGAGAGACAGATCGGACAAATGAAATGTGAACTCCTAGGTTGCGATGTACTCCTGAACATCGAATGCAAATAAAACAGCCCAGCGTTGCAGAAGCCCATCTAGGTGCTATGTTGTATGATGAGTCCTTGCCTTGATTCCTACCTTTTGCTCCGCAATCGCAGCAGACTTTGTTGCACTCCTTCTTTAGAAGTGCATCTAGCGTCCTTTTATGAGAAGCTTTCATCACGCTCATCTTTCAATGAAAGTCTGTGAGCAACACGAACATCCGTTTCGTGTTAATTCCATATCACCAAGTCATTCCAGAATTGTGGAAGTGCAGAAATAGAGCCATCTTCCTATTTTTCTGATCTACGAGATGGAAGCTTTGGCAAAAACATTCAGGAATATTGGACTCGATGCTAAAGTGATCTCGACTCTCGTCAAGTCCAATAAGGTTGCCCGTTTGTTTTTTTCTCTCTATCTCACTCCCAGAGCGTGTAGAATCTGCAATTAAAGAAGCTGGAGTCGAATCTGGCTGTGATCGTGTTATCGGAAATCTCATGTCATTGCTTTTGCGTTATCCTGACTCCCAGATACAATGTAGCAACAACTCTTCCAGAATCTTCCAAAGAATATCGTCCTATGCTCCTGCGTTTTGTTGTGGAGGGCAAAATCAAGTCCAACCTTCAAATCAGTGAAGCAGTCTCGTATCTCAAGAAGCTGCCAACGGGGACGCACGTTTCGCTCATTTCCTCCGCTGAAAGATAGGTGGATCAAAAACTGTTTGAAGAAACGTGTGGTATTGGCATTACTATTTCCGAAGAAGAAATCCGCCGAGCAGTTTCTGCTGTGATTGATTCCAAGCGCAGCGAGTTAATCAGCCAACGTTATTCGTACCCTATTCCAAGCCTTCTCTTCGCTGTTCGCCAGGGGAGAATGAAATGGGCGGACGGGAAGAAGGTCAAGGAGGAATTTGACCATCAAATCGAAGCTTTGCTGGGCTCTCGCTCGCTGCTGGACGAACACAACGCGAAGCGACGAAACAAATCGCGCGATGAAACACCCGATGGATTTGTAGCCGCGTAAGCACAGAGAAACCGGGTTCCGCTCTAGTCGATATCTCCCTACCATGAAGAACAGCGCGGAGCTCATCGCGGAGCACCAGAAGATCACGGGCGGCAAGATTCGGTGTCGCTTCCCTCCGGAGCCGAACGGCTATCTGCACATCGGCCACGCGAAGAGCATGTATCTGAACTTCAAGGGCGCGTTCGAGCGCGTGGGGAAGCCGGGCGAGACGATTCTGCGGTTCGACGACACGAACCCGGAAACGGAGAAACTGGAGTTCATCGACAACATCATGGAGGACGTGAAGTGGCTGGGATGGACGCCCTCGCAAGTCACGTTCGGCTCGGATTATTTCGATAAGCTTTACGAGTACGCCGTGCAGCTGATCAAGATGGGAAAGGCCTACGTCGACCACCAGACCCCCGAGGAGATCAAGCGATCGCGCGAGATCGCGCAGGAGTGCTCGCGCGAAGGCGGACGGAAAGGTAGAAACGGGGAAGCGATGGCATGCAGATCTGAACCCGGAGAGTCCGTGGCGCAACCGATCGGTGGAGGAGAATCTGCGACTCTTCGAGGACATGCGCAAGGGCAAGTTCGCGGAGGGCGAAGCGACGCTGCGAATGAAGATCGACATGCGGAGCCCGAACCCCTGCATGTGGGACCCCGTCGCGTACCGAATCAAGCACGTTCCGCACCCCCACGTGGGCGATAAGTGGTGCATCTACCCGTCCTACGACTTCCAGCACTGCCTCGTCGACTCGCTGGAGCACATCGACTACTCGCTCTGCACGCTCGAGTTCGAGACTCGGCGCGAGTCCTACTACTGGCTCGTCGACCAGCTGAATCTCTGGCGCGCCTACGTGTGGGAGTTCGGCCGCTTGAACCTCACCAACACGGTGATGTCCAAGCGGAAGCTGAAGGAATTGGTGGCCGATGGCGTGGTTCGCGGCTGGGACGATCCGCGCATGCCCACCATCAAGGGGCTGCGTCGCCGCGGCTTCACGCCTGACGCGATCAACAACTTCTGCGCCGACATCTCGGTCACGCGCGCCACGCAAACCACCATCGATTGGAGTCGGCTGGAGCATTTTGCGCGCGAGAGTCTGGCCTCCGTCGCGCCGCGCGCCTTCGCGGTGCTGCGCCCCGTGCGTCTCGTTCTCCTCAACAAGGACGCGGGTTTCTTCACCACGCTGCAGGCCCCGCTGTTCCCGAAGGACCCCAGCAAGGGCTCGCGCTCGCTGCCCTATCAGCGCGTGCTGTTCGTCGATCGCGACGACGTGAAGACGGCGGACGAGCCCAAGTTCCTGGGCTTCGCCCCCGGAAAAGTGGTGAGTCTGAAGTACGCGGACGTGGTGCGATGCGAGGAAGTGCGGTGTAGCGAGCAGAACGGGGATGTGGAGGAGGTGCGGTGCAATGTCCTATCGAAGGAGGAGGCGCAGAGAGAAGTGGAGAAGATGGAGAGAAAGCTGGGGAGCGTTCATTGGCTGGCCGGGGAGAAACTGGGGGCGAAGCCGCGGGAAGGAGAAGTGCGGCTGTATGAAAGACTGTTTTCGGTGAAGAACCCGGGAGCAGGGAAGGATTGGAGAAAGGAAATCAATAAAAATAGTGAGGTGATCGTGAAGAATGCAATGCTGGAAGCTGTGTTGTTCGATAAGAAAATGGAGGATCATGTGCAGTTCGAACGGCTTGGCTATTTCTCGGTGGATAAGGATTCAACGAAGGACCACATCGTGTGGAATCGGACGTGTGCTTTAAAGTAGTTTGATTTAGTCTTTTGTTTGTAATGGATACTGAATTTGAAGATAACCCGTTGAAGGATTACATCTTGTCCTACAGTGGTAAAAAATGTCTAGTGGAGCTTACATGCAAGAGTTGCTCTACTACCTGCTGTTGTACACTTTCGTTGCAGTCACCTCGATCTACACGTTCATGGGGCTTGTCTTTTTCATTTTAAACAGGAATATCCGTTTAATCTTCCTCCCCTTTCTGTATCTGATTTTTGGTGCGATCACTGGAATTGTCGACGGGGCTATTTTATGTACGAGATGGAATTTCGATGAACTGTAGCTGTCACGCTTGCAGCTGTGTATATCTCCGTTCCCTACTCATTATCAAAACTCAGAGCCATGTATGTAGCAGGTGTGCAGGCTATCTTGATCTGCTACATTCGGTTTTCTCGAAATAATCGTTCCAAGCCAATTCTGATTGTATAGTACTGTAGTTTGCGCTCGTTTTCTGTAACAAACACGTCTTAATTACGTTCGTAATTAACTAAAGAACATCGAGTCCATTGGACGTCTCACCAGCATGTGTTACAATAACATTAGCCGAAGACGTTGAGTTATCCACAAAACTAGGCCCTGAACCATTGGAAGGTGGAGCAATCACATTTTCCATAATAGAGTAATTTTCATTGTTGTTCCTGTTACTAGTATTACCGTTGTTGTTGTTGCTATTACCATCGTTGTTGCCATCTATCTTTCCTTTTTCTTCTTCTTCTTTTTCTTTTTCAGTTTTCGGCACATCCATCTCTACCATCTCTACCTTCTTGCATTCTTCCTCCGTCGCAGCACTCTTACGAGCAAGATTTCGAGCTGTCGTATCACGCCTCCACTTCAAGAAATAGTAGACAGGGATCGAATAGAACAGTACCGAAACGATCCACGAGAGAATCAGGGATACACCTGCAGAGAAATGGCACCAGCAGAAAAAGACGGGGCACACAATCGCGTACCATCCAGAACTACAGTGAATACCTTTCCATCACCCATACCACAATCCAGCCATAATCAATGGTCCCAAAGCGCCGGTGATCACTTCAGGACTTTGAGCAATTGAAACGGAAACAATAGTTGTGCAAATCACAGCCGGAAACGTGGCCATAGCACCTGCAGCAACTCCTAAACCAGTCTGGCTCAGCACACCACTCACGAAAATACAAATGGCAGAGGCCAGTCCACGAGCCAAGTGAACATACCACTGGACACGATTTGTTCCTGCTGGAGTAGGAGGAAGAGTCCAGCAGAGGTAGATCGTGCATATAAAAGCGAATACCATCAGAAACAAACAGTATGCAAACATAGAAACACCTATTTTCTCGACCCATTCTTCAAGATATATAACTATAATCGTCCCTATCAACCAGATCGCCACAGTGATGATCGTACTAGCTGCAATGCGTTTTCCCTTTTTCCACTTCTTTGGGAGGGAGTCCGGAACCCATTTCCATGCAGGAATAAACAGCAAACCAGTAGAAAACACACCATAGGCGCAACCCAAAAGGGATTCTAAAATCTCGGTCTCCGATAAAGCAGAATTGGTCATGATGATATAGGATGCAGGCAGGATAATGGAAGGTACAGTACCAATGACACTACCTATCGCACCACCAAATATCTCGATCAACTTAGCTACGCAGATCGAAATGCAAAAAGCAAGACCGGCAGAAATGAATGCTTTTGTAAAGTTCATGGAAAGAGATAAAATAGTTTGACATTTTTGTGAAGGTCCAAAACATGAGAAACATGGCTTTGCACGCACAATACTACATTCCTGGTGAATGAATGATTGGCAAAGCAATCGATAAAGAACTATTTCCAAATCGAAATATGGACCATGGGGATAAAATTGAGTAACAAGAAATGAATGCTACCCATGAACCCAGGGGGTGAATTTTGGTTTGCTATTATAGAAATTGCCATTGAACCTGAGAAATGCGTATGCAGCTATGGTATTAAGGTACTAATCGTATAGCCAGCGTGAAGGCCGTTGAACTTCGTCAAAAGAATCAAGATGAGTTGCTGTCCGCCATTGAGTCTTACAAGAAGGAGCTCGCTACTGTAGTTTGCTTATTTGCCTCTCTTAGCGTGTAGCTTCGTGTTGCTCAAGTGACTGGAGGAGCTCCCGCTAAACTCGCTCAGATCCGTGTTGTTCGCAAGAACATTGCTCGTGCTCTGACCGTTCTGAGCCAGAAGAAGCGACAGGGTGTAAGACGTGCCGGTGACGCTTGATTTTGTAGCTGAGAGAGAAGTACGCCAAAGCTAAGCGTCTTCCTACCGACCTTCGTGTAAAGAAGACCCGTGCCATGCGCCGTGCTTTGACCAAGGCTCAGGTAGGTTTGAGTGGCTGTGAATGAGAATCAGGCTGCCAAGAAGACCCTCCGCCAGCAGAAGAAGGAGCGCGCTTTCCCCATGAGAAAGTACGCGTTGAAGGCTTAAGGGGGTGTATATTTGGGCATGGGTAGAGGTATTCCTCTGTCATGGTTTTGCTTGTTTGTTGAACAAACTCGAGAGTCAAACGATTTGTCCATCAGGATCTTCACGACTTCCTCCCACGTTTTACACGTGGTGATTCCCTCGAGTTGCTCGGCAGAGGAAGGACGATTCCATCCATACTCGCCAAATAGAATGGGAACCTTTACAACGTCCTTACACTACTTCGTGAACGGGTTGCAAGAACTACCTGACACACATAACCCAGATTGTCGTCGATAAACACGTCTGCGTTGATTGATTGCAACATTTCGGGCTTTGACCTTTGTCTTATCGTGAAAGCACATTATATACATGCGATGACCTGAATCACTCCAAAAATTGCCAATCAGAACTCCGTCAATCAAACCAGAAAAATTGGAAGCTAACCACTTACGGGTCGGCTCCTCAATATCCTAAAGTCGGAACAAGTCTTCAAACCTACCAAGTGCCTTGAGGTCACAATATAAATATCATATTTTGTTTTCAACGTCTTAAGCGCTTCTTGTGATCCCGGTACAACAGGGATCTACGATCAACACTTTCATCAACTCTCACTCCATCTAAAAACATCGGACTTTTAAAGAAAGCATGGACTATCTCACTCGCCTACATCGAAAATTCAAATGAGTTAGACTTCTTCACAAGTACCACCCCAAACTTCCCAGTACTTAAAGCTTTTGAAATCTTTCATCGTGAGGTTCGTATTCTTCAAACTATTGTAAAAACGAAGGATGGTCGCATTAAACATCCCCAAACACTATATCGCAATTGCCGTTGTGATCACTACCTCGTCAAGATCGAGTCCGATAACAGGCCGCCTCATCGCTCGAAAAAAAGACATCAATCTGAACAAACAACAGGACCACACACACATATATATATATATATAAATAAATATTAACTAGAATCAGATTCATCTGCGTTTTTAAGCACTTCAAAGAACATTTCAGGCTCTGAAAAATCGTTCTCCTTCTCCACATCACTCGAATTCGTATGGATTTGACTTGTTTTCATATTCGACGACGAAGACCCCGAAATCAAGTTGATAGTCGAACTAGATCCTCCGTTATGATCTCTCGGATCGATGAGCGGATTCTCTCCGTTCATGAGGGAGATGATGGACTTGCCCACGATCTCCGTGGTCGATCGCAAAATATGCGTTCCTCCGGATACGATTCCCTTCATTTTCTTTCGGGTCTCACCGATCGCACGCAGTCCCGCTCCTGATTCAAAGTCATCGTCTTTGATCGTCAGATTCTCCTTGCGGATCACGGCAGAATCTGGATCGGCTTCCGACGAGAGATGTGCGTCGTTGAAGTCGAGCAGAATGTACTCCGTGTCACTATCCAAATGCAGCGTGGACGGTTGTGAGATGGCTCGCGAGCATTTCACGGGGTTCGTCGCGCCATAGGACACGCTTTTTCGGTCGGAATCGTTGTTCAACGACATGACACGTGACGGGGGATCGGGCTGTGTGTCCAACAGATTCGTTTGCGAGGTGCTGGCTCGACGCGTACGATTCGGCTTGCCACTATAATCGATTTCAGACTCGATGAAGAGCGTGGAGGACCGCGAAATGAATCCCGTGTTGAACCAAATGAAAAGCGTTTGGTCGGTAATGGCTCCGGTGCACTGAATGGTCAGTTTGATGTCGCCGTCCAGGACCAGCGGCTCGGTGAACGCCAGATACAAGACCTGACGCTTCTTGTTGACGAACATCTCGGTGGGCTTGACGAGCTCTTCGGTTTCTTCTTGGAAGGTTTCGTGGGCGAACTGGTCGATTTCGTTTCCCTTCTTGTAGGGGAAGAACTTGCGCTGGATGGAAATCTCGAACTTCAGCGAACTCAGATCGCGGAGCGAGCAGGAAGGCTGCGAATGAATGCAACATTGAGCGATTACGAAGTACTCGACGCCTGTTAGATGGATGGGAGGGCGCATGGAGAGCTGGTTTTCGAGGAGGAAGTGATAATAAAAGACGTAGCGGATTTGAGAGGGAGCTAGAAGTCAAAGCAGCGCTGAATCCAAACAGGAAACCCGCTGGATTTTGATCGAATCCTTCTTCGCGGACTCGGCAGCACTGTCCGCATCGCCTCGACTGGTTCGCATGCGCGCAAAGAGACTCAGCGCATCTTCCGGCGAGTCCTTGATGCCCTGCTCGAGTAACAGGCACGCGATGATCATGCCCGTGCGTCCCTTCCCTCCCTTGCAGTGAATGACCATAACGTTGGAAGGATCCTGCGCCATCCACTTGTCACTCTGATAGATGATCGTTTGAATTTGGGCTAGGAATGAGAAACAGAAAGAGAGAAGGCGAACCGAGGGAGCACGGATTGTGGTCGTCGATCCAATAGCGAGTGTTTCGACCTTCAAAGATCTTCGTGATGTTGCCTCGATAGGCGCCTTCGGAACACAGATTCAATCTATGGACACAAAGAAAGCAATATTGTTACACCCAGTAGTGCCCATGATGCTTCAGATTCAAATAGTTTTCCACATCGTCCAGACTGTTCCGCCACACCGATTCCCACAGAGTTCCAGGCCACGACATGGCATAAATGCGACCTAGAAGAAAAGCAGCATTTCTTTAGAATTACTCGTGATATCGCTCAGATCGATGTTGGCCTCCTTCTTCTGGTTTCGGTTTCGATTGAACCATTTCCGAACCACTTTCGACACTTCGTTCTTCGAGTGTTTGAAGATCTATTCCTCATTTCTGCCTCTCGATGCTACTTCGGATGCAAAAACCATCCGTAAGATGATCAGCGTTTTCATCAGCGCTCGGCCCAGCTGTGGCAAATCGTTTCGCGGGATCATGAAGAAGTACGCTGCGATCGAGAGAGCGTACACTGCAAATTCGAGCAGCTATCCGTAAGGAAGAACGATCCCGTGGCTACCAAAAGAAGGAAGTGCGGCAGCGTGGGCTGCGCCATGCGGATGACAAAGTCGAGCAGCAAGAAGCAGCTGCAGAGCAAAAACAGCAGTCTAGAGATAAGAAACCGAGCGTCGATAGAGAGGAGTACTCCTTGATGTAGACTAGGTAATCGATGATGTAGAAAAGACAGCAGATCAGATCGATGCCGGTTACCAGTCCGAAGATAAAGTTCACGACTGAGCCTCAACGCCCGATCCCACGCCTACATGCGAAGTGTCCGATCACTCGCAGCCATCGCTTCAAGAGCAGGGAGAATCCGTACAGTCCGCGCTCCAGCGTTTGGCCCATCGTCAATCTCCGCTGTCTGCGTCTTTGCTCCCCCTCAGCGAACGGCGTGTCTCCTTCTTCGGAGATGGCGACCACTTCGTCTGGATAATCGCCATTGCTGCCTTCGTTCCCGTCGTTCGAGTCATCGAGATCATTGGAGTCGTCGAGATCATCGGAATCATCCCGACGATGTCGATGATCGCGACGACTATGATGGTTCCGATGGTTCCGATGGCCCCGATGGTTCCGATGGCCCCGCTGGTCCCGCTGGTCCCGCTGGTCCCGCTGGTCCCGCTCCGTGGAATTCGGAGCATCGCGATGCTGAAAACGAAGAGGCGTGGACTTGGGAGACTCGTCTTCGTCCGATTCGTCCGATTCCCGCTCAATGCGCGGAGGAAGAAGCTTGTCCTGGAAGTGAGAGAGAGAGAGAAAGCGAAAAAATACGTCGATTAATCGCTGGCTCATCATGGAGCAAATCTGAGAAAAGGTGACCACGTTCGGATAGGCGTATTTCTCCACGTTGGAGTACCTCTCTCGCTCCTCACTATTCCATTCGATCATAATTAGCGGAATGTTCTGTGAAATGAACAAAACGAAATGCAAATACGCGACGCATCATGAGTTCGAAAGCATCACGAATGCTCGTAGTTCGCGGTCTGGAGGGAATTCGCACACGACGGAGGTTATCCATCACCGTATCCTCCGTATCATAACCGTCCACGATGTATTCAAAAACGGCTTGGGACGTAATTAGCTCCACATATTTGTGTTTGCGGATAAGGAAGTATTGGACACTATAGCAACAAGCTTAGCAATCAAAATATACTGGTTTTCCTTGATTTCAAAGAGAAGAGTTCGAAGACTGGTATTCGCTGGAACCAGAGGAATATTGAAAGTAATGACTCGTGAAATAGAACTATCTAAACTATGCATTAGACAACAAATCCAAGTCACACAATTGCTGGGTATTCCGTGTTTCATCTTTAAATAGCTAGATATAAAGACAAAACAAATGCAAAATACCATATCTTCGCCATGAATATCTTCCTTCATTCTCTGCAAGAAATGCCGAATGCTAAGACTGTTTTCCATCAACATTTGTTGATAGTCGTCCTCCTCGCTATTTTCGTAATAGAACGGCTCAGCCATGAGGCATGGACAAAAGAAAAAGTAAATCAAACTTTCGAAAAAACAGGGGCATGATACAAATTTAAATTACTTTGAATACGCGTAGCGAGTGATAATGTACAGATGCATACAAACAATAGACTCTCTCTTCATCAGGACAAAGCTCCACACGAATATTTTCGTTCTCGTCCTCAAACTGCGGATACCACACCGAGCTCTCCGTCGTAAAGGCGGGTTCCAGCTGGCCGCTGATCGTCATCGGCAACGAGATCATCTCCCTACCAGTCACCTCCCTCCCTTCCTTCTTTTCCCTACCCCGAGCCAATCGAATTCTCCGACAGATTCAGCACGCAGAACAGCGTAACGTCGTCCTTCTCCACGGAGAACAGCACGATGCCTCGCTCCAAATCGTGTCCATGAACCATCAAGTTCCCCCCAGCGATCATGAAATCCCGCCGAATTCGAATCAGCTCCGCGGTCATCTGCAGGAACCCGTGGTGTTTGCTGCGTCTCACGCTCCGCCCATCCCCTACTCCTCGGGGTTCATGAAGCTCCAATTCAATTCGTCGGGAACCGCGGTGAAGTTCTGCTCGGTAAAGAATTCGGTGCCCATGAAGAGGCAGGGCACCGTGGGACCCAGCATCATGATCCCCACGGCCAACGCCTGGCGCCGAAGACGCTCCGTGGAGAAGGACGCATCGACGAAGCGCGTGTGGGCGGTAGCGCGGTCCTCGAAGCAGAGCACGCTCTTAGGATAGCGATTCAACTCGGAGAGAAAGGAAGAAATCTTCGCAACGCTGAGCGGAGACTCCGAGAAGAGCGACTGCGCCGTGGTGGTGCTGCGCGTTAGAGTCGGGGCAAGAGCTCACAGAGAATGGTTGAAAACCGCGGAGAACAGCCGGGACGAGAGAGGGTCCGCCGAATCGCCGATCTAGAATGGGAGAAACCGGGGAAACCGACATGGAGATAATCGCTCGCATCGCGGATCTGCTGAATGACCGAAATGGCGTCGTAATCGGTGCTCCCATAGCCTTGCTTGCAGTGCTTTCCCCCGTAGAAAAGGCAGCCCGAATCCAGCCACACCACGCCGTCCACGCCCGCCTCGTTCCGCCACTGGCTCACGATCTTCTCAATGTAGTTCCCGGACTGCTTCATGAGGTTGAAGTCCAGGCGACGGCGTTCGCCAATCAGAGACGACGCCTCGGAATGGAAGAAACTCCCCCACGAGCCGTTGCAGTCGATGTCGTAGAGCAGCGACCTGGAATCGAACAAGGCCCAGCTGACGTCCAGAAGCACGCGGATGTTCTTGGTGTGGGCGGTGACGACGAACTCGCGGAGCTGCGTGATGGTGCCGAACTGCTGGTGCACCACGCCGGGGAAATCGATGCTCACCTCGCTCCAGCAGTTCGGAATCTCGCTGTCGCAGCTGTACTGCTCGATCGGGAAGAGCTCCAGCGTGGTGATGCCCAGATTCGCGAAGTAGTTGATCTGGTAGGTGAGCTGGCGGAGGTAGTAGTCCGTGTCTTCCTTTCCGAGGAAGGCGGGGAGAAACACCTGGTAGACGATGGCTTCCTCAAAATTGAAGAGAGAGAGCTTTTCTGCGGAATACGAGGAGGAGATGCGATTGACCTGCCCAGGCTCGTTAAAGAACAAACTAAGACTCAGAGACAACCAGCGACCGTACATCTCCTTCGCACCAATCGAGAGACGCGGGCAGCGACGATCACTGGCTTTTGAAATGTACTGAAAGTAATAGGTGTCGTCCACACTCGCATCGCACACATTGGTAAACCAGCAGCCATCATACTGTTGACTAGACATCATATCCTCCTACAGTTCCTACGTCATCGGATATACATGAGTATGCGTGCTATTTGAAAAAATGACTGAAACCGCACTAGCCATCGGCGCCCACGTTCGGAACGCGACGCCGTAGTAGCACTCGTGACTATCAATCTTGTACTTTTTGTTCCCTTGCCAAATGTATGTGTCCAAGAAGTCCATCCTTTCACAGTTTGGCAGGTTGAATCCCTCTGGACAGATAGTAGCATATCCCCAGGTAATAACGCCGGCCCCCAAAAGAATCGTGATTACGGTAAGGGTGAACAATAGCACAGAAGAGATGCTCAGAAAAAACATACTCTTCGTAGACATATTACGCTGCACCTTTCTTCTGCGGATCGGCAACCCACTATGACCCACGACAAACCCTTTCAGCCAAAGTTGCCGATCTTTGTTTTTAAAGTAAGCTTTGGTGTCGAAGTATTCGTTAGGGATACTTGCCACTTCCATAACAAAAATAAGGATTGAACAAACATCAAAAAGCAGGAAAACTACAAGCCAGAGAACACAGGTGAATAGGAACAGAGGAGTGTATACAGACCAGACAACGGGACTCGCCGTATTGATCAGCAAGGAAATGGCGCTCGATAGCACGATAAGCATGACTCCCTCTTGCACATTCTCCTTGTGGCATGTTTGGCAAATGGTTACGAAGGGGTAAAACGTCATGGAAGCAACAGAGAGTGCCTGAACGAGCATATTGGTGCGATGTGTGAACACGAAGGCAGAAGACCATCGAATATTCGAAAACGAAAACCCAGGCGTTACCAAATAGGTGAAGTGGAGGCAGAGCAGAATCAAGAAAAACGAATAGATGAATGACGAGGGTTTTTTGGTCCACTCCGTGGAGACGAGCAAAAAACAGAGAAGACTGTGTGCATATTCGGTTCCCGTAAGCAACACAAAGAGAGAAAGAAGGCTGGAGGCAGAAAAGGACTGAAAGAAGGAAAGAAGGAAAGCGGACCAAGCAAGTAATGGAGAGGGAGACCAAAACAAATACCAGCATTCCACCACGATTTGGATCAGAATGAGCCATTTATTTTTGAACGAAGTGAAAATCATCGCGAGAAAGAACAAACAAGCAGTAAAGAAGCGCGAACCTGATCGAAAGCATGACATGAAGAGGTAGGAAACAAGCCGGAAACTGCTCCATGCTGTTTGCTTCTTAAAAAGGAAATAGAAAAGAATCGATAGAGAGAGAAGAAGGGCATTCCATGAGGGGAGAATGATCAGCGAATAGCTCGTGAAGCAGTTGACCGTTGCGACTGCACACAGAACAAGTGTAAAGAAGGAGGGAAGTGTCTGGGGCTTCTGCAAGATCTTCTTCAACCCTTTGCGAGCCATGCGTCCAAACATCAGAGGTACAAACATACATAAAACGCCGAGATAGCAAAGAGGATAATGGATCTTCCGGTTGTCGATGGTGCGTCGGATTTGGTCAGCAAAGCGATCAATTTCCTCCTCAGAAAGCTCGGATCGGTTGGAAAGAGTCAACGCAGGAAGCCTATCGTGCTTGAAGGAGCGATAGCGAGTGTAGAATTGTGTTAGTTGCAACGCTGTGTCCTGCAGAATATCATCTTTGCAGGAGGCGGAGAATAGATTGGTGAGCGGCGTTCCCACATTCGAAAAGGGAACGGGAACTTGGAGTAAATAGCTGATCGTAGATGTCAAATCTCGAATGTGTGGCTGTCGCTACGAAATGAGAACAGATCAAGCCAAGCCATCGAATACACGAAAGGGAACGAGAGGGATAGAGCGAGAGACAACGCACAGTCCCGTGGTCGTCTCTTCCAAAGTCGCTCCGCCGTGATTTCCTTTGGAGCTCAAGCCGTGGTCCCCAAACACGAAGAGAAGCGTATCATTCGGTAGATGCGTTGTGATGTACTGCAGATGGCGATTGAGCTGAAGCAATGCTGCATGGATCGCTGGATGCGCAGGAGAGGAGGTATCGGATTTGTGAGCATTGTGGTCCGCAAGGAGAGAATGGACGATGAGCACATCGGCAGTGCAGTTTTCACTCAAAAACAACTCGAGCTCGCGTTGGATGGCTTCAGAGTCGTCATGATACACATTGAATGAATCGATAGGATTGTCCGGTGTCGAAAAGACATCCCCAGCAAGTTCTCTCCAGACAGGATCGCCTGTATGCACGATTCTAGCAATTCAACGCAACAATTCAGGCTCACTGCTTCCCCTTTCGGTGGAGCTGGAATAGCAAATGATCTGAGCGCAACGTGGAGGCATAGAACGTCTGGCCGAGCTCAATAAACCCCGGAACTCCCCCTGTCAGAAAGGTTTTCACTCCCTGCGTTGTAGAGGTAGGCGGGTCGACTTGCATTGTAGTACAAATAGTGTGATGCGGGTCCTTTTTCAGTAGGTCTGTAAAATACGGTTTCCACGAACGATAGACAGAATTTCCGAACAGAAAATCGGGCCGAGCACCATCCTCCAAAAAGAGAATCAATCGCTTGAAGGGCACGTCTAGTTTTGTGGAATTTCCTTCACAAAAGGTATCATTCTTATCTAGGAACACTTGACTAGGAATGAAAAAGCGAGAAGAACAGAGTACTCTATAGAGAGATATCCTACTACAAAGAAGGCGATTCCGAGAGTAAACAAGAATCGAAAAGGTCGATTTTTCATAATTACAAAATGATAACATGAGCGAAGAAATGATTGACAAACAAACAAGATATCAACTAAAGCATTCCCTTATTTTCATAATGAGTGCATATAGCATGCTTAGATCTGTCAAAATTGTTGTGTGGGCAGTTCTTCCCGAAAACGATTCGACGAGACCCGATTGCTACGTGTTACAAAGCCAACTCGCATCCCCCACCTCGATACAAATATCAAACTTCTTTATCACCGTCTTACACTCCGGCTTCTTCAAATCCCTCCAAAAGTTCGTCACCATTTCAGATAGAATCGTCAGTTCTTCCTTTGTCGATTGCTCCATCTGCGGAGTGACCTCCGCTCGCTCGGAGTAGAAAGGGATAAATGTGTCTTGGTAGGAGGACAGCATATAGAAGAACTTGAATTTGTCGAATCCTACACACGTTATTTCCCCGCCACACACGAACCCGGGTGTTCAGAAAGTTTGTACAGCGTGGTTTGTCGCCAGTCCTTATTGTCCTGCAAGAACAGCTCGTCGAGCTGGTTCGATTTGGTGAGCATGAGGAAAAGCTTCCCTCCCAGCTCCGAGCGGTAGTAAGAAAGCGGAATTCCGACATGGGGCACATTGAGCGACAGGAAGAGATGGTAATACGGCGCGAATTTGGCCATGCGAGGATCGTTCACAGCGATCTGGAAGACCAATCCGCCGAGAGAATGCGCGACGAAGGAAATCCGGTTGATGGTGCAGTGCATCTGCTCCTGCAGCCCCGTCATCTTGACCAGCATCTCGTTCACCACAGTGTCCGCGAGGTAGTGCAGGCTTTGGGAGGTGCACGGGTAGCAGGCTTGGATGAGAATGCACTTCACGTGGGGATACGTCAGCGAGATCAGATCCTTCACCTTCTTCATGTCAAACGGATTGGCTTTGAATCCGTGCAGAATGAAAATGACATGCAAGGGCTGATTCGCCACCCTTTCCCAGAGACAATACTGGCAGCGCGTCAGAATGGGGTGGTTCTGGCGCCCGCAGGCAGGGTTGATGCAGTTCCAGTCCTCCGAAGAGACGGCCGAAAAAATAGTCTCCTTCGGTTTGGAGCGGAAGACCTCGCAGAGAAACGAGATGTAGGTGTTGATGTTGATGGCCTCTTTGATTTGGGTGAAGTCCTGGCCGATCAGCCGATTTGACAGGATGGAAAGAAGGCGTTTCCGCAGCGAACTAGATGAATCAATGGACGAAAACGCAACGTACAGATATTCGGGATTGGAGCGAAGGAGGTCAAAGTGCTGCCGGTGATCGTTTTCCACGTCCAAACCCTAGAGATCATGTGCCGTGATCATAACAACGTGGCCGTCCACTTTATCCAACGGCACTTCGATCACCGCATTCAGCGATTTCATTTTATTCCGCAAATCTTCGTACTCGTTCCGGATCAAGGCTCGCGTAATCACCGCGATATTGTTGGTGACCAGCGACATGAATTCGTTCTGAATCAGCCAGATTTGACACGAGCAGGCTGTGATGTTGAAGCAGAGCCGCGTAGCGAGATTGTGCTTCAGCTGAGCAAGGTCAGAATACTCATTCTCCTCTCGCTTTGGCGGAGATTGCTGCTCTGGAGTCATGGAATCGTAGGTGGGACTATGATCTTCGGTATCGGCACCGTCGTATTCATAGCTCACGCTTCGCTCACACTCGATTCGACCTTCGTAGTAGTAGTAATCCTGCTTGTAGCAGCAATCGCTATCCTCATTGCACTCGCTGCAGTCACTGCAGTTATAGTCGTTGGATTCGCTCCGTTCGCTGCACGTGTTGCATCTGTAGCTCGCGGAGAGCGGGGAAAGAACCGCTGGCTGGGACTTGTGGCCTATGCAGCCTGTCACAGGAAGCGGTTCTTCGGAGAGTTCGTACTCTCTCCTATTCGATTCTTCGCAGTAGTTGTTGTAAAGCGAGCAGTTTTCAGCTGTCGTTCCATGCCATGCTTGATTGGACTTCGATTGCGTCGATTCCTCTTTCATATCATTATCCATAACGATCTCCGATAAATAGTCCGTTGATACGCGAGGCGATTCGGAACTGCGCTTGTTGATCGATTCCTCCTGATCCAATAAAGTCGATGCGTTCTCCCGAAACTTGTGGACCTCGGCCAACGTGAATGTCTGCGATTTGGCGAATGCAATTCGCGATGATGAGACTTGTTGGGTCGGATAGGGCTCATAAGGTGAATCTGTCTTCGGACTGCCTCGATTAAACGGAGTAGGGGAAGAGGAGGTATACGCAGAGGTGCAGCGATTCATGTTATCCGAGAGATGTCGATGGTGCAGTGAGCCTTCCGTGCAGCTCAGAGGCGTCGCGGGTCGCTGCTCTTTCAGCACGTTTTGGTAGTGGGCAGCGGGAGAGACAGTGCAGTGAAGGGCACAACGCGGATACATTAACATCAATTTCATCAACCACAACAACAACAATAACAACAGCAATAACAATAAAAATAACAATAACAACAACCACCACCACAACCACCACCACCACAACAACAACAACAAGGATATAATTCCAAAGGCTCGTCATCAAAATCGTCGTCTCGGTGCAGCGCATACTTCTGGTTGATTTCCTTGATTTGGCGAGCAACACTGTTGAACGAGATCTCCATGCACCTCACCACGAGTGAGTAGAAGTCCAGATACACCCGCCGCGTTTCATCGGCGGTCTAGCGTTCAGCGGATAGCACCAAGAAACATACACTCACATTCCCGAAGATGAACGACTCGAAAGTCCGTGGGATCTGCTTATCCTCCAGCATGTGATCGTATCGAATATCAACAAGCGTACAAGAGGAAACGCCTCGAATTTCGCACACTCCAAACTCGTGAAAGATCAAGTCATTGCTCTGAAACACATTTTCAGCACCAATATCACGAAATAAAATGCACTGCGTGCCGATAACCCTTCCGTTTTCATCACAACTTCCTCCTTCCGGCTTTTTGGACAAAGCTCCGGAGAGTGCAAGCAACTCGACCTTAAATGAGAACTCCACGGACCCCAGAGAAGTTTCTAAATTCTCGACTCTCCAGCAAACACTATCTCGCAACGAGATGACCTCATACTCCTGAGAGATGCAAAACTTCCTAGAAATGAAGACATTACTGTCAGAGTCAATGTGGCAAGGCTCGTACGAGAATTCCGAATCCTCAATCTGAAAGTGAGTACAAGTTTAGAGAGGGAACAATCTTGTTGTCACTAACCGCGTGCTTCACTGCAGGAGAAGAATCGAACTGTAAAATTCTGTTAGGTAGCTTGGACAATAGACTAACTCGGAATTGATACGTTCTGAAAATAATAGCAATCAAACAAGCATACCCCTTCTCAATAATCCCAATATTCTGGAACGTATCGAAGTTCATGTAAACAAGGAATATTGTTTTCAACGACATCTCTTACCGTGAAGTACTCTCCAGGTAAAAAGGATAACGGTTGAATTAGGGCGATTTTCGAAAACCAAATAAATGGGACAACTTTGCTCACTCCAAAAATAGGCCTGTTTCTGTACAATTTGCATTTGGGTATGGAATTGGCAATATATTGATATGCCACATCATCCTAGCGAATTATAAACCGATATTACGAAAAAACGAGGATCATTAGCTGGATTTTGTAATAGGAAGCATTCGAACAAGAATGTCCTAATTATTTCGATCAGTTAATTCTCATTCGTGAGGAAAATATGCTTACAACGAAGAATGCAACTCCAAAGGATGAAGATGGAAAGAGATTGGCTCTCCTCAGCAGTCTAATTTCTAAGGCAAATTTTGATGAGTGCTGCGCATTGCAAATTATTATTCCTCTCGTGTCCCAGCAAACAAAAGCCATGGCTGTTTGCTAGTATTTCATTTGATGGAACAAGTCATTCTCTAGTTACTGCGGGAAAATATTCCGCAACAGTTCGGAACACTATGGGACGCACATATTCGAGTGTCCGAGTGAAGTAAGAGATTGTTTCATTTGTAATGTGTCAAGGTAAACCCATTTCATCCTTTTCAATTATGGGAACACAAGGGAGAAGACGTCTATTTTGGATCATGCCGCTAATTCGTAGGCTGAGGAGAACACCATGGTTCTCGAGAAGTTAAAGAAGTCAATCTTCCTCCAAGGCTTTGTGGAGTCCAACTGCTGCCACCATTTCATTGGTCTTGCTTCAAGCAAACATTTGAACACCATCACGCAAGTAATGAGCATTATTGGCTGCAGCAACGACACCGACAATCCGGAGCTGTTTGATCTGGCTGAGAAAGTCGTGAGTCAGAAGAACGTGGACCGTTTGAAGCAGGTAGATGGCTGTTTCCTCTACTTTGTTTGCATCCACAACACTTCTGCGGTTCCTGTGGGTTTGCTGCTGGTTTCTCTGGACACGGACGGCGTGACGTCGATCATGGGTAGCGTGGAGTACTCTCCCAAGCGCTCTGTGGAGAAAGATCAGGAGCTTCTGTTCGTGTCGACCATCAAAACGTGCCAGAAGGAAGGCATCAACGTGATGGGTTTCATTCAGCACGGAGACAAGCATTGCGGACGGTTGATCGAGTTTATGTACGACAAGTACGCCGAGCTCATGCAGGGAATGCTGTGGCTGATTGCCTCGGAGCAGCACACCTCGTGGGTCAACGAGCTGCAGAAGGCGCCGTCGCTGTGGAAGATCGCGATGCCGGTGATCAAGATCCAGACGACGGTGAAGAACAACGTGCACTTCAAGCAGCTGCTGGACAAGTGTTTGGAAGTGAACAAGATCGAGTGGGGCGTTGGGGCGCAGGCTGAGGCCTAGGGAGTTTTATATTTACAATGAGAAGGAGCTGCGCAACGCAGCGAACTTCTACGAGCTGTGGATGCAGTGCGGAACGTCGTTCTTCAACTACATGGAAGTGTACAAAACGATCCAAAGCGTGGCCAAGAAGCAGAAAGACTGGGCGAAGGAAACACCGGCGGACTTCGATTACTTCATGTCCATTCAGTTCAACCGGGATACGCGCGCGTTCAAGGCCGCCTTGCAGACCTTGCTGTTTGTCAACGCGTACACGCTGATGATTAAGAAGTGGAAATCGGTCCAGCCGAAGAACCGAACGCAGGAGGCCGCGAAGAATCTGGTCACAGCGGCGTTGAAGCAGCTGGAGATTCCCGAGGATCTGCGAAGCGTAGCCATCGACGCGATCACGCGAGATCTGATGAATGAGAACAAGCGCATGATTCCCAGAGGCGAGCACTGGGAGACTTTTGAGATTTTCATCACTTACCAAGCTTCCGAAGATCTGGAGGAATCAATCTACTCGAAAGAGGAGGTGCGCGAGTTTTTCGACTCGATCAACTTGGATAAGGAGAGAAGGAAGCAGATTAAGGGTGAGTTCAATCGGTTTTTGGCGCAATATCCGATCACAAAGGCAAATCGTTTTGGAGAAGTGGCGCCAAAGGAGTTTTGGAAGCAGAATCGAGAACAGTTCCCTCTGCTGGCTCCTTTGGCTTTGACGATGCTGTCGCTTCCTAAAGGAAACGATGAGTTGCTTAGCGTGGAAATGACTGATCATGTTCTTAGTAATATGTTCCTTCATATCAACAACCATCAAACCGAGCCGCTGAGACGACTCCATTTTTGGTTTAACCAGTTCCGCGTGCCTTATCTGGAGGAGGTGGAGGATTTATTGGTTTGAAGTGTTTGTTTGAATCAGATATTTGGAATCTGTTGGAAAAAATAATGAAGAATTAATGAATGGTAGATTTGGGAGAAGAATCAATTCAAATGAATTAATATCACACAATTCTTTTTAGAAAAATGAATAATGATTAATTAGGTAAATTGTATAATAAATAGAAGAGAATCGATTGATAAATAGACATTCGAATTAATACAATAGAATTAATTCTTACAACATTTTCATATATCATTAATACCTGTGAATTTTGAAAGTAATAATTAATTTGGACTTTGTGAATCGAAATGATAATTCCTTGATTTCCTTAGAGTATCGTCCAAATATGATTTGTAATTTTATCAACAAACACCAGTGATCATTCACTCATTCACTCAACTGCATAAAAAACATCGTCCATTACTCCTGCTCTTTTTCCCCTTTTGCTTCCTTATTCTCTGCCAGCAGCGCTTGCAATTTCTCTCGCTCATCAATCACATCGTCCAACTACACGTCAGTCCTACAAACAGAACATCTCACATTGTTTGCAATCTTTCCACAACGCACCTTCGCGTCCAGCACATCCGCTCCCGATCCAATAACAGCTCCAGCAAAGAGAGGAGTATAATTCTTGGTATAGTAGCTAATCGGAATGGACAGAAGCGTGAGTGCCGTGAAATACTACAACTTGAGTCTAGAAATCCGACAAATCACTTTAACATTCCAAGTGATGCACTTTTCGTATTTTTCGCGTAATGAGCTTTCTTGGTTGCGCAAGAAATGGATTCGGTCTTCCATCTCAACAGTGGACGGTGCCGGCTCTTCTAAACCTCCATTGAACGACATGCTAACAATGGTGAAACTCTTTTTGAACAAACAACGCACTCTCTCTTATTGAAGCTATAAATAAACGGCTGGATCATGTCATCGTTCGAGTAGCACTCCTGCATCAAACGGAAAATGTACGAGGGGGCATAGCCTCCCTTCGTGGTGAGAATGAGCGTGATATACTCCGGAGGGATGTAGTCGTACACGGGGCTCAGCACATCCACGCTCCGCAGCTCCCGATCGCACAGACTGTACGGCATGACGCGGTTGGGCGACCCCATGTCGTTGATCGTCGCCTGATCCGCGCAGAACTGCGGGTACAGCTACGCTCGCACGCCTCGCGGACCGGCCTACCTTGTACATCCCCGTCACGACGATCACGGGGACTTTGAACTGCGCAGCGGCCATGACCAAGTTGAATCCGCCGGACGGAACCAGGATGCCGCCGTTGGCCAGCACGGCGTGGCAGCCGATCACCACTTTGTTGCACCGAGGCATCACCGTGAAGGCCGCAGCGTCGTGGATGAGCGTCGTTTTGATGTTGCTGTGGGCCAAATCGAGGGCGAACTGCTGGCCAAGCAGAGAGGGAAACGTCTCGCAAACCATCACGTTGATGTTCCGATTCGCTCCGTCCGCCGAGTTCGCCTCGCGAAGGAACGCTCCGACGGCGTGGGACTGCGAATAGGTGAGAACGATCTCGCTACCGTCGATTCAATCCACGATTCAAAACCCGTAATTGATGTATTTCTTGCCGTAATCGCGAATGCTGTCGCTGCCATTCTCGATGTCGTAGACGATGTCTTCCTGCACGGATTCCTTGATCATCTATGAGGATTGTTGGGGAAGATCGCTTCTACTTCCTTCAGATAGGTTTTGTTGGTAATCGCGTTGCACATCGCATTCTGCGATACGGACTTGCAAATGATCGAGGAAAGGGACAGATCGCGGACACTGTCCAGACGAGTGATGCGTCGGCGGCGGGATTCCTCGTTGTATGCCTCCACGAGCAGCAACTCCACAATGTGAATGTAACGAAGCACGATAGAGCCGATCGACAAGGCCATAGGCTGCTTCCGCAGCAAGTGGTAGCCAAGGAGACGTGTGTATCGAATATACTCGGTGAAATCGGCCAAGCTCTCCTGGTCAAGCTAGAATAGAGTTTTCTCTCTTGAAGCCTACGATGCTCAGCAGCAGTTTCACCGTTATGGACGCTGCCGAGTAGGCAGACTTGATATCTCTAAAAAGGAATCGTCCCTCCAATCTACTACCTTCGTTGCAATTTAAAAGAAAAGTCGTCATATTGGGATAGAATTTTGGGCCACTTAGACAGCCAAGAGCGGAGAACCCCTTCGCTGGGCATATTATCTACACAAATCAGCAAACGGAGGTCTGCATCGTACTACTGTCCTTACTACAACCGCACGACATAGTAACAAACGATTTAGTAAAGTACATATATACAAAATATATATATATAAGAATCTACAGGATGGACAAAATTCTGGGAAAGTTTGTCTGGAGTACTGAGACGTCCCAATTTACAGAGGTGAGGAAATCGGGCAGATTGAACTGATGGGTAGGTGAGTGGCTGCCTGAAGGAAGAAGCGGACTTGGAGCGACTCAAAGATCTGTTTTATGACTGTGTTTTGGTAATGGAAGTTTGATTGCGAATATCGTGTAGGACGCTGGCATAATTACCGGCTCTGATATTTCTGGAGATACCAAGCTTCGTAGAATCATTTGTAGTATCGTTTGTGCGTTTTGAGTTCTAGTATCCTACCAGCACTTTGAATATGTCATCGTGTTGGAAAAGACGAATATGTCTGTTGTGAAGCGCCAGTTGTAACATGCAACGTGTTTGTGTCAAACAGCTCACTCGGTTTTAAAGATAACGATTTACAATAACCCCGGTGATGATACCACCACCAAATATGCCCATCGTCGCAACAATGGACGCAATAGACATCAGCGCCATACCGCTCAGTCCATGTCCACTCGTGCATGCACGCATGGTCTTCGCTCCGAGCAGCAAGAAGATTCCTCCCACGAACGCCAGCAGCGGATTGGCTCCCTGGATAGACGTGTCGAACACGTTCATGCTTCCAAAGTGGAGAGCGGACGAGAGATAGGACCCGAGCGCGGCAGCTCCGCAGAAGAAAACTTGCCACCAGTTCTGTTTGTTGGCCTTCAGCTCCGGAGCCTTGTCGTACACCTGCGCCAGCAGCGCCATGTACGCCATACTGGTGCCGACGAACTTGCCCATCAGTCCGTTGAGCGGCAGCTGCATGAGGCCCACGACGGCACCCGCAAGCTACAGGGAACGGACCTGCGTGCTGCCTACCACAGGGGACCAGGCGCGCGAGGAGAGGGTCATGGGCGCGGACTCGCCGACGTCCTGGCGCCAGGGAGCGAAGAGCTCGACGACGAAGACGATGACGTACATGAGGACGGCGAAGCAGACCGCCAGAACGCGATAGTCCCAGCCAGTCAGCTCCATCATGGTCTTCGCGTGCTTGCTCTCCTTGGTGGACAGCTGCTCGATGTCTAGATCGAAGGCAGAGGGAAAGCGGTACAAGGCTGCAGAAGAGTGTAGAGGAAAGTGCCCACGAAACAGCCAAGGAAGGTGAACCAGCAGTTCTTCACCCACGCACCGAGCTAGGAATCATCAGAGAGGCAGAAAAAGTGCGAACCTGCACATACACCATTCCAGGACAAGTTCCAGAGAGATCAAGACCAATACCCAGCAAAACGCCTCCAACAATGAAGGGAAGGTAGCCACGGTTCATCAGAGAACCCATGTTGTTGATGCTTGTAAGCACATTTTCCCTCGTTTGCTTCAACGAATAAAGAAGGGCGAAGGAGAGCGCACTGGTTCCAGAAGCAGTCAGGAAAAGCTTAAGCATGACCTATGTGTGAAAATAAACGCACATTCCTACAAAACGACTCATGACCATTTGGTCACGAATAATACTAGGATCAATAACTCGCCCCTTGTTCATAACGAACCCGAAAATCAGGCCGACTAAACTACTGATCACGTATCCCGCAAGCGAATTAGCGTTCACAAGAGCTTCCACATAATAGAATCGACATATTTATTACCCATTTTAGAACGATTTAAAGAAAATAATGGGAAACTGAAAGTGGCCGAAACGATGCTCAGAAGGTATCAAATGACTTGTCACGACTTGGCCGATTTCCCCATGGCCCCATTTGTGCTAGTGTGGAGTGTTACAATATGAGATTCATTTGAAGTGTATCTGATTTCATAGGCTACCCATAAGATATTCTTTTTGCATCTGTTGTCTCCGCAGTCTGCTTTCGCAATGAAGCCAAATGACTTGTTGTACGGGAAAATTCGTGCGTCCAATCAAAAAGGGACGCTCTAGAAATCCATAGATTCTAAACTGTGGTGAAACGCCATCCCTCGAATCCCCACATTCTTTTTTTATAACTTTCTTTTAGTATTGTATTATGAGCTCTCAAAAACACTCTGTTGCTGGTGCCCTGAAGCCTTATGTGGCCGGCGGTTCTGCTGCTTGTGTGGCTACGATGTGTGTTCACCCTCTTGATCTTTTAAAGACTCGTGTCCAGGTCCAAATTGTGGCTCCTGGAGAAGCTAGATTGGGCTCTATCAAGATGGCCCAGCTGATTGTGCGTGAGGGTGGCGTAACCAAGTTGTACGCTGGTCTTTCCGCCGCCATCATGCGACAGGCTGTGTACGGAACAGCTCGACTTGGCCTTCATGACCAGCTGTCCAAGATGTTCCGTGATCACAACGGAGGTAATGCCATTCCTCTGTATCAGAAGGTGATTGCTTCGATGGTCTCCGGAGCGGTTGGCGGTATTGCGGGTAACCCGTTCGACATTGCCATGGTCCGTATGCAGGCCGATGGTCATGCTCCCATTGAGCAGCGACGTGGATACACCAATGTGTTCACCGCGGTGAGCCGAATTACGAAGGAGGAGGGAGTTCTTACTCTTTGGAGAGGTTCATTCCCCATGGTGCTTCGTGCCATTGCCATGAACACCGGAATGATGGCCTCATACGATCAGTGCAAGGAAATGCTCTATCCCTACACCGGTAAGGGCTACACAACGAACCTGATTGCTTCTTGCGTTTCTGGTTTCGTGTGTGCCTTTACGACTTTGCCTTTCGATTTAATTAAGTGCCGTATGATGAATATGCGTGTTGATCCTGAAACGGGAAAAATGCCGTACAAGAACTTAGTTGACTGTGCCTACAAGATCGTGCGCTATGAAGGCTTTACCACGTTCTGGAGAGGTTACTGGACTTTCTGGGCTCGTTCGGCTCCTCACGCGATGATTAGTTTGCTCTTGAAGGATTTATTCAATGGTTGGTATAATAAGGCTTTTATGAAGTAAAATATATTGATTTTAGTATCTCCTGTATATTTCTATTATCGTTTTTGCCTTGTTTGTTGCAAAGTCGTCCGTGATGTGTTGGATCGTGCTCTTTGCATTCGTAGTCTGTGGGATCTTGACGGAAGCTTCCATGCCCGAATTTCCGCCCTCTCTCGAAATCAACTATAGTACTGTTGCCTATCAGATTCCTGAAGTATGAGTATGCGGATTTTGTCACCACCTAGTCCCAGGAATACCCCCCAAGAATTCGCAGCTATAAGCTCCTGTATGATAGGGATTATGGAGGTGCACGCTTTGAGTACAAGGATGAAAATGGCGTCGATGTGATTCTGATCAAGAATTATCACCAGGTAGGAATGGACACACAGATTGAGGATAGCACTATGAGGTTCGGATAGAGTCACTCAATGGCACTGATATTTGCGAATATAGCTATCTTGGACAGCTATTTCCTCTGCCGTCCTTCCCTTCGAAAGTTAAAAATGACGTACGCAATTATGGCCGTGAGTCAACCACAGGGAATCAAAGTAGATGGGGACCAGCGACTGTTGAGCTACTCCACTCAGAACTACCGCCAATACTTTGATATTTATTTTGAAGAAGTCACAAAATGTAGATATGATGCATCAAATCGATAGTAGTGCCTCTGAGAGTGGATGAGTATTGGGTAACAGAAGAGAAGACAGCAGTTCCCGTGTTTTCCACGGTCTACAACCATATTTCCAGAGAAACTCTGAGTCCTTGGCTTTTTGATGTGCTTTATTGGTATGGATCGAGTAGCAGGTGTGAGGAATAGGAAGGAGTCGGGACGCTGTTTACGAAATAGTAAAGGGTGGCCGTACAAGCAGATTTTTGGTCCTTTTGTAAAAGTGTATATTGTTTTTTCCATTCAAACCTTTTCAAATCACTCTCTTTTCACTTATTTTCACTGTTTTTGATTCCCAGACATGTCGATATTGAACTTTGCATCAAACCCATACTTTGAGGACGACGATTTTGCTCTTTCTACTGTTCCTGGCACAAGAATGAAATAGTAGTGATTAAGGGTCTTCTTTACTGTTAGTGAGAATAATGCAGCAGATCGATATCATATGAGCGTCGATATCGTTGAAGTTGGGGTTGAAGGAGATGGACTGATAGACTAGACGGATACGCAGTTTGTCGTTATCTGCGATGTCCCTGGAATCCCTAAGGACCGTATCAATATTCAGGTGAAGGGCGACATGATCTGTATCGAAGGAAAGAGAAAGAAGAAGGTGATTGGCCCCAACGATAAGTATTTGCAAACGGAGCGCAGAAACGGACCGTTTAAGCGTGCTCTGAAGGTACTTTGCTCAATCAGCTCGTTTTCCGTAGATGCCAGCTACGTGCGATACGGAGAAGATTGCTGCGAAGCTTGAGGATGGAATGCTGATCCTCACTATGCCCAAGGTGGAGGCGCAGCAAGCAGCTGTCGTGAAGATTTAAAACAAACAGGCCGCTACACACTGTAATTCTTGATATCTTTTCACTTCTTTGTTTTTATCTCCCTGTCCCTAGCACGAAGCCACCCCATCCTTCTGAATGGAGTGCTTCATCCATTTATTTCTTGGCCGATACGTGCTCGATGATCTTGGCTCGGATCTCATTGAAATAGCGAATATCCTCCGCTAGGGCTTTCACATCTACGATTCAAATAATTTCGATTCATCTACCTGATAAATGGCCTTCGTTGAACGTCTTCTCAATCTCTTGATACGTTTTCTGAGCACGGAGCCAAGCTCTCTGTGATGGATTGCTTTCTGACAAAAAGCCGCGAATCTTCTTTATGCCAGAGCGGAAAGCTATAACTTGGCGCAATAGCAGAACAACAGCATTGAAATTAGCCAAACGAACCGCATTCTCTCGAATCGACTTGCACGAAGCATTCACTTCGCTCTTTATTGAGTTGAAGGAAGTAGTAATCGCATCCACTTGGCTGTAAATATGTTCGTACTCTGTTTTTAACCCTTTGATGTCACTGATCTGGCTAAACAATTTATCTTGGTTCTGTAAGACAACGTCACGCAAATCATTATCAATAGTCTCCAAGTAAATCGAAAGCATCTTTAAACACATATCGATATCCATCCCCTGTGTCTCTCCGTCTCTGGATCGCATAAGGCCACTTGTAAACTGGTTCGGATTAAAGGAAGCATCCGCAAAACAACTGAAGGTTCCTACAAGCTCAAATGCATCGAATCTCATTTACCATCCCTTCGAATCCTCTGGACGGAAGGAAGCTGAGCAGATTCCGACATTTTGAGAAGAAAAAGAAATTCCAATAATCGTCCCGAATTTTGTCTACACAAACAAACATTTAGATTATTATTGGTATATTTATGATTGGTTGAATACACAATAAACAGCAGAAAATGGACAAGGAAAAGGAGAGCAAACACAGAAGATAATATTTATTGATAGTACGAAGAGATGATTCTGTAATACACTGTCTTCAACTCAAGCTCATTTTCAGGCGTAGGCGTATCGCAATAGGTCGTAAAAACTCGATTTAACGTCTATCCGTCAGTCCCCCTTCCTTCCTTCTCCCACATTAATATCATTGTCTATCTCTTCCACATGAGATTCTTCAGTCTCGCTATTCCGGAACTCGGTGAGCTCTCCTAGCAGCATTCTAACCTCCTTTTCATAAATCATTCTAGAGTTCGGAGGACTCTCTTTTCGATTTTCATACGTTTGAATCCAGAGATCATACTGAATGATGTCATGCTAATCTTAAAAACACGGAATTGCATTACCAGGATTCTGTCCTCATCTTCGGTCATTTCGGTAATAGTTTCCAAAGAGATCTTCTGTGATTTGTTTCTCAGTTTCCTCAGTTTACCCTTCAATTCCGCTATTTTCTTTCTAACAATGAGTGGAAAATAATAAAAGAAGTACCGCGCCTCTTGAGGGTTTAAACGGTAGTTATCAAAAATCGTATCAGGCTAAAAAATATCGCTATCCGAATGTACATACCCTACGAATCTGAGACGAAGATACTACAAAGCAATGGTTTGGAGTATCGATTGTAGGAATCAGCGATCGTTTCACCGGATCAGATGTTAATTGTTCACTAATCTTTACAGTGTTGCAATAAATACCTCAGAAAGTGCATTTCCTTGTCATTATACATAACGACAGGAGGCAAATATTTTGGTAATTTGAATCCGTCGAGTATGATATCCTCTGCTCATTCAATAGCACAGATATAGTTACCTGTGGAATCCACTTTTGTATTGTCCATGACAAATCCCAACTCAGTAGCTTCATAGGCAGTATTCATACTTCAAAATTCTCCTATAAAGAATAAAAACTGTTTAACAAGAAAATGTTTACTGACCTTCAAAAGAGCGGTCTCTATTTGAAGCAGTCATGGTACTCTGTTGTATTGATGTTGTATTTATAGGATTCAAGAGAAGTTGAAGAATTGCACAAAGTAGAAACAGTCTGTGTGTCACAAGCATAGTACCTCTCAATGTGAGTTCTTATACAATACGGCGCTGAATACAGACCTCTCTGTGTGTAGTGAGGGCATTTTAGCTTCCTTGCAGACTCCGACGCAGTGCTATACTATACCGATGTGTGTTGTATTGCAAGTAAGGCAGTTCCTGCTTAAACCAAGTAGATTGAAAAGATCGTGAACATTTCCGTTCCGAAAGACTCGCAGTTTACTGATACAACGAACAGAATGCTGAAGATGGAGCTGACCGACGGGAAGACGACCTGCTATGCCATAGAATATACTCCTATTCCTTCGTTGACGATTGCTATCAAACGGGGAGCCAAGATCGCAGTTCAGAATGTTCGTGTGGAGAATGGCCTGCTTCTCCTAAACCCTACCAACGTCCTTTTATTAGGAGGAACAGTGTGTGGATGTTTTTTTGGAACAAACATGGCTACTAGTATCAGTTCTACTACTACTACTACTACTACTACTACTACTACTACTACTACTACTACTACTATAACACTCTATCAAACATTTGCCATTTGATATCTCAGCTTCCGGATTTGGTCTTTCATTTCCGAAGCAGCCATTTCCATGACGTACTTTTCATCCAAGAGAGATTTGATGATGCTGTCGATCATGGTTTTGGTACAATACAAATTCGTCTCAATCTCGGGCGGCTCTCGGTTTTCATTCTGCTTCACACAGTTGTGATACACGCTCTTCATCGACTCGAGCGAGACCGGCAGTCCCATATCGTACGTTGTATTGAACACGTCCGTCATGAGATTATTCACCTGCACTTCAATGTTCGCAAGATCCGAATCGGTCAGGCAGCTCTGATTGTCCACCGACATACTCAGCGTCAATTCCAGCTGCTCCGCGCGGATTCGCCACAGAACGCACTGGCTCCGCTCGTACTCCAGCTGCTGCGAAACACTGTTCTGGTCGACGCCCAACGCCACGGGCAGCTGGTTGGCCGCCTGCAATCGGCTCGACAGCTCCTCGATTTCGTTCTGATACACGGAGACGGTCGATTGGAGATACTTGTTCTGCCGAAGCAGGTTCCCCATCGCGCTCTCCCCCACGGGAATCATCTGCGTATCGCACGAAATCGTGGTCTTCATCGTCCCGCCCTCCATCTGGTCCAGCAGCACGTGATCCGGAATCAGATCCAGCTGCTTCTGCTTGCTGTCGCACAGCTTCGTCGTCGCCTCCAGCTCCTTCTTCAGCTGCCCCACGTGTTCCTGGTTCGTCTGGAAGAACGTGCAGAGGTCGGAAGTCACCAGCGTCGTGGCCCCCGCAAAGATCTTCATCACCTCGTTCACGAACCCGGGATTGCTGGCGAGCGTCCCCAGATGCGAGATCATCTTCTCGATGGAGTCGCAGTTGGCCACGCTGATCTCCCAGTCCTTGCACGTTTTGCAGAAGTCGTACACAAGCATCACGGCGTAGTTGCTCACAGTCTCCAAATCCGAACTCGCGGCTTCATAGTCCAGTTTCAACTTGCCACTCTTCTCTTCCAACTGCTTGACTCGCTCATCTAACTGCTTGATCTTGCTTTCCGATTCGTCCTTCACGCGACTCAGTTCACTTTTGCTCGCCTTCAACGAATCCTTACTCAGCCTATCGGTGGCGCGCAACGAATCCACGGATTCCTTCATCTAGGCTCGCAGTCCCCGGCCAATTCTACTTGATGCCACGACTCCTCCATCACCTTGCTCGCTGTGATTTCTCGCTGAATCTTCGACTCCTTGTCCTCCAAGTCCTCCTCCAATGACTGAATGTACTGCTGGTTCGATTCGTTTTCCTTCTGCAGAACGTTCAGTCGCTCTTCCAGCTCGATGTTCCGCTTCTGCAGCGCGTCCATCCGCTGCTTATCCGTCTGCTGCGCCTCCTTCATCACGTCCAGCTGGCCTTCCAGCGCCTGCAGATGTCCCAGTTTCTCCTATTCTTCACGCCCTTCCCGCGTCGCTACGTTCAGCGCATCGCGCAGAATGGCCAAATCCGTTTCGTCCTGCATCGCGCACGCGCACTCCACCTGCTCCAGCGGATTGATCAGACGGTCGTAGTTCATCTGGAGCTGGCGCAGCTGTTCCTGCACGCCGAGCAGCTGGCTCTCGACGATTCGACGCTTGGAGCACTCCTTGCTCGCCATCTGGAGGAACTCGTTTCGCTCTCGCTCCAGCATCGAAAGATAGGTCTCCGTTCCCAAAGGAGGAAGCGAAGAAAAGCCGGAAAAGAACTTCAAAAGCCCCAGCAATCGCTCGTTCAGCGACCCCACGATCTCCAAACGAATCTTCCAGTACGTCGTGGCGTCCGACTCCTTTCCGACCGACGAAATCCGCGCAAGCAAGTCCGCCTTCTCCGCCTCGTGGCTCGCCACCATGCTTTGGAGCTGACGATTGTTCTGGTGCAGCAAGGACTCGCGGGCAGCGCAGTTCTCGTGCTGCCTTCGAAGAACCTGAACGTCCTGCTTCAAGTTCTCGTTCTCTTTGCTTAACTAGCGCTCAGGCCTCCTCTATCGCACAGCTACGGTGTCGCGCTGCTTGGTGACCTCGCTCAGCTGGGACTGCAAACTCTCTATTTTCTGCTGGGCGTCGCTCAGTAGGGAATAGACGGCCGACGAAGAGATGATCGTGCTCGAATACACGGAAGGACTGGCAGTTTTGATCTGCTTCTCCATATCGTCGAGACGGTCTTGCAGCTGGTCTTTCTTCCTCGCTTCCTCGAGAGACGTCATATAGAGGGAATCCACCTTCTCATTGAGCTTCTTGATTTTTGCATCCCGCTCCGCAAGAAGGGCCTTGAGACTGGCAGTCTCCTTTTTGGCTTTATCCTTTTGGTCACTGAGTTCCTTGTTTAGAGATGCGATTTGTTCACTCAGTGTCTAGAAAATCAGCCGTTCCTATTTATATTATTCACATCGTTCTCTTTTTTCGTATCATTCAGGAGTTGTCCCGCAGAAATGATCCTGGTACTCAATTGTTTAACCTCTTCTTTCTTCGAAGAAAGCTGTTTCTAGACAGAGTGAGCGACAATCACTTTACAAAAGGCACATACCTGCAACGCTAGGTTTTTCTCTTCAAGACGTTTTATCTTCTCCTTTATCTTTGAATTTTGCTATTTGTTAGATCCAAAGCCAAGTCAAACAGCGTCTAGCTCATAAAACCGCTTTTGTTGATCCTGCAAGTGAATCGTATCTTTCCATGACTTACGTAGCTAGATTGCATTCTTATTGACCTGCAAGCCCGTGTGCCTGCTTATTCAAAAAGACACAATTACAAAAGTCTAAATATATTCAAAATACAAACTGCAACAACTACTACCTGTTTTGGAAACAAACAAATATTTCTTTTCTTTATTATAATACTTTGCCATGAGATTCTATTTACTCCAGAATAGGATAGGAAGCAGCAGTGGCAACACCGCAAATGTTGTTCTTTCTCGCAATCTTGACGTAGCCGTTGTCTCCCCAGTAAGTGGACCAGGAGTTCTTGATCAGCCAGTAGTCCTTTCCGTTCTCGGTTCCGTAACCCACGGCCAGGACGGCATGCGCCTGATCCTCCACAGCGGACGAGCACTCGGGGTTGTCGAAGACTCCCTCGGCGTAGAAGAGGAAGTCGGTGGTGACAGCGATACCGACGGAGATGGGACCCACGTTGGCCACGGCGTCCTCCAGCTCCTCCACCGATCCGGGGGTGATCAGCACGTAGTCCGTGATCTTGACGGCGGCGGCGGACTTGTTGAAGTGGCACCATCCGTCAATGCCCAGGTAGTGTCCGTAGTCCTCGTCGGTCATCAGACCGCCGTTGTGCAGCATCCAGCCGTAGGCGCGGAAGTCCTCGCCTCCGTTGCAGCCGTCGTTACCGAAGTTCCACGAGCAGTCCAGCAGGTTCTGCTCCGAGAACTTGACCAGCTTGCCGTACTTGAGGAAGTACTGTCCCTCCAGCACTCCCACCGTTCCGTAGGTCCAGCAGGATCCGCACATGCACTGATCCTTCACGGGGGTCACGGCTCCCTTCTCTCTCCAGTCCACGAAGTCGGGCTTGACGCCGTTGCTGGGCGTGTAGCGATGAGCGGCGAAGTCCTTCTTCTGCGAGCGCTTCAGTCCCATCATGGCGCGCAGCTCCGACTCCGAGCGATCCGCCAGGTGGTTCAGCTTCAGCTTGTAGCTGCGGTTCTCGCTGTTCACCTTCTCCACGCGGGCCTTGTTGCGCAGGAAGTTCAGCTGGCGCTCCTTGTACTCCACATCGTTGTAGCACTTCTTGTTGTCCTTCACGAACTGCTTGAACTCCGCAGCAGCCGTGCGAGGGAAGCGGGTCGACAGGAACTTGTGCGAGTCGCCCACAACCGAACCAGGTCCAGGGAAGTCAATGCAAGTCCACTTCGTCTCGGGCTCCGAGAAATCCTCAGCAGTGGGACGCACGTACTCCACAGAGATGTAATCGTAGATGTACTCATCGAAGTGAGACTGCAGGACCACGTTGTAGCCGATCATGTAGAAGCGGACAGGCTTGAAGTTGCCAATGTCCTCATAGTACCAATACTTGTTCAGCTTGTCGCCAATCTGCTCCTCGTGGTACCACACTCTGCAGTTGTGGCCGTTGACCTTCTCCATCTTATCCTGAAGTTCGAAACCCTCCAGGTCAGGGAGAATCGAGTTCATGGCCACATCACCCTTGTGGATGTTGAAGCAAGTCTCGTAAGCAACCACAGGAACCTACATCTCATACCAAAGTATCCAACTCTACGATAGCATATCCGACTTCCTTGTTCATATCATAGTAGTATCTGTTGACACCACCATCTACCTCTCATTCGTATCCAAATAAAAATTACAATAATCGAAACGAGCCTTCTTAGCGTCAGCATCATAGTAGACAAAGATGGGCTCCACAAAGTCAGCGTAAGGCAGTGTTACGGTGACGTTGGCCTTGTAAAAGGTAGGGAATTGAGGGTAGGCTAGAGCAGCCGCAATTAAGAATCCGCTATCCTTGACCAAAATTAACCAAACCTACAACAAAAAGTTCATCGCTCACAAGATTATTATGAATAGAAACGTTGAAACATTCATCTTGATGATGATTGGAGAACCACTTTTTCCATCCTTATCAAGGATCAACAATGGTATCACTATACATTTTCAACAAACAAACAAACAAACAAACAATTAAATAATTAAATGCCAAAAACTACAGATAGCTTGATAAGGAATTGAGCAACGACGCGTCCATCTTTTGGAATGCTCTCTGGAAATTTTCGGGTCCGAGTTTGCTTTGCAATTGCTACATCTTATTCCACCACCGCTCCTTACCGAACAAAAGAACGAAAAGCTTTCTTGGACCTTCGACTGCTCCACAAACCGCTTTAAATACTCGCTTGAGAGTCGGTCGGATCGATTCATGCTTTTCTCCGTAAACACAAGACGCATTTTATCTTCTCCCACTTCCATTTCCGAAATCACGTTCAGAAAGCAATCCACCACTTGTTCCAGCAGCTCGAGCTCGCTTTCTCCTCCATTCAAAATGCAGATCAGCATGCACTGCACAAACAAGCTGCGTCGCACATAGCCGATCGCCCCTCCTCCCGCACAGTCAAAACTCCGCAAAAACGAGGAAAGCATGGCGCTGAAGAAATCGTACTCGCCTACATCTCAGCCTTCGCCCAATCGCTACGCAGCCGCAGCTGATTGCACAGTCCCGCGAGCAGCTGCAAGCTTTCACCCCCGTTGAGCAGCGTCTGGCCGACGATGAGCAGGTAGGACACGTAGGTGTTTTCGGTGATTTTCCCGTTGGTGTCGGCTTCCTCGCGCTGCAGAAGGATCGGAATGATCTTTCCGAGAACGGACTGCACGATGAAGACCGCTTCTTTGGGGAAGAGGAGCAGCACTGTGTGGATCGACGTGGCCAACCTCGTGATTTCCTTCGCGGACACAGCTTCCTCCAAGCAGAGATACAGTTCCTGCAGCGCACTCCGATAGGCCTGCACGAACGATTCGCGTCCGAGATAGAGATAAGCGTCCACGATGTTCATCACAGTGCCAAAGTTCTTCATTTCTCGCAGATACACATCCAACAAGCACGGAAACAGCACGTGGATCGCTTCTGAGTACTCCACTCCTTCGATCCGCAGCGTGGAATTCCACAAAATCAGCCCATCTTCCAGACACAAGTCCACCACCGTGCTGTCTGGATTGTGAACCGCGTACTCCACGACGTGCAGCAACGCAGCAACATACGAACCCATCGAAGCCTTTCCGTTCTATGCATGATTCATCCGGGCAGCAGAGCCCTACACTCACGATATTGGTTAAAAAGCGAAGCAGCTTGGCTTGGCAGCTCAGCTCGCGGATCTGAATCGAGTGATTCCACAGCACATCGAAGGTTTGAAGCAGCTGCAAATAGCGATTCTCCGCCTCACAGCGCTTGCAAAGCGCCTCGCACAACGCGATGAGTCGCTCTCTGCTCTCCTGCGAGTTCGTTTCCTACCCATCACCCATCGCCTTCAACGATCGCACTTGATATAAAAACACGATATGGCTCAAGATCTCATCGAAGCTTCGGAGAATCAGCGAAACGCTCATCGGCGATCCCTCCAAAAGCTCCGTCAAACACCCCACGCCAGCCAATCGAACCGCCAGATTGGAGTGACGCAGGAGCTCGATGATGCTGCTCACCAGCAAAGATCGCGATGATTCATCGAAGAGATAGAAGCACTGCGTCACCACGGCGATGCATTCCACCGCCAACGAAGACGAAACGCCTTCTCGAAGCAGCGGAAGCAGCAAGTGCGACACAACGTTTTTATAATTGACCTGCGCGGAGAGAGCGCTGCCTCCCCTCTGAAAGAAGCACAAAAGTCCATAAATCGACGGCTCGGAAGCGGAGGACAGATTCTGCATCGTTTCCAAAATCAATTGAATCATCAGTTGCGGGCAAACCTGGTAGAGCGAATCGCACAGCGAGAAGAGTTTCTGCCGATAGCACGAATTGGTCAGCGTCCAGTACGAACTCTCCGGATCCTCGTCCAGCAGAGCGAGCTGCGAAGGAGATAGCGGGAACATTCGCTGCTGCAGACAGCGCAGCAACCGATCGAGCGTCTCGGGCGAATAGAATTGGCGGAGCGCAGCGTCCGCGGAACTCTTTGACAGCAGCGAAATCACCGCGGAGATCGCGACATCCACGACAGGGAACAAGTCCATTCTATCGCCTGATTCGTCCCCATCCGCGGCTACAGCAAGTCGATCTGCGTTTGATCGCTGAACACAGAGAACAAAAAGGTGTGGCACAGCGACGCGAAATCGGAGAGGAGCGGCGCGATCGCCGGCAACGAGGACTGCGACAGCGCCTGCAGCGATTTCAGGCACCATTTCATCGATCGGATGAGGCTGCTGTCGGTGAGAACGTCGCCGCGTTGCAGGCAGGCGAGCTCGAGCGAGAGCAGTTGCGACATCAGGGACGGGAGCTCGGCTTGGAGCGGAGAGCGAGGATCGCGGAGAACCCCCGTGGTCACGATCTTGTAAATGCTCTTTCTTTCAGGGGAGGGGAAGGAGAGTACGCTCATCGCGCAGCGGAGAATCTCCGATGAGAGGGCGTCGGCGGTCATCGACTGCACCAGCTTCAAGCAGCCTGTGGCCAGACTGAACAAGCGAGGAAGCATCTGGTTGTAGAGAACGCGCTGACGACCGATTCGACAGGTCGAGAACACGCGGATGAAACAGAGAAGGGAATTCCTTTGTGACAGAAATGGGGAAGGCGTACATGCATTGGTACACTTTTATGGGGTCGGAGGAGGACAGCAACGCTTCGATCACTTCCAAGTAGTTGCCGATACGGTCCGGATAATCAACGCGAGCGATACGAGCAATTGTGAGCGATAGATGCGTGATTAGCGCTGGATTGTCGAGGGGATTTGAAAACTAGGTACAAGTTCGCCGAAATCGATACATATTGCATCAACATGACCGAGAAGGATTGCTTTGCCTCCTCCGATAGATTATCTGCAACAACTCCCGAGGAATGTCTCCACCAACGATTGTTGACACAGTTTTTGATATTAATCACTGCTAATTGTCGGATACCAAATGGATACTCTGGATTATATACAATATGCTAGCACATTAGTCATTTCCACAAACATCAACCAATAGGCACTCTAAATATCCTTTTTTACATTCCATTTCGTGGAAAAGACTTCCAGACAATAGATTCGAAGACTGCGTCGGATCCAACACTTGCTGCAAGATCTGAACCAAGAAGGGTTCCTCTTGGGACGTAAATTGCTCTGGTAATTGAATCTGCATCGACCAAACCAATCTAGAAACCAAATTATCTTTGTGTCAACAAAAACAACGCTTAAGTAATTTCACCCTTCTATTCATCATCTTCCTCGTCATCATCATCATCGTCGTCGTCATCATCATCATCATCGTCCTCATCGTCCTCATCGTCATCGTCCTCATCATCGTCCTCATTCTCGTCCTCATTCTCATTCTCCTCTCCCTCTCCATTCTCGTCCTCGTCCTCGTCCTCGTCCTCGTCTTCCTCGTCCTCCTCTCCACTCACGGGCGCTTCATTTAGCCACACGATCATCGGTTCCGCCGCTTCCTTCAGCTCCTTCACGAACTTCTCCGTCAGACACGAGAACCGATGCTTCAGCGTGTGGCTCTCCCACCGCAAGATCGTCTTCTCGCTCAGCACGTCCGCGTCGTACATGAACTTCAGCACGGCAGCGAAGTAGGCGCGCAGCGCGGGCACACGGAAGGCGAGCAGCTCCAACACGATCATCATTCGCTCCTCCACCGAGCTCTTGCTGATGAACTAGGCCTCACCCCTCCCGCACGACGCTACGCTGCGCACCACGCCGCCGAATCGCTCCAGCACCGCAGGGATCGCCGCGTAGTCGGGCACGTTCATGCAGATCGCGTAGAGCGCCAGCGGAGCGCGCTCGGGCAGCTTGAACGAGCTCGCGTTCTGCACGTTCTGCACCGTCTCGATGAGCTGCTCGGCCGTGGTGGCCTCGGTGATGGTCTCCGCGATGCGGGACGCGCACTCCACTAGACGTCAAGGAAGCTTCGAAGGACCGACAGAACGAAGAGGTCGAGGATTTCTCGCGATGCTTATGCTTGTGCTTGCGCTCCTCGTCGTGCGAGGGCTTCGACTTGTGCTTGTGCTTGCGCGGCTCCGCTTCCTCGTCGCGCGGAGACTTCGATTTCGATTTCGACTTCGGCTTGCTGATGTCGTTTATGATGAACTTGTCTGCGGGTCAGAAAGGCGTCACACCGGTACTCATTTTGTTTTCGCTGGGAATTACGGACTCGCTTCCGCAAGCATGGCAGCGGTGGTACAAATCCTTCTTGTGCTTCAACACCAGAACCGTTTCGGGAAGGCCGCAGCAAGGACACAGAACGTAGATCTCGATGAACTTGTTCAGGATCTTTAGCAAGTCGGCGTTCGGATGATCTCCATTTACAGAGGCTTTTTCTTCTTTTTGGTCGTATTTCGACTGCGCTCCCAGCTCATATCCAAAGAACTAGAAAATCACTCGGCTCCTCCCTCCACTACCTTTGGAAGATAAGAAGCAGGTCGATTCAAGGCCTCCGCAACTTCTTTTGCATTTATCAGAATTGTCTTGATACCGTTACCACGTCCCTCCGTCTTGGACTGGAGCTTTGGCATCTTGTAACGATATGCTGGATCGTCACTAGGTCCGATGTTAATTAGCGACATCACCTAGAAAAGCGTTAGTGGGAGAGGAAATCAAAAGGAATTTTGCATCTTCCTTGCCGTTCTAGCGAACCGAACGAACAACGGGAACGAGCTCGCCACAGCAACGGTAGATGCCACTGCCAATTTGTTATACATACTCCAATAATAAACCTGTCGAACGAACAGTTTTCTATCTTAGCGTGATGGTCTATCCCGCGGGAATTCAACTATTCTGATTCCTCAACAAACAAGCGAGTTAACAAAAAAAATAAGCTGATTATGTAATTAGCAGGAGCAACCTCCACTTTTCTCGTGCTTCTTCAACACAACTGGAGTATCTACACTGAACATGTCCCCCTTCTCCCACTTCCCATCTCGCTCTCGTCCTTCTTCGACTTCTTCAGAATCAGACTTCCCATGGCGCGGAAGGCTTCGTTCACATTCTGTCCATCCACGGCGCTGGTGACAAAATAAGAGTAGTTCAACGCGGCGGCTCGCTCCTTGATTTCCTCGTCGGAAACCTGCCGGCGATCCAACTGATCGCCGTGCGTGGCGATCAAAATGCAGCAAACATCCTCCACTCCGCTCTGGACATCAGGAAGGGATGGACACTCCTACGTTCTCGATCTGTTGAATCCATGTAGAGATGTTGGTAAACGATGTGCGAGTCGTTATATCAAAAACCAGGAACACGCCCTAACAAACAAGCAAATCCTCTGCGCGTACAGCCACGTCGTGTAAGTACGACTTGGTTATGGCTCGGAACCGCTCCTGCCCTGCAGTGTCCCAAACCTATGCGTTAATACGATCCAAGCATGATGCAAGTACCTCAAGACGGCATACTTTGTCATCGATTGTCTCAATCTTCGTACGATAGTCAATTCCCTATTATCTAACCAGCAAACATATTTCCCTACAATTGTTGTGTAAAATTCACTGGAAAAGGTACCCTGAATGTATCTGTTTAGCAAACAAGTCTTTCCGACCGCTAAACTCTCAGCGCAGTTACCAAAAACACGTACCAGAATCTCCGATCAGGGCAAGCTTCATATTCACATCATAAGGCATGTCATCTCCCTCTCCAGTGGCAACACCAAGTCCGTTCATACTATGCGATGATGATTCCATTTTTACAACTTACGTCTGGTAATACTAAAAAATACCCGAAATAATAAATAATACGGAATCATGTAGTTACCGCGATTCTGACAAAGATTGAAAACAATTCGAATCCTGTTGTCTTTGCCTTGTTGTGACTCTATCATATGTATAATGGTAGGTTTAAATATTAGAAACACAAAGACACGAAGTTTGGTTTCCACTATTACCATCTATTCACAAGATCCACTTTTTGGTTGCATGGAGAGCGTTTGTGTGGATCATCCATGGAAATGGGTAAGTTGATCGATTTGTACGTAACCTCAAGAAATGGAATTCCAGTAATCAGGATTATTATCTGCACTTTGAGACTATCTATCTATCTATCTATCTATCTAGTAATATGGCTTCCAAGGATGTTTTTCTCGTATCTGGAGGATACGATGGAGTAATCCGCTGCTGGGATACATCGGGAGGTCACGCGAAAAAGACCCTGGAATACAAAGATAGTCAGGATGCAAAAACAAAATATGTATAGACAACATGTTTCCGTCACTTTCAGCCCGTTTTTTCTCTGGATTTCTCAAATGACGGTCACTACCTCGCTGCGTGCTCTGTGAAGTCGTTTAGAATCTATGAAACCGATTCGGATAAGCAGGCACCCAAAGTATGAAGGATTGCTGTAGTTTTTATGCATAGTACGTAAAACAGGAGGCTCACAAGGCAGCAATCAATAAAATTGGTTTTAACTATGATGCAAAATGGATATATACAGCAGGAAACGACAAACAGTGTAAGATTTGGGACATGCGCACTGCCGTGTGCGTTCATACTGTTGAAGCTCGTGGAATGATTAACGGATGTTTGCTGCATCCGAATCAAGTTTTGATTTGAATGATGAGTTTTTACACATAGACGGAGATCGTAATGGTGGACGAGAGTGGCTTCGTCCGCGTGTGGAACATCAGCACAGGCACATTCCGTCTCGAAATGGTATTCTCTCTAACGCTCCCTCGCTCATACTCAGTGTCCCGATGATAACACGCCTCTGCATTGCATGACGATCAGTCCTGATGGCGAGAGCGTTTTCATTTTTCCCTTCTCTTCACTCGCAGCTCATTGCTTGCAGTAAGAAGGGCAACGTGTACATCTGGAAATACTCCAGCACCGCCATTCAGCCGCGCCTAAAGTTCCACGCCCACGACGAATACGTTCTTTCCTGCAAGGTTTCCATGACAAACAAGTGGGATTCGCTAGACAGTTCGAAGTATAGAATGCTTGCTACGACATCGGCCGATCGCAGCATCAAGCTGTGGGACCTGGATACGATGGAGGTCACGAAGCTGATCGGTCATGAAGTGTGCGATGGTCTTATTGCTAAAGTCTAGGGATATGTGTGGGACTCGACGTTCTCGTGCGACAGCAAAAACCTGGTGAGTTGTAGGAGTGAGAGAAGGGATGCTCAGAATAGGCTCGTCGGATCATACGTGTCGACTATGGGATCTGCGATCGGGTCGAGTGATTCGGCACTACACAGGACACGAGAAGACAGTGGCGTGCGTGGCTCTGTACGAGCGATTCTGTTCTGTTTGATTTACAAACACTCGAAAACAGCATATAGAAATCATCGTCATCGCTACTCGTCTCGATCACATTGCTCTCCTTCACCTTCTTCTCCAGCGATTCCTCCTTCACCTTCACCATATCGTGCAGCGACACCACCGTTCGCACCAGCGAGCTCAGATACAACAGCTACACTCACACTCTCCTTCCATCTCTACCATGTAAATATCGTTCGTTTTGGCCGCGATCGCCTCCTGGATCGCTTCCAACTATCCATTACAATCCACCCCCATCGCTACGTGCAGATTCGGAAGACTGCTCAGCAAGGTCTGGATGTGATTCATGATCTCCGAGTTCGGAGGATTCGAAGAGGAGCAGTGCTCCAAGTACTCGATGATCGTGTGAATGCGGTCTTCGATCCCTCGCAGAGAGACCATTTTGTCGTTGATTTGGTTGTAAATTGACACCATGGAAGCGTCGCGAACGCTCCGAAGAACGTGCTGAACGCCAGCCTCTTCGATGGGAAGACCCTCGATCTTCACGTTCAGCTGGAAGAACATACGCTCTCCCTCCTTTCCATTCTGCGAATTACAATCACACGAACGAACAAGCTACTTTGTCAATCACCTCTTGCGTAATATAACCCTTGGCAGGAACATCACCAACGCTGTTGTGGATGTCCAGTGTTAAGAATATCTAGCTATTAGGCAAGGATACAATGCTCACGGGATTATTGCAATACTTACGGAACATTTGATCGATTTCAAGGTCAATCGCGTTTAATTTGCTGCTCGAGCTGTAGTAACCCACAATATTCTCTTTTACTAAACATTACACACTTACAAGAGAAGGCACTATTGATTCGCTTTTGCATTTTTTCAATCTTCTCCAAATAGTCTGTGTCGAGGAACCATACATTTGTTTCCTTGTTTTCTTCAAAAGGAACTAACAGTTACTCCGTCACCTCCTTCCCTACCAGCAAATGAAGTTGAACAGTCCACAACTCCATTTCTACATGAACCCAAAAGAACGCCGACTACACGACCCTTCGTCATTGTTGACATTCTTTTCACATGATCCGTTATCCCCAGTAAAACGATCGGGTGAACAATCACTGTATGAATGGAAGGCATATAGAATTGAAAGAATAATGAGCAAAATAGCCCATACTTTTGGAATCGGAAACAAGAGTGTATAGAAAAAAACAAGCAAACCAGAGGAAATAAAGTGTTGTTGATAAAGAGACGTTTACCCCCCGCGAGGCCGTTACGAATGGTATTCATTGTACTTCTTGCTTGATCCTCGAACCACATCAGCTGGATACTTCTTCGCGTTGAGACCCATTTTGCGAATCGCAGCCGAGGGCAAATCAATTCCACACCGATCTAGGCATCAATACAGATAATGGATAATACCCGAAAGACGGATCAAGTAAATCAGAACGTCACTCAACTCTTCTCCGAGATGAACACGTTCCTCTTCCGAAAGTTCCGGCGTACCTGGGGAGACCGTTTCTTTCCACTGGAGAATCTCACACACCTCTCCCACTTCACCCATCTACAGGTTCACTCCTTCTTCCTTCTCTACCATGGCAAGAAGTAGATTTCGTGGAGTATGGAACTAGAGAAATGAGTAGAATAAAAAAAGGACGTACCTGGTCCCAATCTCGCTCCTCCGCGAATTTCTGAATACGCGCTCTCAGTTCTTCCAGAGTAACCTGACTATCAAAACGGCTTTTCGGTTGTTCCTCGCTCATCAAAGTGTTTTTAAGAAACAGCTCAACAATCAAATCCAAATTCAAATTCAAATTCAAATTCAAAGATCAATACACAAGATACTTCTTGAATAGTTTGTCCAGACCACAAAGAATGGGCTCTTCCATTTCCAGCGGAATGTTCTCTCGTCGTAAGATCTACCCCTCAACCCCTCTTCCTTCTCCCACGCTCATCACGTTCTCCCTCAGCATGGTCACGGCCGTCCCAATGGACGCCGGCTTGGCTCCCTGCGTGCCCAAAAAGAGCGGATATTGCATGGGCGGTTCTTCGTGCACATCGAAAATCACCGAAGACGAGGCTCGATAATCGATCGTGTACGGCAGCGGGATCTACGCTCGACCCCTCGCTCCACCGCTACCATGAAGTACTTCCCCAGCAGCTGCACGAGATGCGCGAGGAAGCCCAGCGCGGCGTTGGTTCGATTCACGGCGTCTTCGTTCACTTGGCCTCTCGCTATGCCGTAAACGCCCCACGATTCGCATCGTACTTCGCAGCTCGAACTCGGGGATCTCGATATTGCGCAGCGTGTAGCTCGCTCCGACCTGTCGAATGGGATACACGAAGGAAAGCATGGCGAGGAGCCGCGTGCAGCGCGCATGCAGACTGTCCATCGTCTTGATGTCGTCCTTTCTAGCCGTTCAACGCTCCCTCCGGCGCTACTCCAATTCCGTCACGCGCTCATTCCGCTCCTCCACCATTTTCTGATAGTTCGCCACGTTCTACGCCTCACTCCCTCCTCTCTCACCCACGCTTCGATGCGTCTCCAATCCCTGCAGCGACTGCTCCAGCGCGCTGCGAATCCGATCGCACTCCTTCGTTTCTACTCGCCACTCCTCAGCACTTCCTACCCTCCTCCAAATGCTCCTTCAGCGTCGCTTCTTCCGCGCGGAGCTGCAGAATATCGTTCATTAAACACTTCGAAGCCACGTTTTTCTCGTTCGCCGCCATCGGGCCGCTCATTACGTCCTTCACCATATCCTTCATCAACGACATCCGATCATCGTTCTGCTTCGTGCGGGATTGCTGTAAGTAGAGTTGCTGCAGCGTGGTCAGCGTGAAATGGAAGTCAACCTGCAGTTCAGTCGCTGAATCAGACTACAAACGGGGTTCGTTGTGGGGATCGGAGGGTACTCCACGGTCTTCAACGTGCCCGTGGCGCGGAGGAGCGAGCAGACTTCGTGGGTAGTGAAATAACCGTCTTGCATTTGGAAGAGAATCGCATTGAAGGGAAGTGCCTTGATGACACGTCAGGAATACAAATACGTTGAAAATATTCGTAAACACCGTAGTGCTCATGTTGGCCAAAATGAAGTCACCCTCTGCCTTGTGGAAAGAGTCGATGTTGTTTGATCTCAGATCGGTGGCTTCCAATGGGCAAATGTATTCCAAATCTTGCACGTTCACCGTGGATTCGATAATTTTCTGAGGTTCCTTGCCGACATTGTTCCAGATACGAAGGATGAACACTAGCCCTCAATTCCAGACAGCAAAATTACCTTTTTCCTCCTTTGCTTGTTCTAAAATATCGATTGGGTTCCCAAATTCATTCCATTCCGGGTTCACAGTATCTTGAAGTGTTTCAGATGTATATACGAGAGTTTCATTACCAGAATCTGCATTCTTGTCAAGATCTATTGCAAATCACAATACAGATACGAGAGTACTGCAATGGATCGTGAAATACAGCTGGCAGCTTTTTTCCACAGATTCATTGTAAATATTGCGTATAGAAATGCATCTCAAGTGTCGCAGACGTCTCTGACAATCAAATCATGTCCTAATCCCATACAAGTCCAGGAAGAATCCTTCGGTAGAATTTCAGATTCGCAGTAGGGTTTCCTGATTCCGTTAATGGAGTGTTCATCTCGAGGACAAGAAAAAAGAAATTGTAAATTATCCCAAACAAACAAGCAGATGAACCATGATACAACTACCAAAAACTTGTGTCCTTCAAATTAAGAAAGAACATCAAGAACACGAGAATAACTCAAGTAGTCGAAGTTGGGAATGGCATTTAAAATACCATCAATTGTTTTATCTACACTCTTTGTACTCGGACTGCGTGCCGTTTCCTTCTGACTCTCCTTCCTCGGCTTCTCAAACAAGTCATCGGACCCTTCGTCACTCCATGAATCAAGCTTTGCATTCCTCGCTTCTGGCTCTGATTCCTCGTCACTCCACGAATCTCTCCGTGTTTTCTTCTTCCCCTCCGCAGGCCTAGCTAATTCCATAGGTTCCATAGGCTCCACGGGCTCTGCAGGCTTTTTGGATGGTTGGGAAGAGGGGGGCTGCGACAAAGCTGGCTCCTTCCACTTGCTCATATCGATCTTCAGCTTTCGATTTCGTGCCGAGCGCGTTGGCTTCGCGGGCTTCGCGGGCTTCGCGAGCTTCTGGCTTTCTCCTGGCGGTTCCAATGTTGGGCTGGGCTGCGAGCCTCCAGTCGACGGCTCTTCGATCGACGGCGCTCTGCTTTCTCTTGGTGTTGGTTTCGCAGCATTGGTCGCTGCCTGCGATTCCTCCTTTTTGTTCCTCGACGCCAAGCGACGCGCTCGCGAGGGCTTGGGCGGCCGTTTAATCGCGGGAACCGCACTCCAATCCTCCTCATCCGAGAACAAATCGGACTGGTTGGCCGCCGACTGATCGGGTTTTGAGGGCACGTCCTTGGAGACCGGCTTGATTTCTTCTTCGCTGTCGTCGTCCCAATCGTCGGAATGCTTTGATTCCACCGCCTTTACGGGGCTTGCTTCCCACTCATCATCGTCCCAGAAATCCTGCTTCTTTCCGCTCAACGCAGCATCGCTCGCTTTAGCTGGCTTGGCTGGCTTGGCTGGCTCTTCATCCCAGCTGGGATCCCACAAATTCGATGGCTGGGCGGGCACTTTCGAAGATTTCTGTTCGGGTTCGGAAGGCTTGGGGGACAGCGTTTCCCAATCATCGCCATCGTCCCAGAGAGAAGATTTCTTAGAGGGGTTGGAAGGCGTGGATTCTTCCCATTCATTGACATCGTCATCCCAAAGATCCAAAGGTTGCGACACAGAATCGATGGGCTGCGAACTGGAGACAGCTGGTTTGGGGGTGGATTCTTCCCATTCATCGCCATCGTCACTCCAAGCATCCGACTGTTTGGGCTTTGATTCGGTGGGTTTGGATGATGAATCGGTGGGTTTGGATGATGAATCGATGGATTTGGATGAATCGGTGGGTTTAGGAGTGGATTCTTCCCATTCATCGCCATCGTCACTCCAAGCATCCGACTGTTTGGGCTTTGATTCGGTGGGTTTGGATGATGAATCGGTGGGTTTAGAAGTGGATTCTTCCCATTCATCGCCATCGTCACTCCATGAATCGACTTTCTTTGGAGCCGATTGGACGGGTTTGGGAGAGGATTCTGCTGGTTTCGATTCTTCCCATTCATCCTCGCTACTATTGAATGAAGCGGAGGCTTTCACAGAATGGAGCGAACTCCTTCGAGAAGATGCTTTGGAGGTAGTTTGTGCGGACTCTATCGGCTTGGATTCCGCCCATTCGTCGTCACTCGAACCCTCTTCTTTATTGATTTGAATACTAGGCTGCTTTGTAGATTGCTTTGCGGCCCTTCTTCGCGTCGTTCCTCTTGGTGGCTTCAATGTCACTTCAGCAGGCTTTGATTCAGCAGGTTGTGGTTCAACAGGCTTCGATTCCATGGGCTTCGATTCCATGGGCTTTGGTTCCGCCCATTCATCGTCACTCGAATCCTCTTTCTTGCTTTTCTCCCCACTCGGCTGTTTTATCGATGCCTTCGCTGCCCTTCTTCTCGACGTTGTTCCTCTTGGAGGTTTGATTGTCAGTTTTACCGATTCTAATTCTACGCTCTTCGATTCAGCAGGCTTCGATTCTTCCCATTCATCATCACTATCATCGTCCCAATTATCAGTTGTTTTGGATATAATGGTCACAGGTTTCGATTCTTCCCATTCTTCATCGCTCTCGTCATCCATTCCCTTCATCGATTTGGCAGTCGATCCAGTCGCTGAAGTCTTCGCTTTCTCCACAGTCGTCTCTCCTTCTGCTTTGCTCAATTTTGACTGTGAGTTTTCCCTTCTTCGTCTTTCATTTCGGCTTGTGACACGCTGCGATCCACTCGACCGAGGCGGTGGGAGAGTTTTCTCTTCGGCTGTTTCCCAGTCGTCCTCCGAATCCGAATCCGCATTCGCGTTCGCATTCGCATTCGCATCCATTCTCGTTGCCTGCTTCCCTCCTAATTCGCCCTTTGCCGGCTTCGCAGACTTCGCAGACTTCGTAGAAGCCACAACCTTCACAGGACTTTTACCCCAGTCCTCGTCCGAGTCTGAAAAATCAATGTTCATCACCGTGGGAATGGGACTGATCACTCGAATATCTTCCCAATCCTCGATACTATCCTCCTTGTACTGGGTTAAGTCCTTCACATCACTGCTAGCCATTAAACTCTTTAAACTAGAGCGATTTGACTTCGTAGAACGCATTGACAACACGCTTTCCTTTTCGGTTTTAGTTGAATCCTCATCTCCTGATTGCTTTCTCGGGGATCGAACGGGTACATAGTAATGCTCATCCAAATATTGTTCCTCCTTACGTAGCTCTTCGTTCAACTTTGCATTGATCATTGCTATTTCTTCTAGACGAGCTAATGCCTCGGCTACATATAATACAAATCTAAAGAGAGTGTACAATGGTCAACAGGCTTCTTTTCAACAATCGCCTCCTCTTTCATGGCTTCCTTGAATATTGCGTTATCCTTTAAGAAATTAGCAAAGCAATAGCCGCTGAAAACATTGCTTTTTAGTTCTTTAGACACATATCTATATCCTTAGCAACTCCTTAATCATAGCATACGACTCATATATCTCATAATATTCAGAATACGAATTTGTACATTGCAAACAGATCAACTCCTCTTGTACATCTCCAAACGCTGCCTCTATTCCTTTTATTGCACTCTGCTCAATAATTTGCAATGACATTCTTCATACAGCGATATCCGTATGTTCTTTTTAGCAGCATTGCGGAGTGAGGGTTGTGGTTTATGTACTCTGTTTTGAGAACCAAACAGGCGCCTCAATAGCTCAGTCGGTAGAGCACTCGCTTAGTAAGCGAAAGGTCAGGAGTTCGATCCTCCTTTGAGGCTTTTTTGTTTCTACTTTTTCACTTCGAACACCATTTTGTGTTTTTGTTGCTGTACCGCTTCACGCATTCGCTTTTTGGTTCATAAGAAGAAAGGTATTGCATTTTGATAGTTATTGATTGAGAAATGCAATTGTGTTTTGAAATAGAAATAAGAGTTTGCCGCGGGGATAGTGTCGAAAGCTCATAGAAGGTTCGAATAGTAGAAGATGCAGTATCTTCTCATTTTTTTATAATCTTTGTGAGCTTAATCTGAAACAATGGCCGGTGTTTGCAAGCCGTTCCTTATGTGTTTTTTATTTGATGTATAGTTTTGAAATTGATATGACGATGTACGCCGAAATCCGTTCGAACGTGATTGACAAGTTGGTGTCTCTGGCTGGAAAGAAGCACGGAATCGCTCTCCTGGAGGGTGGCAAGCAGCAGACTCGCTATGAGGCTGGTAATGGTTTTACCGTTATGTTGATTTTTAGATACTGATGTGATGTTCCGTCAGGACTCGAAGTTCCACTACCTTTTCGGTGTGAAGGAGCCTGACTTCTATGGCGCCATTGAGACCGACACCAAGAAGGCCATTCTCTTCATTCCTAAGTACGTGATGGTTGAACCCTATTCATTGCTAGGCTCCCTGCTGATTTTGCTGTGTGGATGGGACCCATTCTGCCCGCTAGCTACTACAAGGATCTCTACAAGGTGGACGAGGTTCGTTTCACCGACGAGATCGCTGCCTACTTCAGCGAATTCGCTCCTGAAGTGGTGTACGTGACCAAGGGAGTGAACAGCGACAGTGACAAGACCGCCATTCCTGGTAAGCATCGAAGAGTTTTTTCTTAACCATCAGCGCACTTCGACGGAATCGAGAAGTACAACGTGGACGAGAAGTACCTGTTCGAGGCCATCACGGAGTGCCGTGTCTTCAAGACCGCGAAGGAGATGGAGATCTATCGCTACGCTGGTCGCGTTGGCGCTCAGGCTCATCTGGACAACATGGCCGCTCTGCAGCCGGAGATGTATGAGTCCCAGATCGAGTCGACGTTCATGCACTCTTGCTACTTCAAGGGCGCGTGCCGTCAGTTCTCGTTCATTCCGATTTGCGCTTCGGGCCGCAACAGCAGCATTCTGCACTACGGACATGCTGGCGCGCCCAACGACCGTCTGATGCACGACGGCGACTGGCTGCTGATGGATATGGGTACCGAGTACAAGTGCTACGCCTGCGATATCACCACCGTGTGCCCTGTGAACGGCAAGTTCACTCCCGAGCAGCGCTTCATCTACGAGACCGTGCTGGACATGAACCGCCAGTGCCAGAAGATGATGAAGCCCGGTGTGAACTGGCGCGATGTGCACACTCTCGCTAACCGCGTGATGTGCGAGCACTTCAAGGAGCAGGGTCTGTTCGTGGGCGATGTGGAGGAGATGCTGAAGGCCAACATCGCGGGCTACTTCATGCCTCACGGTCTCGGCCACTTCATGGGAATCGATGTGCACGATGTGGGCGGTTATACCGAGGGCATGGTGCGCGATACCATCATGGGATACAAGTCTCTGCGAACCAAGAGAGATCTGGCTGAGGGCATGCTGATCACTGTGGAGCCCGGCGTGTACTTCGTGGATTGCTGCATTGAGAAGATCAAGGCCGATCCCGAACTGAACAAGTTCGTGAACTGGGAGGTCGTTAATAAGTACTACCCGATCGGTGGATGCAGAATCGAGTGCGATTGCTACATCACCAAGGACGGATGCGAGGATATCACTCCTGCTCCTCGTACCTGCGAAGATGTCGAGGCTGCCTACAGCGGCAAGATCACTTCGGTGGATCAGATCAAGAGCTTCTTGTAATTGAGAGGTGATTGCCTTGTTTGTTGCGATCAAACGAAAGGAGGGATTGATTGTCTCGCTCTCCTTGCGTGTGTATTGGGCAATAACCGCTCATTGAAAGGGGAAGGGCTTCGTTCTATTGCGCAGGTCGCTGATGATTGCTGATCGACCATTCTCTTTCTCTCAACAAACACCCCAGAACAAGAAATTCACTTCATTCTCCTCCTCCTTCGGCTGTTCCTCCTCCTCTTCCTCCTCAAAAATATCCTCGTCCTCCTCCCCGTCCTCGTCCTCATCCTCCTCCTCGCTCTCCTCATCCAGATCCACATTCCCATCATCCCCGATCTCATCAATCGGCGCGGGTCCGACCTTCGGCGTGATGAACTCCTCCGCCGGCTTATGATACACCGAAGACACCATTCCCAGCTCCTCCAGCAGCTTCTGCAGGGTCTCGTCATCGATCATCTCCTCCAGCTTCGGGTCAATCTTCGGCTTTTCTCTCAAAACCACGCTCCGCGCGATCTTCGCGTCCGACGACAGCAATCGCCAGTACATGTACCCGCGGTCCCGCACGTCCGCGTTCGTGCTCTCCTCCGTCGACATCGTCAGAACCGCGGTGACCAGCTCCTGCCCCTGCGCGGGCTGCTTCAAAAACAGCTTGACAACCGCGGTGAGCAGCTCGACCTGGACCTCGGGCGTCTCGTCGTGGAAGGAGTCGAGGAAGGCGTCGAGGAGCTCGGCGGCGTTGTCGATGATGTCAGCGTACTCGCCGACGACCCACATCATGGAGGCCTTGGCCTCGGGCTCGTCGAGGAGGTCCAGCACCGCGCAGAGCGGCACGATCACCGACGTGTACTTGCCCGGGTACATGCGGAAGATGTCGCGCACCACGATCACCGCTTCCTGCACCACGTACGACACCTTGCTTTGCAGCAGCGTCAGCAGCACCGAGATGCACTTGTCCACCATCGACTCCACTTTCAGCGCGCAGCGACCGATCGCACGCACCGCCGCGCGCACGAAATCGATGTCCGCTTCCGTGGCGTAGCTAGAGATTAGCGACGCTTCGAATCAGCATGGTACTCTTTGAGCTCGTTGAGGATTTTCTCCATGAATTTGGGCGTGGCGAGGCTGATGAGCAGCTCGAGCTTCTCCATTTTGACGTAGAAGGGGTCGTTGTATTTGCAGAAGAACGCCTGGATGTTCTTCGACAGCAGGTTCGGCACTTTCTGGATCACCAGACGCAGATTTCGCAGCGCCACGTAGCGCAGCTCCGCGGAATCCACCGACACCAACGTCACCAACGCGCGCGCCATCTTGTTCAGCGCCGTCTTGGAGAGCTCTTCGTCGCAGTCCTCCACGTTCAGCAGGATCACTTTCACCGCTCTACGCGTCAGCCAAGCCGATCCGCCGCTTCCTACCCCAACATCACTGCGGAATTCACGTGCTGCAGACGGGGAATCGTCTTCTCCACGATCAGCATCGCCTCGTTCTCGTCCTCGGGGATGTACGCGGCCAAAGCGTCCAGCAAAACGATCTGGCCCCATTCCGAACATTCGTTCAGAGCCGCCAAGAGTTTGTTCACCAGCTTCGGCTTCAGACGGAGAACGTCGTAGCCGATCGTGTCTCCGATGTCACAGAGCGAAGCCACGGCGTTGGCTACCACCATTGGAGAGGAATCGCCGATCATGCGGCGAAGACGCTCGATGAAGCCTTCGTCCTCGCAGCGCTGTGGATCCATGTCGTAGAATTTAGAAACGCAGATAGCAGCCGTTTTACGCACGTAGGGATCCACATCGTCGATGCACTTGCCCAAGGGCATCATGAGGTATTCCACGATCTTCCTGACACGGATACATGCCATTGTACGCAGAGCCAGCGCACGGATCAGAGGGTTCGGGTCTTCACAATCACGGACAAAGGTATTCACTGCCAGAATGATGAGTTCTGGCTTGGCACGAGCATAGTTGATTAAGTACCTACATCCTAACAATAACAAACCGCTTACAGATAAACTAGTTTCTTCAGCTCGAGGGTTTTATCATGGATACAACTAATCACATCAGGGAACAGCATTGAAACATCCGTCCCAATTGTCATAGCAGCAATAACGCATTTCATAGCGTTCGTGACTTCCGTCACATCCAGACTGTGTAATTTCTTTCTCCATTCGCCAACCTCTCCTTTCTTTGAAGAATTGAAAAAACGTTTATCATTTCCTCGAACACTCTTGATCACTTTGTCCATCACATCCTTTGTGAGGTTGATACCTTCATTAGCCAAGTTACGAATTGCACTAACGTCAGCCATTGGAGTGAATCAGATAATGTAAACGGGCAAAAATCAAACCTGGCTAGATTAGGGCGAATAACCGCGATTCGCCTTTCAAGTGAGATTTGTTCACAAAATCGTATGATTTCTATGTTTCGGGACGCATTTTGGATATCTCAACATATTTATTGTGTCTTCCACAAGAGTTAAGTTTCACCTCGGTTTTCAAGTGTGCATTTTGTGTTTTCCTTTCTTATTTTTATCCGATTCGTCACAGAAAAATAAGTGATCTCATAATCCCTTTTCATCCATCATAGTTCAAAGCATCCCATACAACCTTGACCCTTTTCCACCTGTTCCCTCGTTCTTTCGAATTTAAACACTATGATTATTATATTATTATATGTGTTCATATTTAAATATTTAAATTTAACGATATATAAACAGAGTGATAATTGGTGCTTTTGGCTAAAAAGAGGCCTATTTTTGGAATCCACATTATCCATTAATTCTTTGGTTATTTTCTACCTTCGAAATGGCTGAACTGGGAAATTCGTTCATTCAGTACTTCTATCAGTGTTTCGATCAAGACAGAAACAGTCTTCAGGGACTTTACGTATGTTCTGTACTGAGCTTGGTAATCGATAGAGAGACTGTTCCATGTTGACCTTCGAGGGAAACGAGTTCCTTGGAACTGCTAGCATTATGGGAAAGATCACTGTAGGTTTTTTTCTGGAAGAGTCATGATTTAGAGCATTGGAGCCACGTTTGCTCATGACATCAAGTCCACGAACGTCCAGCCCACCAGTGACGGAAGTGTTCTCATTTGCTGCACTGGAATGATTCGAGTACGATTCTGTGTTCATGGTCATTCTTAGATTGACGACAACCAGCCCATGATGTTTGCCGAGACCTTCATTATCCGTGACAGTGGTAACAATCAGTACTACGTTCATAACGATATTTTCCGTTTGATTTTGGAATACCATTGTTTGTTCCAACAATTATTCGAGTATACACGTTAGGTTACGAATTGAAGGTTTCACAGCTCTGTTTCTTCCTTTGCGCCCCACTTCTCAGTCATCTTCCGTACGAAACTGGGATTCATTGCAGGGAGCTCGTCGAAATAAAAAGAGAGAGAATAATCAGATCTTGACTGCAGAATCAATACATCGACAGCCTTTTCAGCCTCATAGTCAGCAAAGTAGTGGCTTTTCAGAAGGATTTTCATGTAGATCGAACGCTTGTCACCTGAGATCTATTGATTCAAGCCATCTGATTTCATTTACAGATTTTCGCTGCGTCAATACATTAATAAGCTCGATATCGTCATAGAGGTGAATTTCCGATTTTTCTTTCAAATCACGAATGGCTTTCTATTGCATTATCATTGCGTTGCCGAAAACTACTTCTGCCAGGTCCGTCATTGTCTCCCTCTCACTTAACCAGTGTTTATCATCCCAAGTTAATCCACTACAGGCCACTGAGAGCAAACTAATGAACAAGAAAAAATTCAAAACCATTTCGGTATAATCTACAAAATGGACGAGAAAAAGTGGCGGAAAGTCTTTATATTATTATTATTATTACTACTACACTTTTACATCGTTTCACTTTTGCTTTATGGGAAAGACAGATGAAAACACCTATAAGATGCCGGATAAATGGAAAAAGCCGGGAGAAGATTGCATTCCGTTGATTGCCTAGAAACTACATTAACTGTAGATGTAGAGTCTCAGGTACATTGGCGATGTGGGGGCTCTCTGGGTACTCCTTCTATCTGATGAAAACCAAAAGGCCTATCAAGGTGGCGGATAAGCGCTTTTATCTAGTTCTTGGGGTTACATCGGCTCTACTAGGTATATATCGTGGGTTCTTTTATTTTCATGGAGTGTTCTACAAACAAGCTAAAAATACTGATATGGGTGAGCGCAACAATCGCTAATTGCATTCTTTACCAATCCATAGAGTCTTTCGTGAACTTCATCGATACTACCCAATGCACTAACAGGAGTCCATGTATAGGGATAGAACTCGGACGACAGTCTTCTAAATGCCTCAGCAACTGACTGCTGGAATTCTCGAGTTTCCAGTCTTTCTTCTCCGAACCCGGCTCTCCGCATTTGCTCTTCGATTGGAAGCTCTAGCTGGAAAGTCACATCCGGAGCAGGAAGTCCCTTGTCAGAATGAATACACCACTCCATATCCAGTCCCCTTGTCACGCTATAGGCCACTCCACTTGCAATGTAACGATCGCAAATAATGTTAACTCCATTCTTCAAGTCTTCAAGAATGGACTTGCTAAGAGTCACAGTGACCACCCACTCTTACCTCAATTCCCATCTATTTGCAGAAAACAGGAGGTGGACGCAATGATTCTCTATTTCGGTTGCGTTTTGGAGGTACTTGTTTATTTGTTGACCAATTTGAGTGGTTCTGTCTTTAGATCACATTTAACACGACAAACTCTACTTGGAAAACCGTAAAATTTCGCCGTGATGTCCTCAGCATTTAAACGCTCCACGATTCGATGACACTGGGACGTCTTTCCAGATCGGTCCACGCCCTCGATTACGATAAAGACGCCTCGCTTCATAGTCTATTGAACTCTAAATAGATAGTCCGGATTTTGGTTCTATATTCTTAAACTGTTTTTTGTTTTTGTGATATGAACGCTTCTTCCTTTTTCGTAAAATCAAGGAGGGCGCTGGGAACTGTCAGCTCGTTGTATCGGACAGGGTCTATTAGAATTGGAACGAGGGGGCCTGCTGTTGCTGCTTTGAATTACCCACACAATGCAAAGTATTTTGGCACAGCGTACTTCTCATTTTCACTTCACAAGCTAGTAGTACCAATCTTTTACTGCCAAAGGAGCCAGTCAACTATAAGCACGCAGTGTCCTACGGAGCCCTCGCTGCTTCCGCCCTTTTCGCTGTGTACGGTCTCACGGGTGGTCAAAAGAATTTTGACAATTTAAAACGTGGAGTGGGTTATGATCACTACCCTGTATGAGTATTTTCGATCGATTATCGCGATAGTCCAACAATCCCTGCGAAGATCGCATTATAGTTGAGAATCCCGTCCCAAATATCTTATTAACCGGCGTAGCCGATGGCCATGGAGGCACTTTCGTCTCCGACATCGTGAAAATGGAATTCGGAAAGCTGGTCAAGAAATTCTTCTCTAACATCGGTACCCCCCACCTCTCCTCCTCTCCATGCAGATTACATCGATAAATACTCCCTCGAATCCTACATGACCCAACGAGTCATTCAGCTCTACCAAGCGCTCGACGACGTCGTCTACGACCGTACTCCTCCCTTCTTTCCCTTCTCATCCACAGTGATGATGTCTCTCTGGGAATCCGACTCCTCCATCCTGACGACCGGCGCTTGTCTCGTTTCCACGATCATTTACCACGATTTTTGCCTTGTCGCCAACGGTTCCCCTCTCCCTCCTTCCTCACCGCTAGCCGGAGACTGCCGCGCAGTGCTGGGCCGCCTCTCTCCGCGCGGCAACAAGGTGGAAGCCGTCGCCTTGACGCACGATCACAACATTCGCGAGCCCGCCGAGTTCCAAAAGCTGAAGAAGGCGCATCCAGGTAATCCTGAAGGAAGGCAGCCACGCGTAGAGGAGCGCAATCTGGTGACGTTTATCAACGACGAGCCCCGGTACGTGAAAGGCATCCTGCAGCCCACGCGATGCATCGGCGATTTCGTGCTCAAAGTAGACCTGGCGCTTTTGGTTCACCAGAGGAAAGAGTTCATCGAGGCCATTCCGCAGCTGGACCGCTTCGCGCGCGACTTCCATCCGCCGTACATCACGGCGACGCCCGAAGTGACGTTCTTTGAGATCGCGCAGCACGACCAGTTCATTGTGCTCGCCAGCGATGGGGTCTGGGACGAGCTCGATAACCAGGCCGTCGTGGACATCGTGGCCGAGGTGCTGAGGCGGGGGAACTCCGCGGAGGCCGCAGCCAACACCGTCATTGCGGCATGTTTGAAGCATGCGGCAGGTGGGGGAGATGGAGAGGCGTAACGGGTAGAGAGAAATGAGCTGATCATAGACCAGCTGAAGGGACTCCGGACTGGATATCGGAGGTTGTTCCTTGACGACATGTCCGTGATAGTTGTCAAGTTGCATCCCTAATATTTCTCTGCTGCTGTTGTTGTTGTTGTTGCTGCTGCTATGTATCCTAGCCCTGTTTGTTCGAACAAACATCAAGTGGTAGATCATCCATACACTAGACGACTTAGGCAGAAGCCTCCATAGCGGCTCTCTTCTGGTTAAGAAGGGCAGTAGCCTGCTCAGCAAGCTGCTTCTCCTTCTTATCCTCACCCTTCTTACGGTGGATCTGCTCAATCAGCACACGCTTGGTCTTGTAACGGTTACCCTTGGCCAGAGCGTAGAAGTGAGCGTACATGTGCTTGTCGATCTTGCCGGCATCACGGTACTTGCGCAGCAGTCTACGGAGCACACGAATACGACGCATCCAGAGCAGCTTCTCGGGAATACGGGCGTTCATGGTTCCGTGACGCTTACCGTAACCAGTGTGGTTGCCGCGGGCCTTGGCCTCGTGACGAATGTTCACACGAGCACGAGAGTGCATCAGGTTGTGCTTCTTCACGATCATTCCGTTCTTGATCATGGAGCGAACGCTCTGGCGAGAGTTGGCAACAGCAATGTTGCTCACCTCGCTGGGATCCATCCACACCTTACGCTTACCGCACTTAAGGACGGCGGCAGCAAGTCTCTTCTGAAGCTTCAAGCTGACCATTGTTTTGAGGAGTTCTACCAAAAAGTGACAATTCTGTGGTGAGATTTAAATGAGATTTTGAATTCCTAGAAATTTCCAGGAAAGATGGGATCACACGAATTTGGACAGCAACAAACAAAGAAGCAAGCAATGTGTTATTAATAATAATAATAATAATAATACTTGATTCAAATGAATTAGCCAATTATAAATAACTTGCTATTGCGCTGAATTGCTACTAATAAAACGATCAGTTAATGACTATTGCGATTCCATCGAACGATTCCATATAACTCAAACCCACTAATGTACAGTGCATGGGATCGGCCATTAGCATGAGTATGTAAAGACTGAAGTTTGAAAAAGGAAAAGAACTGCTTGTTTTCCAATGTTATTGGCCAGCAATGAGGTCTACATCTTTAGAAGGCCTTGAAATATATATATACAGAAATGAGTTTTCTTTATCTTGGCCATCGGTCACATCGTAAAAAAACGTATCATCCTCCGGGTGATTGGATATTACCGTCCAGGGACCATTGATCGATGTTGCAGCTTCAAGTACCCATCTGCGAACCACGGATCCTGCACAATGAACAGGCAGACATCGAAACGTACCTCGGCCTCCTCCATTTCGAAACGTGTATCCAGCAGGACAAATCAGGTGTTTGGGAAAGTGAAAGATAATGCAGCCGGGATCAAAATAGCAGTCTCTATCTGACAGACTAGGCAATTCCAAAACACGATAGATGGAAGCTACGATGAACACAACTCCTTTCGCATACATTCACAACGAGAATAGTTCACATGATAGTCTTTGCTGGTCACAATCTCGACCAGACCTGTTTTGATGGGATTTTCATACAGATGGGACTCATTCAGACACCCAATCCAATAAATAATACCGTTTTCGGTCGGTTCTCCGGTATATTTGAATATTTTCCAGTCTATCGTTTAAACTACCATACGAAACGTGCTTTTCGCATATTCTGCCACACGGCAAACTTCATCATACGCTAGATGAAAGAAGATATGCTTCGAGCTTTCATTCTTTTGATAGAATCCGCTAAGAAAGGTAAACAAAGGCGTGTCTATGTCCTATTCTATTCATTGGTTTACTCGTCAGCATATCCTCATAGTAGGGAGTTTTTGCGCTTGGGGTAAAAATAATCTCACTCCATCGACTCTTGCAAATGATAGTAGACTCGTTGGAACGATCAGAGGACTGATTCTGACTGTTTGCTAGCACATTCCTAGTCTCCTGAGTCTTGTATAGAGCTTCGGCTGACTGGTTTTGACCCATTTGATTGTTTATGCTATATGCCTGAAATTTGCGCATTTGGGGGATTGAGATAATAGATGGATTTATATCAATCACTTCAGAAGACTCAAGGCGAAGATACCTATTTTCTTGTCTCTATCGCATTCTTTAGGTGGATACAGCAGTGGAAACTAATAATTTTGGATATAAACACTGTGGATGAAAGCCTTTGAAAGAAAAATGAAGATTACGCCAAATTTGGTTGAGACCATCTGATTATAGATTTATGAGGCGTGACTCAAGCGTGGATAGTACACAGAAAATGAAATCAATTTCACCTATGGGGTGCTTTTGGATGAACAATAATTCAATATAGCGAAAAGAATCAAGCCATTCAGTCGCTTTCTCAAGACTTATCAAGTATTATTCTTAATCTATAATGTCAGTGTAAGTACTTTGCTAGTGGTATCCATGTGTACCCTTTTTTCGGAAATTTGAGTCTCATTTCTGTGTAGTCCTGAGTCTGTGGCTTTGAAACAGCGTCGTGATGAAAAACTGAAGGCTGCCGCCGAGAAGTTTGCTGCCAACCTCGAGAAGGCCGAGCAGGTCAAGAGAGAGGCGATGGTGAAGCGTACTGAGCAGTACTACAAGGAATACGCTCAGATGGAGGCTGATCTGATTGCCCAGAGAAGAGATGCTCACAACAACGGTCATCTGTTCTGTGAGGGAGAGGGCCGTCTGGCGATCGTTGTGCGTATTCGTGGTATCAACCAGTGCTCTCCGAAGGTGAAGAAGACCCTGCGTCTGCTTCGTCTGCGCCAGATCCACAACGCCGTGTTCGTGCGTCTGAACAAGGCTACGATGGAGATGCTGCGTCTGGTGGAGCCCTACATCGCCTACGGTTACCCCAACCTGAAGCTGGTGCGTTCTCTGATCTATAAGCGTGGATATGCTAAGCTGAACAAGCAGCGCGTTCCTCTGATGCTGAACGAGCAGATTGAGCAGGTGCTCGGCAAGTTCGGCATTGTGTCTGTGGAGGATCTGATCCACGAGATCTACACTGTGGGACCCCACTTCAAGGAGGCGAACAACTTCCTGTGGCCCTTCAAGCTGAACAGCCCCAACGGCGGATTCTCGAAGAAGCTGCGTCACTTCAACGAGGGAGGTGACTACGGTAACCACGAGGTGCTGATTGGCAAGCTGGTGAACAGAATGATCTAAAGCACTTTTCAGGTTAAGAATAATATGGAGATGTTTGTTGTATAAGCAAGGAAGAAGGCAAGGAATGGAACGAAGGAAGGAGGTTGGGGTGAGTGATTGGTATGTGGATGAAGGCAGTTTTCACTCCAAATCGGCTTCATTCAACTCTTTTCTGATCGAGTGTTGTGTTCATAGGTCACTGATTCAATTCAAATAGACTTGGAATAGATGTATGCATCGTTGATTGCATTATTCGGCCTCGATTTCTTCCAGTTAATCCATCCATCCATCCATCCATCCATCTCTCAAAATAGATTATTCATCACCCCTCCCTTTCCTTTTCTATCCTTTTCGTTTATTCTCTCAAACACATCAAAGCAGAGTATTCAGACTTTCGTGACTGTTACTCATCGCGATCATGGTATTGGTCACCTTTCCTCCCGACGCCGATCTACTCATCGCAGCCTTCCCTCGCCCCTACGACTTGCCGAACGATCCGAAATAGATCATGCACAGCAGCTGGAACAGGCCCAGAATCACGAACGTTCCCGCACTGCCCACCGCCGACGTGAGAATCGGGAAGAAGAACGCGATCAGGATGTTGAAGATCCACATAATCACGTTCGCCACCGACGTTCCCTGGTCCACCAGCTCCGGCGGGAAGTCCTGCGACGCCATCACGAAGAACAGCGGGCCCGGACCGCTCTCGAAGCCCAGAATGAACAAGAGAAGGCCGACGATCGCGGCAATGCTGAGTCCTTTGAAGGAGAAAGAGACCACTAAAATGATCGAACCAGCCAGCATCACCGCCAGCGCGATCAGGAAGATCTTGCGGCGCGACATGCAGTCCACGATCGCCATGAAAATGAACACCGTCACCATGTTCCACACGCCCACGACGAACATCTGCGCGATCAACGGCTACGATTGATCTCGATGATCTCCATGCGCTACGTTCTTCACGCCCGCATCGCTCAGAATCTGCGACGCGTAGTACATCACGCCGTTCACGCCCGTGAACTGATTCATCACCGCCAGCATGATCGCCAGCACCAGCCACCGGAAGTTCTACCCCTCACTCGGTTTCCACGTTTCCACCTTCATGCTGAACAGGCTGTTTCGCATCGGTCTGCCGTCGATGAAGGTTCTAGACGTGAGGAACGCCGATGGATGCAACTCCTGGGCGGAGAGGGAAAGCGAAGAAGCGACGCGCTTTTCGCCGGCTGGGGTTGAGAGAGAGAGAGAAGGGAAAGGGTACGCTTGGGGTTGGGTCCGAAGAAGAGCGTGATGAGCAGGAGGAGACCGAAGAGCGCGCAGAAGGAGATCTGCATCTTCCAGCTGAAGTCGGAGAGAGGGATGCACTGCTCCGAGTTGAAGGAGGGGACCAGCAGGAAGTTCATCAATTCGCCTATCAAAATGCTGAAGGTGATGGACAGTTGGAAGGTGGAGCCAACGCGGCCTAGCTGGAAAGGAACATGAAAAAGTACCTTTCACACTGTCATCCACGATGGCACTGCTGTACATGGGACACACAGCCGAGGCAAATCCGAGGGATAATCCGAGGATTCCTCTCATTGTGAGAATGTACCAGAAGTTCTTGACAAAGGTAGCAAGAATGGGGAAGACAATAGCAATACCCGCCATGATCATCAACGACTACGAGATCAACACCAGAAACAGAGGATACGGTACGCATACCAAACTTGTTACCGAACCACACACCGAGAGGCGAACCAATGGTGGCAAAAACGAGGATAGTGGATGTGAACAAACCCTAGACGTCAGAAAAGCAAAGAAAAACCACAATGTAGAGATTCAGAGGAATGTTGTCCGACGGATCGAACAGTGTGCACTGGATAAGAGGCTTGGTTAACCCAGAGACAACTCCCACGTTGTAACCAAAAACACTACCTCCGAACAAGTTGACCAGGCCTTTGCGTTAGCGTAATAAGACTCATCCACATACAAGCAAGTAAGGTCTCTTTGCGCATATCGATTTCAAGGAATTATGGCAAAACACAATTCTTTTGGGACATAACCGTACTAATCCTCCAGAGGGATAACTGACCACTTTTGGTTCGTTTTGGCACTGAAAGCGTTATACCGCATGCTTTTTCGAACAAACAATGCAACTAGTCTTCCTTCGGGTCTTCTTTGGGCACTGGGGTCGCAGGAAGTTGCTGACGTCCCTTATAAATATGATAGCCGTCGTATAAGGGAGAGTATGCAGTGGCGGCAGAAAGAAGCTCCATGATACCTACAAACAAGCAAAGCCCTTTCTGTCTCAAAAAGCCATATGTGAAAAAGCCACTACAGAATCACTCTCTAAGCAAACCACGATACGTTCCAATTGCAAGTCGCGCTCCTCGACCCGGAGTTGTGATGTTCTTCGGAAACCCTAAAATAATAAAAGTTTTTTAATCTCAAGCTCTACGGAAGTCCGTCCAGTTATTTGTTTTCTTCTCTTGTTCTGGCATTATTATTCTCTGGAAAAAGACTCGGGCTATTTTGCATTCTCCGAATTTGATGCAAGAGTCAGATCAATTTCAAACTATTAAGGATGGGTTTACGCTTATCGTTGAGGAAGTTAACAAGGATGACAGCAAAGCCGCTGCTTCAAGACTTATCGAAATGAATGAAGCGCTTAAAGAAATTGTCGACCATTATAATGAGAATCACGACATGGTGTCGTCTACCATGACAATCAATTTGGGTTACTGCACCTTAATTAGGAATCTTTTGCTGTTAGACGTAGCTTGGGTGATTGGTCCAGTGCTTTACTCTAAAGACGCAAACGTAAACTGGAATGAGTTTTCGGACCTTTCATCTTTTGGAGCGGCCCTTCGCCATGGATTTGGAAGTGTTGCTTCCCATTTATCGGAGAGTGATGTCAATCAGATTGTGATAACCTGTCTGAAGACGGGAATGATTGAAGACCTCGAAATAGCGGGAGTTGTCTACTCCATTTTTTACTTTATCCACTTTATTCTCAAGGTGGAAGCCTTCCATCTTCCGTATACAGCTTGTGTCGATTATTTTTATTCACACATTTCATCCTATTCTTTTGTTCTCCTCATCACATGCATTCTCTCTCTCCAAAAATCTGTAATTCTGTTCCAAATGATATTATCGAAATAGAGTCATGGCAGGTCGAAATGGCTCAATCATGCGATTAGTCGTCTCATGGGGCTGATTGTCATGCTTCCTGGAGGTGTAAACGGTGTGGTTTCCTCGCTCTTATCCTTTTCCGAAGGAGGGAACATCGATGTATTTCATTGATATTATGTTGCTTATCAAGGCAATCATTCATGCAGCTCGAGGCATCGCGAGTTGTTCCAAAGCGTTGAATCGTACTGAGTACATCGCAAATATCTGTAATCAAATGGCTCACTTGATCGGCGAAAAGGACAGCAACAAATTCGTCGTGACCACCTGCGTGCATGTACTCGATTTGCTCATCGATAAAAACGAACTCGCCGTGTTCTCCGTCTTCTTTCCAAAGCTCTTCGCTCCCTTCCTGGTCATCACACAGCAGCCTTATTACGGAACTCTTCAATACGACGATCCTTCGCACACTTCATGGGACAATGCGTCCATCGAACGAGCCATTCGTGGTCTCACTCGCATTATGATCACAGGTTCTGTTATGCCTAACATCATGGATTCCTGCTCCCTTCTCATCCCCGCGGTTTTCCATGCTTACGTCTTCGCAGAAAGCAGCAAGTGATTGTGTAACGATTCATTCATCACCGCGTAGATGTGCTGAAAAAGCATATTTATTGAAATTACTGAACACATATGTGGTCAATTCGATGCTGTCCGTCGACACATTCCTTCAAATCCTTCAAGGCAATGGACTTGCCAACCGTCCTCTTCGATTTGCTCTCGATTCATCTCGAGGCCTCGTTCTACGGCCCTGCAAATCCACCAAACTCGATCAGCAATGGATTCTCGATCTGAATCAACGCGAATCCTGGGATCGCGAAGCGTCTTCTCTTCTCTCCTGCTGGCCAACCAAACAAGTTTCGAGATTATTTATCGCATTACTCGATCTTTTCTTTCGCTCCCACTTCGCGCCCGTTTCTTTTCAGCCTTTCTCTCCCCAACAAAAGCAGCGAATCATTCTCGTATTGATCACCATTACCGATTCATCGCGTCTTGAACTATTCGGCGATGATTTATTGCAGGGTCTTCGCAGTCTCGAACGAATCATGCAAATCGCTCTGAGCTCCGAGCATTCTTTCGAAAACCCCACGGAACTCCTCGCGATCTGCAACGATTTGGTTGTCATTCTCGCCTCCAGCGCGCTCGACACGCCGCTTATCGTCGATTTGGATCGGAAACAGCGAACATCCGAGGAGGAATCGCTGTATTACCGCGATCTCAGAGCGGTGATCGCTCGAATGCTTCGCGAACTCGACGACCACACCGAGCTGCCCGTCGTACGAGCCATCCAAACGCGTCTTCAAGATCTTCACAATCGCGTGGAATCCAAAATCGCCGCTTCGTCCATTCCTGCACCCCGTTCTTCATCTCACACTCTATTATCTTCCTCCTCCTCTTCATTTGCAATCGAATCTCCTTCCGTGGCTCTTCCTGAAATCGCGCAGGACTTCCGAAGTCCCTACCAACCCGTGCGGTCGTTCGCTTTATCGCGACTCCACCATCTTTTACAAACCAGCGACAAGGAATCGCTCGCTCCCGAGCTCCCTGCCATTCTCTCTGCTTTGAAAAAAGGCCTTAATGATGACGATAGCTATGTGTATCTCGCAGCAGTGAACGCAATGGTCATTCTGGCCTCCACGTTTCATGAGCAAGTGCTTCCAATTCTTTTGGAAACGTTCAGTAACGCGATTGCTCCCTTGGATCTTCGGCTTCGCGTGGGAGAAGCGATCGTGTGCACCGTGCAATACATGAAAGACGCGTGTGTGAAGTAGAATCGATGCGGTGAGTTGATTGCAGATTCGCCAAGCCGTTAATGAACGCGTTTCTTGGGTACATGGATCCATCCAATGAACTAACGTGGAAAAAAGTGGAAGCAAAGCGAGAAACCAAAGCGACGGCGGACGATGAGATCTTTTCAATCCAGGCCTTGCGAGCGTCCTGCTTTTCCGCTCTCGCCGAGATGGTGACGTATCTGAAATACGCGATGAGTCCGTTTATTCCTGTTCGTTTTCTCTGCGCGTTTCTGATTGTAGGAACTGCTGAGTCACTGTCGAGGCGTTCTGCTCTTCGAGAAGCAGCCCGAAGCCGTTCTAGTGCGTCGTGCCGCCGTGTTTCTGCTCTACCGCCTTCTCGAAGGCACGCAGGGCGAGTTGAAAGCCATTCTGGACACACAGATCGACCTGGTGGACCACATTCTCCGCCAAGCGACGGAAGATCGCGACGACATCGTGCAAGGCCACGCGGAGGCGGCGCTCGCTCTGCTCTCGACGTACCGATCGCCGCTCCGCCTGATCGAAGAAGAGCAGCCCTCTCTTGTTTGATGGAACAAACACAGCGAACCACATTAGAAATGGAAGATATTCAAGAGCGTGATGACCACCATCAGGATGAGTCCCAGCACCACCAGCACCCAATCCACCACCTTCTGCGTGGTCGACAGGTCCGGAATCAGCTTCCAGTGCAAAAAGGACGGCAGTGCGAAGCACCCAAATGTCACTGCGAACCCGCCCACGAAGCTGATGATACTCTTGAACGCCGAGAAGCAGGTTGCGAAGATCACCACGACCAGCAACATGCCGATGCGCACCAGCCACTTCTTCCACGACTTCACGAACAACTTATCCTCGTTGGTGTCTACATCGCACGCGCCCGTCGCGCCTACCGTCGTGCAGCAGCGTCTCCAGGCAGAGCACGGGCGGGTACGCGATGATGGGGTAGGAGAACAGCGAGTTCAGCGAGAGCAGGCCGGCTGCGATGAAGTAGAACCAGCTCTTGTGGTCGATGTTCTCGATGAAGATCTCCGCGATGCCGCCGGGCGCGCGGTTGTACAGCAGCGAGCAGCCCACGCCCACGAGGATGTAGAAGAAGCCGGAGAAGAGCAGCGAGCCGTAGAGAACGCCGCCGAATTTCGACTTGTCGTCCATCGACCGCTGCGAGGAGGTGCCGTAGAAGGGCACCGCGAAGCACAGGCAGCACACACCGAACATGTTGGCGAACTCGCTGAGGCTCTTCGGCCAGAGGAAGGAGGTCTCGAAGTTGATCTTGAAATGGAGGCCTCCGTAAACGACGTAGATAATAATGGAGGAGAGGAGGGCGACGAGGCCTCCAATCGACATAAAGGACATGGAACTAAGGTCACGGAGCAGAGAGAGCGGAATCACGACGATAAAATAGACCGCTCCCCAGAAGAACTTGCTGCTTGCAATTTTGAAACCCCAATCCTCCCAAGGAAGTCCAGATAAAAGGTCGCTAAATACGATCTGTACATTAACAAACTCGCCAAAACACATGCCTCATACGCAACTAGACCTCCTCCAACTAAGGTAATTAGATAGCAGAAATCGAGAAGGATCACACCAAAAGTGCCCATAGCCTACCAATAAAACGACCGTTCAAAAAAAACTTCTTCCATCATGAGCATTAACGGATCATCGGAATCCGTTACGGGCTTTGACAGATAGGGAATTACATCTACCACCCTTTGGGTGGCAAAAGCATTCCAAATGGAAATGAGAAGAGTTAAAACGGCCATAGGCAGGTAACCTCCCTACACGTCACGCGGGCACAGTATTACAACGTTAAAGGTTACGTTGGGGATGGCAAGGATACTGATACCTAAACAGACCTTTACCAAGTTGGCAGCAGTCTACTCAATGAGTAAGCCGTCCAAAGAACGTACAGCAAGGGGTTTCGTCATAGCTATAAAAGAAATATGGAGTGACACAATTCCAAAAGTTTCCCTTTTATTCCCTTTGTAACAAACAAACAAACGAACGAATCACCCAGCAACTCAACATAACTAAATACAAAATAAAATTTTCAAAATGCGCAGCCAAGGAACCTTAGGGAGTTGCCTTGGCTACTGGAACGCAAGGTCCTTCATCCTCGCAATTGACCTGATGTTCGTCATCGTCGCATTCCAAACCAACGTGCACCGCTTTCATCGGTGCCAGCGCCATCACCGCACGCTTCACTTCATGCAGCGCCGCATGTTGCTACCCCTCATCCCCTCTCCGCGCTCCTACCTCGCAGAACGAGCTAAACTCCTTGCACAGAATATGCAGATCCACCGAGAACGGCTCTACCCATCACATCCATCCCGCGCGGCTACCGGGCCCAAACACGCGAATCTGCGTGATCTCCTTCACCGCAGCGACCTTCATCACGGCCTCGCGGATCCTCGTGGTGATGTTGTTAATCGCGTTATTGTTCTTCTACGGATGATCGCTCCTCGCCTCTCTCACATCATCGCGCACCGACGTGATCCGCACCATCACCTCCGTCACGTTCTTGACCTCCTCGCGGATCTTGGTCTCCACGACGCGCTGGATCTCCTCCGCGTCCTCCACGTGCGTTCCCGGATGCACGTACAGCTTCAGATCCACCACCACGAACGCGCCCATCTCGCGGGCACGCACGTCCGAGTAGCCCTCCACGCCGGGGATGTCCGCGAGGATCTGGTTGAGCTGGTCGACGATCTCCATGGGGATGCGGTCCACCAGGGAGCACATGGACTGGTAGAGGATCTGCAGGCCGATCCACACGATCATCAGCGCCACGAACAGTCCCGCGATGGGGTCCGCGTAGTTCCAGCCGAAGAAGAGAGCCACCAGAGTGCCGCCCAGAGCGATCACGGACGACATGGCGTCGGTGCGGTGGTGCCAGGCATTGGCGATGATCACCTGGCTGTTGATCTTCTTGCCCACCAGGTAGGCGTACCAGTACAGACCTTCGTTCACCAGGATCGATACCAAGGCGGCGATGGAGGTGTACCACTCCAGCTTGCCCTCGTTCGGCGTTTGGATCTTCTGGGCGCTGTCGTAGCCCACGGAGACGCCCGCGATCAGGAGGAACAGAGCCACCAACACACTGCCAACGACCTCCACACGGCCATGGCCGTAGGGATGGTCCAGATCGGCGGGCTTCTTCGCGAAGCAACTCACGACGACGACCACCACATCCGTTGCAAGATCACTCAGGGAGTGCCAAGCATCTATTTGTCAAGAATATGGGTAAAAACATACCGGCAATCAAGGCAGAAGAGTTTCCAAAATAACCAGCCACATACTACATCTATTAGCGGTCTCAAAATAGCGTACCTTTGCAATAGTTAACAGAATGTTGCAAACCATGGCGACATAGCTTGTCATATTGGCCGCTCTCGCTCGAGCTTGGGGATCAAATTGACTACTTCAGAGCAATATCAAAAGCCATACATATCACCCTTCTTCTCTACCTCAGTGGGCTTCGTCTCCACGTTCTGTTTGACCGTAACATCAACCATCTCAACACTCACAGTCTCAGTGTTACCGTTATCGCTCATCGTTCAAAGAAAACAATATGCACTCTCTTGTTTTTAGGTTTTTTTAATCCTACGTATTACTACCTCGGAAATTATGACTTTTGACCCCAAACATTCTGTGAAACTCCCAAAATGAAACGCCGAAAGGATCTTGGGTTCTATCGAATTCGATAATAATATTTCTCTGTATTGTCAATTTCGAAAAAACATGGAAGAAATAATTATTTACTTGCGATTCCAACTCCTCCCGACTTCCATTGTTCACGATGACGACGTCAGCAAATTTCTCTCGATCTTCATTTTTCCACTGACTGGAAATTCGCAGCTTCGCTTCCTCCTCGGTAAATCCTCTGCCTTTCATTCTCTCAATTGCTGTTTCCGGACTACACTCGATCACCCAAATCTGGGAACTTAGCCACCAACGGTGCTAGTACCTCTCCCATGTCCTGGTTCCATCCAGCTTCGAGCAAAATTGCCGCTTCCACGACGACAACTGAAGCATCCGTTCTTGTTGTGATGCCTATCCCTATACTACCCACCGGCGTATCTCTTCTAAAAACATTTCTCGAATTAGCGGCCACACAATGTCGGTGAGTTTTTTCATCTCTTCTATACAGGACAGCGCAATGTACTACGCTACCTGCATTCGAAAAAACGATCGACCCCAGCTTTCTCCGATTGATATATCCATCTTCCCCAACGATCTCCTTTCCAAACGTTTCCACTACCTTTTGGAACCCTGGAGAATTAGGTTCGTTCTGTTAAGAAATCGAGTGCCATGAACACAAGAGTATCTGGATATGTAAACTTTATGACCCAATTTATCGCAGTCAATGCAATAACACCCCTTGCTACGCAAAATTGAGACAATGGTACTTTTCCCGCCTATTCTTCACCCCTGCCTCCATTCCTCACTGCAAATGCCTCCCACAAGTCCAATCACCCTCTTATCCTCTTTATGCATTATCCAACAAACACAAAACCCATAAATGAATCAACACGCCTCGTTCTTCAGTTCCAGCAGCTCCACTTCCTCCAAAACCTCTCTACACATCACTTCCCTTCCTTTCTCCCACATCTCCACCATCTCCTCTTCCTTGTCCTTCATCGCCTTTCTCTCCGCGTTCATCGCCTCCATCGTCTCCAGAATTCTCCGTCTCCGCTCTCTGAACGCATCGATCCATCCCAGCTTCTTCCGGATCTCGTCGATATGCTTCATGGCCTCCATCTGCACCATCTGCTTCTTATACTCCTTCTCCTTCGTCTCCAATTCGCTCTTCGCCTCCGCCTCCATCTCCTCCGTCACGCACTCCATCGGCCACGGACGGAACTGCAGCGTCAGGAACTGCGGCAGCCGCTTCTTCGCCACGCTCTCTCCGGTCACATCCCACACATCGAACCCGTTTTCATACTACTCATCATCCCTTCTCCCTTCAAAAAAACCCACGTCCTGCTTGTTCTCCTTCGAATAGCACGACGACGTCACGCAGAAATGCCCGTTCGGCGACCACGCCACGTCCGTGCAGCTACCCATCACTCCTCCCCGCGGGAATCACCTGAAATGCTCCTGCTCCTTCAGCGACATCCGCGCCGAAACGTCCCAGAACTCCAGTTTCCCCCGCAGCGACGTCTGTTCCTCATCGAACTCCATTCCCTACCCCCAGACCCGCCAGCAGAATGTAGTTCCCCGCGGGAGACCAGTAGAGTCGGTTGCACGCGCGGTTCGGAATCGTATCTCATGAAACGCCCGCCCCAATCCTACAGAGTTTGGTGAGCTCGTGCTTCTTCGGCTTTCCGGGCTCCATTCCCGCGGTAACCGCGTAGAACGAAACATTGTGCTGCGCCTTGGCGTTGGTGGTGAGCAGCGCGAAGCGCTGGTCGTCGTTCTCCCACTCCAGCGCGTCCACGGCCTCCTCCATCTGCAGGGTCTACGTTGAAACGCCCCTCCTCCACGACCTCCACCGGGAGATTCCGCAGCGCCACGCGGACCAGCGAGATCTGGTAGAAGAGCGTCTTGGCTCGCCGGTTGGCCTTGCGCGCGACCACGAGGGCGAGCGCGGATCCCCGCGGGGACCACGCGAGGCGGAGCTGCTGGACGTTGTTGAGAGAGACGGACTGGAGCATGCGGCCCTGCTGGACGTCGAGCAGCACCACGGTGGCGGGCTTGCTCTCCGTCTCGGGGATCACGTAGCTCAGAATGGCGCCGGTGGGCGACCAGGCGAAGTCGGCGATCGACGGCACGCCGAAGCAGGCCTGGCGGAGCAGGCGGAAGTCGGGGAGCGAGAACCTAGGCGGTCAGGCCTGAGGATAGCACGCACAGACCGATGCCGTTGCTGCCCTTCACGGCGAGGAACTGCTCGTTGGCGGAGAAGGCGAAGGACGGCCAGTGCGGGTCGGTGCAGGGGAAGCGGCGCAGCAGATGATTGGTCGCCACGTCCCACACAGCGACAGCGTCTTTGGCGGAGGCGCCCGTCGCGCCGTTCCAGGTCAGCGCGTAGCGCTCGTGGCGGCTGAAGAGCACGCGCTTGACGTCCTTGTGGGGCAGACGGCCGCACTCGCAGAAGGAGGAGCCGCTGTGGAGCATGATGCCTTGGCCGTGGTAGGTGACCACGTAGGTGCCCAGAGGGCTCCATTCGATGGGCGGCTGCGAACAGGCGAGGTCGTTCTTGCCGTCGTGTGCAAGCTGTGGCGAGGGAGAGTCGCACCAGTACACTTCCACTTGGTCTTTGTACCGGATAAGGAATTGGTCGCGTTGGAATGCGTCTTGCATCCACGAATGCAGACCGCTTCTAGGATACATCGAAACATCGATAATGAGAAATACGGGGTAGAGGCGAGCTTCTTCAACGGGGCAAACGATTCTTTGTTGGGTAATTCCATTGTGTTGGGATCTTGAAGAGAATCGACGATATCCGCATAACTATATAAATGGAATGTGTGAAGTTTATCCATAGGTGTGTTATGAAGTCCAGAAATCACTTTCTTTGCTTCCTCAGGACTCGCCATCTCGAAAAGAGCAGCTCTACACACAATTGTTAGTTCATTCAATTCTAATATGCAACACAAATCTTACCCATAGCTTTTCCCCGTCTCTGGATCGATAGGTATGAAAATGTCGTTCTTGACCACAGAACCGAAGGGTTGAATTTTCTTTAGTAAGAATAATCGCAGCTTCTTTGCTTTCTCTTCATCAACGACTGCAATTCCATCCATGACGACAAGAGAGGAAGTATCACAAATTGGCTTGATCTCTTCGCTCGTGATGAATTTGGCTTTCTCTCCTAGTGCTGCTTGAACGTCCAAGACCATTGTTTGGTAAATAAGCAATAATCGAAAAGTGTCGAAATCTGGACTATTTATGGAAAGGTAAAAAATGGAGGAATTGCTTTTAAAGGACACGTTTTAATTAGAGAAACGAAGTGGAAAGAGAAGGATGTGTCTTGGAGAGTTCTAGATGATGAGAATGGAATAGGAATAGAGAGAAAGTTGCCAAGGAAGTTGTTTTGTTAACTTGAACTTGTTAACAGTATAAATGTGGTTAACCAATATAAATCGATCCTATGAAGTGAGATTAGTGCAAGCAATGCTAATTGTAATACTTTTTTTTGTAAATAGTGGACAGAAAATAGAATGTAAATGATATGAACAAGATGCATAAACTTATCAGCAATTTTGAATCTACAAAGTACTGAAAAGTAGCTGTTTGAGTGAGATTACTTTACGAATTGAGTTATTTTTACTGGATGATTAGAGATACAGACTCTTGTGTAGATAATGGTTCAACCCTGTGATCTACAGTCATATGTGGTATGTTCAATTGATTGTAGAAAAGCACAGTGTTGATACTCAATACTTATTAGATAAAATGAAATAGGTGAAGTGATTGAAAGTAGGACTATATCGAAAACAATAGCGAACTGAATAGGAACAAATCAATGTGGATATTATACTGATTTCTTTGTGTGTACTGTGAATAGGTTCAAGAGATACAACCAACATCACACATTGTTACTCTAGTTATTATAATATGCAAGTGGAAGGATCAAGTGAATGAATCCATAGATTTGAAAACAAAACAAGAGAATCCACCTCGATTCTTTTTCAATTCAATTATTTCCTTACTATTCTATTTATCATAATACACTCATTGAGGGGATTATTATTGACCAATTGATATCGAATTTCTACACTTAGAAAGTTTACCTGTTCACTCTCCAATTTCCTTTGAGATAGGTTTAATTTTGTACTACACGCACAAATCGGAACGAAAAAACGAATTCTATTCAATTATATATATATATTAATAGGAATTTCCAACTCTAGTTATAAAAACGGTATATAATACAATTCATTACGATCCAGTTCATATACTTGGATGTCTCAATTCACGCACTCACTATCTGGTGATTTGTCAGGAAAAATACATTTCTGTTTCAATCATTGAACTGTACTGAATTGCTTCAGCTTACTTTTCTATTATTCATGTATTTTCACTCTTTATTCTTAACACTAATTACACAAAGAATTGGAACATGCTCTTTAAACCTTTCTGAGTTATGATAATGGAAAAGTGTCAATCAATGATTGGATCCTAAATCAATAAATGATTAAAGAATGATAATGAGAAACTTATAACTAAATACAAACAAAGTAAGCATTATATAAACAATGATAATTAATATGAATAGGCTGTGGAGATTCATTGCTGGTAAAATCCTATGGTTGGGGGACTATAATTATGTAATTTAAAGCTAACTAGATAAGCATTTACACATATCTAGATGAAGGTTCTCTTGGTTTTTTCAAAATTGTTTTCCATGAGCTTTCTCTAAAACTGGGTGGAGCGATTTGTACTGAATTATCTCTTTGAGGTGATAGGACTCTTGGCTGGCTTTGATATTGAGATATTTGTTCTGCTTGTGTTGATGTTGGTCGCAATGGTTTGCATGAAAAGTATGATAAACTAGATGACGGTGCGGCATCTCTACTTTTATCCTTTAATGTATCGGAGTGCGTAGGGTTTTTATCTTCTGAATAAATATGGACTTCTGTTTTTTCTTTGCACTCAGTAACTCTATTATCGAGAATGGAAGAAATATCTATGAATCAAATCAAATCGATCAAACTATACTCGAAATTGATTTCGATCGAGCATATCGGAATGAACCAGGTAGCTTGACATTTTGAAGATTTGGAATATCTAAATACTATCAATATTCAATATTCAGAAATACTTGCCAATGTCACTACACGAGGATTAAGGAAACTAGATCGTACAGAAGTTATTGATGTTAGATTTGGAAGATCTACAAAGTAAATCATTCAGAATCATATTATTGTTACTTCGCATTGTCAAGGAACATGGTTTTCTATTTCTTCCTTGGAGAGCATAATTACCGAGTTGAATGGATTGTAATGATGGAAGATCTATATCAATCATTTCATTCACATTCATTCAATACTTTCAATTATTGTCGATAAGGAATCACGGAATGTCCAATCACCTAATGTAATAGATTGCAAATTTGGAAGATCTATTCATTCAAGTATTCAATATCATATCAATACCTCGAATCACAAATGAACTCCAATAAAAATTGGTTGATTGAGTTCCAATTGTACCAATTTGAATAGATTGTAATTGTGGTAGATTCTTCAATTCAAAGTCGCCTCCAAAATCACTGAAACTATAATCACCAATTTGAATAGATTCCAATGATTCACAATTCAATATGTGGAATGATTTCGATTTGTCTTTTCCCCACTCATTCTTTGCCTGAGTAAATGAGTTGCTTCCGATTTTGATAATTTTCAATCGATCCAATCCATCGATTTTGATTGTTTTCACGGATCCAAAACAATCATCACCGATTTCGATTGATTCCAACCATTTGAATTTGTTCAGATCCAGTTTATTCAGATCATTACAACTATTCGAACGTATCACCAAGTTCGTCACTTTCAAATCCATTTTATTCAATTCCGAACTATTGCTGATTTCAATTCGTTTGGCAAATAGATTTACAGTTGGTTCAGTTTTCATTTCTCTTGGTTTTTCATTCTTTAGTACACTTCGAATGCTTTCACTCATTCCTTTTTTATACCAGCCTTCATACAGGTCGATTCCTCCATTCTTCTCTTCTCCATGTTCCCATTCACTTTCACGAATTGCTGTTCCACTGGCTTCATCAAGTAAATATCCCATTCCATTTCGTACAAATTTACCATTTTCGATACTATATCCTCCTATATACATTGGAATTCGATTCAATAACTCCGCATTCCCATTCTCACCTTTGTTTTCAGCATATTCGATCATTTTGTTATTATCAGCATCAAATTCTCGAATCATTCGAATCATTTTGTCTTTCGACCAGTATCCTTCAATCTTCTCTTTACCATTCCCTACATCATATTCCATTCCATAACCATCTCGATTCATTTCTTCATCAAATCCACCTCGATAAACAATCACCCCGTCCTTCTCTTCACCATTTTCACCTTTACATTTACTTCGAATTGTCATGATCAATCCTTCTTTACTATTTTCGATTATTCTGCGATCTCCATCATTTCCAAGGATCGAATCCCAATTTTCTCTTTGTAATGCTTTACCGTTCTCATATTCTGTCACGCCACCGATTCGCTTACCATTTTTCATCACCCATGCAAGGCTCAAGATTCCGCGATTGAATAATTGGCAACGACCTTCAACTTTACCATCTTTCATTTCACTCAACAAATACTCGTTTGAATGATCTCCTTGATATAGGGTCACTTCATATTCCACCCCATTAATAGAGATCTTCTTCTTTTCCATGGTAATGTAGTCGTTGAGTAAATACCTGGATTCTCTGGTTTGTTTTGATGAATCTATATTATTATGGTTTATCGATATGTATACTATCAAAATTGTTGACCATATTAAGAAAATACTGGTTTTCACTCTTAGCTCAGTTTGTTGGTCTATTATTTCATAACTATTTGTACATAATGTATTTCTATCTGGATTCATACTGTATCACTCAAAGACATTTAGATAAATATCTGAACGAGAGAGTTTTCCATTGTACTAGGTAATTGAGTTCATTAACCTCTCAACCATTTTATCCTTGTATCAATAAATTATTGGCATTCAATATTCTCAATTAAATCGTTGTTGTTTCACTTCCTGCTAAAACCATTCAATTCTTCATGTTGATATACAATATATATTATATTATATTATACTTGTTGAATAAATGTTGAACTGTATTTTCCATATCCTCAAAGTATCATCTCTTTGAATCACTCTTGCAACTTACATTTACTATTGTGTACTGGTTTTGTGTTATGCTGTATAACGAATTTCTGAACAAACACATCCATTCCAGAAATCAATCTACATCCTCAGAGTGAGTTCAGACTTCACAATCGCTCCATCAATCCCAATTGTCTAAATCACGCCCAATTCACATTTTCCCGTCACCACATTCACAATCATAATCATTGCGATCTTTTCGAGAGAATAAGAAACCCTCCTTTTCCAGCACAGTACTCGAAATCAAACGAAAGACAGCGGAAAAACAGCGATCCGACTAAACTCATTCTTTGTGGGAAGCGACGCCAAGTTCAAATCAATCGCTCTACAATCATACGAACACACTTCTCGTGATTCGTAGTTTCATTTGAAACGTTTTGTGTTTTCGGATTGAGAAGGAGGCCAGGAGAGTCGCTTACATTCCACAAAGCAAAGATCTTTTATGTATCAGACAATGAGAAAGAGCTTCGATTCGAAGATTTGAGTGTGATTTATGCCTATTGACAATCGCAGCATCAGCGGCTGCGAACAGGCGAGGTCGTTCTTGCCGTCGTGTGCAAGCTGTGGCGAGGGAGAGTCGCACCAGTACACTTCCACTTGGTCTTTGTACCGGATAAGGAATTGGTCGCGTTGGAATGCGTCTTGCATCCACGAATGTAGACCGCTTCTAGGATACATCGAAACATCGATAATGAGAAATACGGGGTAGAGGCGAGCTTCTTCAGCGGAGCAAACGATTCTTTGTTGGGTAACTCCATTGTGTTGGGATCTTGAAGAGAATCGACGATATCCGCATAACTATATAAATGGAATGTGTGAAGTTTATCCATAGGTGTGTTATGAAGTCCAGAAATCACTTTCTTTGCTTCCTCAGGACTCGCCATCTCGAAAAGAGCAGCTCTACACACAATTGTTAGTTCATTCAATTCTAATATGCAACATAAACCTTACCCATAGCTTTTCCCCGTCTCTGGATCGATAGGTATGAAAATGTCGTTCTTAACCACAGAACCGAAGGGTTGAATTTTCTTTAGTAAGAACAATCGTAGTTTCTTTGCTTTCTCTTCATCAACGACTGCAATTCCATCCATGACGACAAGAGAGGAAGTATCACAAATCGACTTTCTCTCCTAGTGCTGCTTGAACGTCCAAGACCATTGTTTGGTAAATAATCCAAAATCGAAAAGAACCTGAATATGGATATCTCTTTTGTTTTTGTGTGAATTTAAATTGCAAAGGTTTTTCGATATCGTTTTTGCACTGCTCCGTTAATTTCAAAATAACGATCTGTTTATTTTAAAAAAAATGAAATTGTTAAAAATAACGAAAACGTTGTATAGTAATATTATAATCTGTTTTTAACAATATCGTCTTGGAAACAGAATATTTTCAAAAAATGTTTAAAAGTAGGATTGTGCAATGGGTAATAAGTATAGATCCTTACTTGGAATCGATTACTGAGCAGTACTTTCTCGATGGATATGAAGAGTCAGAGAGAGTCACGGATATTATTGATGAGGAAGAGTGTACTATTGTATCATACAAAGGGAGTCACTCAAATGAAATCCTCATAAAAAGACCCAATGGTGTAGTGACACTTTATTCGCTCGGAGTGAAGCAAATCGAGTGGATCGAACGAGATGATGCGTCGATCGGGACTATCACGTATTTTGAGAATGGAATAGTTAAACTGGTTCAGGTCCGAAATGAAGGTGAGACGGATATTGTGCGCATTGCTAACGATATCGAAGGGGCTGTCCTCGAATATGAAGATCCTGAAACTAACAAGATCGTTTTTCGTGGTCAGTTTAATGAGTCATATCAGCGCGACGGACTAGGCAATGAATACGACAGAGAAACCGGTATTATCTCTCGCCAGGGCATTTGGGAAAATGGAAAGGTGGTGAAATATCTTCGTGAATTCATTGGGGACGAAATGGTGGAATATGATCCAGAATTTCCCAATTTGAAGAAATACGATCTGAACCCAATCTACAGAGGTGGATACTGCCTGGATGAAAAGACCGGTGTTTATTTGCGCAATGGACAAGGTTATTTGATTAAGAACCATGTCACTGTGGGTATAGGAGAATGGGAACATGGAGTGGAGGTTAAGAAACAGGATCTAGCCGAGGGATGGTATATCCAACCTGAAGAGTCTGAACCATCGGAAATACCTGAGATACCGGAAGTACCTGAGCTACCGGAAGTACCTGAGCCACCGGAAGTACCTGGTGATGAGGAAGAATCGACTGTGGATGAGGAAGAAACCCATGAAGAACAGCAGTTTGAAGATCCAGAATATGAAATCCATGCTTTGGCACACCTTCTTGGTCAACTTGCTCAAGGTTCTGACGACTCTGACGATTCTGACGATTCTGACGACTCGGATGACTCGGATGACTCGGATGACTCGAATGACTCTGATGAACCTCAAGACAATAGTGCCGAGCAACAGCCTACAGAAGAGGAGACATTGGCAATGATGCCTTTGACGGGAGAGGAAACTATTATCACTAGCGATGCTGAATTGGGTGGTTTGCAGTCGACGGTCGAGATTCTCAAGATCCGCTCTTCGACTTGCAATAGTATGGCTAGATTCGAGCTGAAGGCTTTCGCAAAGCTGCGGATGATCGAAGTGGGCGACGAGTGCTGTTCTCGCGTGGACTATTTCTGCATTGCTGACATGCCCCTACTCCAACAATTCACGGTTGGAAAGAGTTCATTCACGAAGGAGCTGAACGGATGGAAAGAAGACAAAGACCGATCCTTCCACATCAAGCATTGCCCTTTCCTCGAAACTATCAAGATCGGCCGCTACAGCTTCAGCGATTATGGCGGCGATTTTGAACTGCTGGATCTTCGAAGACTGCGGGAAATCGAGATTGGAGTGTTCGACGAGGAGTCGTGGAACTTCAGCAACAGCTCGTGCATTTTCCGAGATTTGCCTGAACTGCGAACTATCGTAATGGGAGACAAAACGTTCGGATTCTCCACTCACACTGTCTTCGAAAGTACAATTTAGTGTGAGTTTTCATGTAGATCTACCGAAGCTGAACTCAATTCGAGTGGGAGATAACTCGATGAATGGAGACAAGCGAGACGATTGCTCTCTGATTATGAAGGGTAGAACGATGTCTTCTTTTCTTTGATTCTCAGATTTGCCCATGCTCAAAACCCTGATTTCCAATAAACCTGGATTCACGTTCCATTCGCCGAAGTTGGTAATTCTTCAAAGTACGTTCCTTCACTTTTTCTTCTCACCATCAGACATTCCCGCTTTGGACAATGTGAGACTCCCCGGCTCATTCAAAATGGTCCGAAACTCTACCGTGGAGAGTATGAATCGATTGCCCATTTGAAGAAATAGACGTCGCTGAGCCGCTCGCTGAGCTTCTCCCAGTCGATCAGATTGTCAATTTGGAGAGAATCGATTCATCGGTAACAACCATCGACCTCGAAAACGGAATCTGTAACAACCCGAACGTCCCGCCCTTCAACTTTTCGCGTTTCACTAAACTCCAAACCATTCGGATCGGGAACGATTCGTTCGAGAACATGAAGGAATTCCGGATCCAAGGCTTGCAGAATCTCATCTCACTGACGATCGGAGAGAATAGCTTCACCGCTGAAAAGAAACGACATGGCAACGATCCCACGCGGTCGTTCCACGTCCTTGATTGCCCCCATTTGCGCAGTATTATTATCGGAAAGTACAGTTTCTGCGACTACTCCGGAGAGTTCGAAGTGAAGAACTTGCCGGCTCTCGAAGAATTGAAGATCGGAGATATCACCGAAGATAGTTGGAACTTCGACTACGCGAACTTTGTTCTTCGAGGTACTCTATTTCCGCCTTAATTCGATGCAGATTTGCCTTCTCTCGAGGTTGTTCATCTTGGAAAACTGGCGTTCTTCTGGTCTGTCTGCACCGTCATTGAGAGTAGGGATTCAATGCGAACGGTCAAGCGCAGATCTCCCCAGACTGAGGGAGTTCGTGTGCGGAAACCAGTCCATTCAGGGAAGATACAAGAAGACGATCAACACCCTCACAATGAAGAGTATTCCTAATTGTCGAGCAGTGATCCACAGATCTGCCGAATCTGACGACGCTTCGTTCGGATGGCGCGACGTTCGCTCTGCAACGCACCGTTGTTCTTTCGAGTTGGCTCTCTTCTTTCCTCTCACGCAGACATTCCCCGATTGACCGACGTTTCTCTTCCCGACTCCTTCAACTACGTGGAGTTCGCGACCATCGATGGTTCGGTTTTGCTTTGCCTCTCACTGTAGACGTGAGCAACAGTCTAGCGTCGCTGGTTATCACCAGCAAGTGTCCGAGTATGATCACCGAAATGAACCCAGCGACCTCCGAAATGGTCATTCCCGCCTTCTCCTGCAATGATCGAGCCGATCGCTTCTTCGAGCTGACCACTTTCATGCTTCTGGAGACGCTCCAGATTGCAAACGACTGCTTCAGCGAGGTGTATCATTTTGTAATCAGCGGACTCCCCGCCCTGAAGTCGATCACTATTGGGAAGAACTGCTTTACGCAGAGTAAAAACGAGCGTGGTGACAATCCGCATCGAAACTTTACCGTTACCAACTGTCCGTCTCTTGAAATCATCACCATCGGACGATACAGCTTCAGCGACTATAGCGGACCGTTCGTGATTCAGAACTGCAATATGCTGAAGCATTTGAAGATCGGAGAAGTGGGATACGAGTCCTGCAATTTCCACGATGCGGACTTTGTCCTGGAGGGTAGAAATACAATCTCGATGGCATGTAGACTTGATATCTCTCCAGTCGATCGAAGTCGGAAACAAGGGATTCTGCAACGCTGTTGCCGTTACGATGAAGAGTTGAATATTCTAATGAGGGATGAGAAATAGACCTGCCAATGCTGGAAACGATTCGTTTGGGATCGGATGCGCTGGATGGCGTGGTGATGGACAATAACAGCTGTGTGACCATGAAGAGTAAGCGATTCCCAGTTCTTTTTTATTATCAGATCTGCCGCGCCTTCGCAGCCTTGTCTCGGATGGAAACAGTCTGCGTCTTATGAAGAACGTCAAGTTGAACAGTAGCAACGAAATTGGATTGTGAGGTAGACATTCCTAACGTGATGGAGGTGAGTCTTCCCAACTCCTTCGAGGCGGTGAATGAAATGGAAGTGGAGGGTCGAAATGAGTGCGTTTCGTTATTGTGTAGGTGTGCATCCGAACCTGGGATCTCTTGTGAAAAAGGGAAATGGATTGTTGGACGCTCTGATGAGACTTCTGAATTCGTAAAGGACACTGGATCAAGAACCAATAGGGTGTAACTTGCGAATCTGTGTTTGTTTAAGAAAGAAGGTCACAGATAATAAGTATCAGCGTGTGTGTTGCTGCTAGACTCTGAATTGGATCTGTAAATAGAAAGCGTCAATCCCAGATATCGAGAAGCAGTCTTTTTAAATAATTCTTATTATGTTTCAACTAACATCGTGTGTCACAGTGAAATTTACTCACAAACTCGTCTTCCTGTGAAAAATTCCCGAAATGAATTTGAAAAGCATAATAAATCCTTCATGATCACGGAAATACGTTGATGACTCATTTTCAAGCAAAAAAGGTGCGATGCGATATATTTATCATGTTTAAAACATCCCACATAACCGATGTTGTAGATTCGAAATTATTGGATCTCTCCATCATGGAATCTCCAAAGAACCTACTTAACAAAGAATGGTTTTGCTCAACCAAAATGCACAACCCATCTTAAATCATCCCTTCTCTCTATCCTATTTCATACTAGCAACTATCTACAAGTGATTACGAATCACAAGCAAAAGAGAAATCAAAAAATACTGTTGTTTGTATAGACATTTTTAGTGAGATGCGTGTTCTAGACAAGAAGATCCAGAAGGTCCTCAGTATGAATACAACGCAGAGCGACATCCAAGAGGCTTTGGATTCGTTTGCGGCGTATTATGACTCAACCGAAAATACTGTGGACAGTCGAAAGAACTTGCGTTTTTCTCTGGAGGGAATAAGCTGCGAATTGACTCAACGCTTTGCAACCGAACTTGGGAAGTTTTACACCGTTCGCTATTTCTGTCGAGCAAATGACGTCGTAGGTCTTTGAAAAGTTTTCCACATCCCTGGACGAAGTGACAAAAGTCTGTTTGGACATTCGTAATACAATTGATGAAACAGAGAAGCAGACGCGGTCTCTGAACTCGTTCCACACGGATACTATTACATACGAGTAGAAATCTTTCAGTTTCCTAATTTTCCAAGACAACGCCTCCGTTCACGTCGCGAAGCGCTCACTCGTTTCCTCCACGCATATTCCCTCTCTGCCGAAGAAAAATCCATTCTGGAACAGCGCCCCATTTTCGAGAATGGCTCCGACGAGTTCTTCGTGGTCCTGCAGCGAGCCTCCGAAGTCAAAGCGCGCTGTACAGCGCTCATGCAAGACCCCTACTGCATGATGACGGCCACGGTGGAATTGCTGGAGACCATCTCCTCCCTCGAAGAAAACGCGTTCCACCGCCTCTTCGGGTGGTGCCAAGCGGAATGCCACAACACAGGCGACAAGAGCTACTACCTCGATGAAGGGAACAGCAGCTTTCTTCGTCTTCGCCGCGGTCTGCAGACGCTTCGACAGAAAGAATCGTACTTCAATCACTGCCTAACAGACTTCGTGAACAACCGCCGCAACCTGCTCGCGAGCCTTCTCGCGGACAATCTTGTGCAGTGGAGCCAGAACCGCAACGAGGAAAACCCGAACCAGATGATGTCGGATCTGTTCACGTGGCTGCACGAATACATGAACGAAGAACGCGCGGGAATCCGCGTTTTGTTGGCGGGAGACGCCGAGGAGTCGGCGCAGAATCACTTCGTGACGAGTTGCATGGACGTGATTTTCAGCGGGGCGAACAAGTTCGTCCAGGAGTATTTGAACCCGTATTTCGACGAGAATTCGAACGTGTTGCAGCTGTTTGAGTCGCTTCAGATCCTCGCGTTCTACGACAACATCGTAGCGAACATCATTAGCAAGGATTGCTCTCTGCGATCCACGCTGCTCTCCATTGAACAAACGTTATGGACTCGCATCACCAATCTCTTCGTGGTGCGCGTGAAACACTATTTCAAACTCTCTCCGTTCGTTAGCAACTCGTTTATCACCGCGGGGAACGGCGTGTCCACGAAAAACGGAAGCGAACGGGGACAGAACACGATTTTCACGGAGCTGCTGCTGCTGCTGCGGCAGTGTTTCGATATGTTTTGTTTGTTTGCACACGTGAGATTTAGTCTAAACAACACAACGATGGAGATTGAGCGAAAAACGGAGCTGTTCAATTCGTTGGTGGAGGCGTCACTGATGCCGCTCGTGGAGAATTCGCGCGATTACTTCCAGATTTTGGATGCGACGGAGCTTTACGTGACGCTGGTGAATGTGATCGAGGAGCTGAAGAGTGTGGTGAGTCAGTACGGATTCGGAGTGAATTTCAATTACTATCTCTGCGAAAAGAGCGATTTCTACACGGATACGATCATTCGAGAAAAGGTAAGCGAGGCATGAAGTGGGTTGATTGATTCGTAGCTCAACGCTCTGCTTAAAGAATGCGATTTGCTGCGCTTGCTGCAGCAGATGAACTCGCTGTCGCCGCCTCTCTCGGTCCATTCCATCGCGTCTCCTGCGGTGATCGAAAAGGGCACGCAGCTGTTAGTCTCGAAGATGTACTTGTTCATCAATAACGAGTTCTACACGATTCATCCCAAGCTGCGAACCCGCATGAAGCTGGAGGCGAGCCGAATGATCTCCAGCGAGTACGAGCGATTGTACAACGCGGTGCACGACCCGCAGAATGGATACATCAACGTGGATTCGATCATGCTGCACACGCCTCAGCAGATCAAAACGCTTCTCGACTGTGATTGCTCTGTTTCTTGGAACAAACACGCCCACAAAAATCATTCGTATTCTTAGAACCATCCTTCTCTTCTCTTGTGTTGAATAAAAAACTCAGAACCACGAACTCGACGCTTTCTTCTATCCGTCATCCTCTCTCTCCAAAATCCTCACTCGAATCTCCATCACTTCCTCCGGAGTGAACTGGAAGATCGTCATCAGCGCCGTCTGCATGTGATTTCTACGCCTCACCCGTCCGCTTCGCCCCCACCTCGCACTGCGATCGCGCGAGCACAAATAATTAAAAAACAAGCTCCGCAGATACTTCTACGCCTCACTCTCTCCCAAAAGAAACAAACATTCTTCGTTAAAATATCCTGACTACTCACATCCAGCTCTCCTCCTTTCCCCTCTTCTCCTTTTCCACCATTCATTCCACTCATCGACCCCATCGACCCCATCGAACTCGTCGAACTCGTCGAACTCGTCGCGGCTCCCTTCCCTTCCGCTTCACTCTTCCGCATCATCATCAACATCTGCTGGTTTTTGCTCTTCAAGTAATCGATCTCGTTCCGCAGCGATTCAATCGTCTCCTTATCCGTCGCCACGCTAATCTGCGCATCGATCGACTCCGTCTGCTTCTTCTACGCCTCGCTCTCACCTCCTTCTCTCACCTTCACCTCCTCCTTATACTTCCGCCTCCACTCATCGCACTCCGCCTTCATCAGCCCCAGCTTCCGCTGGTCGTCCGCCGTCTGCAGCTTCAGCTCCTCCACGTCCAGCCGCAGCGAGTCGATCTGCTGCGTCAGCTGCGCGTTGCGCTCCTTCAACGCTTGCCGCTGGATGCGCAGACTCTCCACGTCGTCCTGCACTTGCAGCGACGGCTGCGTCGAGAACAGCGGCAGGTCGATGCTCGACGATTGCAGCTACAATTGGGGAAACCGGGGAAACCTACGCTGGTGATCTGCGAGTTTTTGTTCCAGAGCATGACGTCGGTTTCCACGCGGAACTTCTTGTACTCCTCTTCGAGTTTTTCGTAGGATTGCTGGAGCGACTGCAGTTGGTTTCGCTGCGTTTTATGGAATTCCAAAAAAAGGGACTAATTCGGATGCTTGGGTGGAAGAGAGAGAGAAGGGGGGAAGGTCCAGCGTGCAGCCGATGGAGTTGACGTGCTCGATAAGCTCGTCCTGCGAGAGCCAAATGCAGGAATTATCGTGGAAGTCGTCGTCTTCATCATCATCATCATCATCATCATCATCATCCAGAGAGCTATTCATCAAATATGAAAAATATAAAGAGAAACGCGTCGGAAGCGGGCTTGGGGAACTTTACAAGGCACCAAATATCGTGGCCAACTTGAATTCGCTCCAGGACGGCTTCTGGCTTCTGTCCTTCAAACATCTCGATGGAGTTTCCTCCCTTCTTCGATTTCAATTCCTAGAAAGTGAGAAACTCCCTAAAATAACGAATACAGCTAACTCGCGCGCTTTGTCATCCCGCTCCTTTTGAATTTTTTCTAAATTCTCCTTGGCAGTTGAAATAATGATATCTTTCAACTCGCTTTGCTTTGTAAGTTCTGCAATTTTAACAGTTTGCGATTTGGATTTGGCCTGAAGGAACTGGATAACCTTTTTCAGCTTTTCATTCTACAAAATATCGCCAAAGTCAAAACCAATCCCTACTTCCTGCTTTTGAGAATCGTCATCTCCCTCCGGGATGGCTACCTTCGATAAATCCTCTGTCGACTCGCTCATGATGTCGTAAGAATCAAAGAAATGCTTACGACCCATTTCGTACCAATATTCGGAATTCCATTTTCCTCCACTCTTTTCATCTTTTCACATTCCCACATTCGAGATGGAAGATTCTCAGGAACCCCATACGGACGAGAGATGCTCTGTTCGGGAGATGGAAGTCACGGTTGCGAATGAAGAACGCCATCTGAGTTTAAAAGTGGAAACGGTTCATACGGTGGGCGGTTGGATGGATGTTGATTCTGTTTAGGAAGACTCCGATACACTTCAGCTCGAACTGAGTGATCCGAGCAACGCTTCCTTTCTCTATTACTGTATTATTCGAGAAGATGAGTATGAGAATATGATAACGTCTCAGAATGTGTTAATTCCTTTCAATCAGTTCCCCTCTCATTTTTTATCGATTCTGGACCGCATCACCGAGACGAAAACAAACAGGATGTCATCTCTGGGAGGTTTCTTTACGTTTTGTTGTCTCGCTTGGTTTGACCTAGATTTTCCATTTGTTTAGAGCCTTTGGAGGAGGATGGCAGCCAGCTTCTCAAAGTAGTCCAGGTTTCTTCCTTCATGTCCTTCCCTCTCATCTCGCTCCCTTTCCGCCAAGCCAACGATTCCCAGCTCATTTCCTACCTTCTCTCGCTGGTTCGTCTCTACCAGGACCCCGTTTCTCCATTATTAACTCTCTGACCCATGCAGGATTCCGCCTCCGTTTCTCCTTCCTCCGCCCATTCCAACTCTCTTCTCCAGCGATATCGCGACCTCCAACGCCAATACTCCCACGACACCGCCTCGCTCAAGCAGGACTACGAGTCCTCCCTCCATCAAATCCAGCAAACGCTCGAGTCCCAGATCCTCTCCCTCCGCCACCAGCTCGACACGCTCGACCAGCAGCACGCCGCCTCGCTCGACCAGCAGCGCCAGCAGTGGGCCGCGCAGCTCGCCGCGCTCCAGCAAAAACTCGCAGCCTCCTCCGCCTCCCTGTAATCGCTTTTTCCCCGCGATTCCTAGCCTCGCCGCCCACGGGGAACGCGACGAACTCCGCGCGGCCTTCGACTCCCTCCAAGACGAAGCCAACCGCCTCCGCAGAACCGCGGGGGAGGCCGATTCCTGCAAGAAATCGCTCGCCGACCTGCAGCAGGCGGAAGTTTGGCTGTTTCCCCGCGGTTATCGGTAGAAAGCGCTGGCGGAAACGGCGGAGCGCACGGCGAAGCAGCTGCAGGAGCAGACGGAGAAGGCGGAGAAGGCGTCGGCGACGTTGGCGGAGCGGGAAGCGGCGCTGGAGGAGGCGAAGAAGCGCCAAAAAGAGCTGGAAACCGCGGTGAAGCGTCTGGAGAGGGAAGTAGAGGAAGGAAGGGAGAGAGAAGAAGGTCTGGAGAGGGAGAAGGAGGAGCAGAAGAAGGCGATGGAGACGATGGCGGTGCAGTTGGCGCAGTTGAAGACGGAACATGCGAAGAATGTCGATTACGTGAAAACGCTGTTGCACTCGAATAAGATGAAGGATCGGGGTAGGAATGCGGAGATCGACGAAGTGTAGCGATTTCGTGCCTCAATCAGGAGATCAACAAGATTAAGCTGGGGTCGCATGTGGCTTCGTCTCTGTAGCGTGGAGTGCTCGGCTAGAATGAGCTCGGGAAGGCTGTGGGTTGACGGGCTTCGTAGTTTTTGTGGTTTCTGTGCGTTGTTTGATCCATAACCAAGTGCAAACGAGTTTTCGGCTAGAATGAGTTCAGAAAGGCTGTAGGTTTGACGAGATTCGTAGTTTGTGTAATTTCTGTGCGTTGTTTGATCCATAACCAAGTGCAAACGGCTTTTTGGTCGAAGGAGTTTTTTGTTATTAATCAACAGAGCGATTTGGTTACGCGGCGGATGAATTCCTTGAATGTTGGGAAACTGAGGTTTATCATCGCCAGCCTGAAGGGTCTTTCGACCCATGAACTTGGTGCTGAGCTGGACAGGCTTTGTGTGGGCAGTGGCAGATGAGAGTTATGCATAGGCAGATCAAGACCCCATTAGTTTCTATAGTTGCTTTGTATGTGGTTGAAATGTGCGTTTATCCTAGTTTCAGGCACTCAATGTTCGAAAGAAAAATATTCTATTCATGGGTCCTCCGGGCGTGGGCGTCGGGACCTGTATGCGAATAGTTGCTCCTGTACTACTAGTTTGGATTGCATACACGCTCTATCGGATAGATTCCTTCCTTTCGCTCAAAGTATATTATTCAAAAGGAGATGCAACAAGGGACTGATTTTGGTTTGATTGCGGAAGTAGCTCTAATCGTCTTTCCTGATAGGTAGAAGTACGTTCTGCGTGGAGAATTAATACCGGATGACGTGATGATTCCAAAGATCATAGAGGTCCTTAAACAGCCACAGTATCGCTCGGGTTTGATTATGGACGGGTTTCCCCGCACGATTAAGCAAGCAGAGGCTCTCGAAGAAGTACATGCTTTCCTTGGTTCTTTCCTAGTTTTCTCCTGTCGATCTCGCGATGGTTTTCACTCTTCCGAAGCATCTAGTTGTAAAAAAGCTCATGAACCGGCGGTAGGCTTCATTCCGCATGTTCATGCTAGAGTCTGTCCCAAATGCAACCGTTCGTATATTTTAAGTGAAATCAGCGAAGGAAGCGTTCATCTGCCTGCGATTCTGCCGCAGAACGAGAACCTGTGCGATGATTGCAATGTCCCTTTAGTCGTTCGTTCGGACGACAATCCAAAAATCATCGAAGCGAGATACGACATTTTCGAGGAGAGAACGAAGCCGGTGTTGGAGTTCTATCGCGAGAAGAAGATATTGTGCGAGTTTGGAATCAAGCAAGGAGTGCAAGATTTGCCTGCGATTCTTCGCAATATATTGATTCATTTTTTATCCAAATATAATTGATTATGAGCAAATAGAAGGGATGTTTGAGATAATACACAATGGGTGATGATGAGTGGAGAATCTTGATGGCGTCGCAGGAAGCGGATTGGAAGAATGCTGGTTGACGAAATATTGAATGAAATGAAGGAAAGAGTGGGGTAAATGAGTTGAATCATCGTGTTTTTTATTAACAACGGTGCATGAGGAACATCAACAAGATCTAAACTATAGTGTTCAGTGGATGTTAGTTGGTCTAATGCTAAAATGAAAAACAATACAAGTAGCAATGTTATTTTTAATATTAAAGTTCACTTTTTCATCATTCATTTTCGCAAATCTGAATGGAATCACCTTGCCTTCATATCAAAGAGTGAAAATATGGTAATTTTAAGTGCTGACGACCCACATCAGGGATATGGGATTCATACATAAATGAAGGGTGGTAGACTGAATGGAAATGACACAATACAATCTCCTAACATTGTGTAATTTCCAAATTGTAGTATTCTCAAGGCGATATTTCTGGACCCTGTGAACTGTATAATCAGTCTGGAAACCTTTTCTATGAGGGTTATCTCGAGAATGGATATCGACATGGAAGAGGAACGGAATACAATGAACAAGGGAATGGAATATTCGTCGGATTGCACGATAAAAACAATGAGTTAAGCATATATCATTTCAGAGAAATGGGTAAATGATATTGAAGAAATGGTTGAATAAACTGCACTTACGAAGTGTTTACAAGATGAATGATCAAGGAAAACATTGAGGAATCCTTTATTTTTATGAAGTTGGAAAGATTTCACGAATGAATGAATGGAAAGATGGAAACGAAGTCAACGTATTGAAACAGTTCTTAAATGATAATACAATGATAGATTATAAAGATGGTGCATGAGTGCATGATAAAGAATTCTTGGATTATTTGGAATAAAACTATCCAGGAAAGAGAGCTGGAGCAGAATATGACACGGATGGAAAGTCAATCCTATTTAAGGGAATGTTATTTAAAAATAATGTACGTCATGGAATGGGAGTGTGCTACAAGAATAATAAATCGTGCAGTTCAAACAAGGAGAGTGGATAATAGGACATTCGTTGAAGACAGTGATGATTCAAGTTCATAGATACTTTGAAGTATTAATGAATTGATTCTAAATGATTTGATTTGCAAATCTTCCAAATCTAAGATCAATAACTTCTGTACAATATAGTTTCAATGCACCTCGTTGGGTAACATTGGAAAGTATTTCTGAATAATGAATATTGATCATATTCAGTTATTCCAAATCTTCAAAATGTCAAGCTACCTCGTTCATTCCAGAGAGTTCAATGGAAATCAATTTCGAGTATAGTTTGATCGATTTGATTTCAATTGTTCCTAGATGTTTCTTCGATTCTCACTGATCTTGTCCACGAAATCAACCATGACTCTTATTCTGATGCCCATTTATCATTTCAGTATTGAATCTACACACTTGATTTCATTACATTCAATAATCATTATGTTTATTTTTGCTTGTTCTGATACCTTTTCTATCATATATATTTCTTATTTATATATACTTTCATTCAATTTACAGCAATGGATGAAAAAAGAATAACATCCAGAGTAGTTATAATGCATAATCGACTTGAATTATTTGATTGATTCTCTCACGCATCGCTTTCCTTGCTCTTTGCTCTTTGCCTAATCCCTATCCACTGCAAAGTAACCAATCCATTCACTGTATTCAACAAACACATCACCCCGATTATTCCTCCTTCTCCTTTTGCAACAATTTCTCCTCCTTATACCGCGTAATCGCTCTCGACACAGCCTTCAGCACCTCATCGATGAGAATCACCGGGAAGGAGAACGCCAGCACCAGCTTCCAGTCGTGGAGCGTGAGCGGCGCGACGGAGAACACTTTGGCCAAGGGCGGGATGTAGAGAATGGCGAAATGGGCGACGAACGAAGCGAGGATGGCGGCCACGAGATAGAGATTGCGATGAGGCGGGACGACGAGGAGGGAGCAGTCCTCGGAGAGCGCGTTGAGCGCGTTGAACATCTCGATGGTGACCAGAACGGTGAGCGAGAGCGTGGAGGCGACGACCTTTCCCTTCTCGAAGTAATCGCAGGGCTGGGCGAAGCCGCCCCATCCGTCCAGGGAGAACTCGGTCCACGCGCGGCATTTCCCGTGGCCCATGAGCTGGGCGAGGGAGACGAGGGGATGGGCGTCGGGGGCGCGGTCGAGCACGTACCAATAGACGAAGATGCCCACCGTGGCGACGCCCACGTAGAGCCCGATCACCACGTAGCGGAAGAACACGAAGGGCGTGATGAGGCCTTCGTCGCGGGCGCGCGGCGGACGCGCCATGATGTCGGGCTCGGGCGGGTTGAAGCCCAGCGCGGTGGCCGGGGGCCCGTCGGTGACGAGGTTGACCCAGAGCAGCTGGACGGGGGAGAGTCCCTCGGGAATGCCCAGCATGGCCGTGAAGAAGATCGAGGCGACCTCGCCGATGTTGGAGCTGATCAGATAGCGGATGAACGCCTTCATGTTCTGGTAGATGGACCGGCCCTCCTCGATCGCCGCCACGATCGTCCGGAAGTTGTCGTCCACCAGCACCATGTCCGAAGCCTCCTTCGCCACCTCCGTACCGCTCACCCCCATCGCCACGCCGATGTCCGCTTGCTGCAGCGCCGGCGCGTCGTTCACGCCGTCCCCCGTCATCGCCGTGATCTCCCCCATCTGACGAAGCAGACTGATCAGTTCCTTCTTGTGCACCGGCTCCGAACGCGCGAACACGCGACCCCCATGACCCGCCAAAATCCGAAGCTGCCGCTCACGAGGGAGTTTCATGAACTCACGCGCTATGTGTCACCGAAACGGGGAAACGTGGAACCTTCGAACGAAGCCTCCGCTTCTTCTCCGGGCTGCAGAATGCCCACATCGCGCGCGATGGATTCCGCCGTGAGTTTGTTGTCTCCGGTAATCATGAAGACGCGGATGCCGGCCTTCTTGCACAGCGCGATGCTGTCGCGGACTTCGACGCGTGCAGGATCCTTGATGCCGACCATGCCGAAGAGACAGAGATCCTGCTCGATGGCTTCGTACGCTTCCACATCGGCGAGCATCGCGTGAGCGGGATGCTGCGGACCGTCGTAGCTGCGCAGCGGACCTTCTTCGTGCTTCCCTGCGAGCGCCAAGCAGCGCAGACTGCGTCGAGACATCTGCTCGAGATGCTCCAGACAGCGCTGCCGCATCGATTCCGTCAGCGGCACCACGTTCCCTTCCTCGGTGCAGAGCCATCGGCAGCGCTGCAGCAGCAGTTCCGGCGCGCCCTTGACGAGCAGCTCGTTCGCCACCGGCTTTCCCTTCCCGTGAGAGCCACGCTGGCTCGCCTACTCGCTTGGAGACCAGCACCGACATCGACTTGCGCGTCCGCGAGAACTCCAGACAGCCGTTCACCGAATAGAGCGTCGCCCAGAGATCGTTGCAGCGCTGCGTGACCGGCGAGTCCACGCAGTGATCGCTCTACGCCTCACGCCTCGCTTTCTCCTCCTACGCCCAGCAACTCCTCCGGAAAGCCCAGCTTCTCCACCAAAATCCGCAGCGCCGCCTCCGTCGGCTCGCCCACCGCTTCGTATTTCTGCGTCGCGTCGTTCCACGTCACCGTCGTCTCATTGCAGAACGCGCAGACCTTCGCCACGTCGCACAGCGCGCGCTGCGACGCCTCCAACCGGTCCACGCCCTCCACTTTGCCCTCCGGGTTGTACGAAATCCCGCTCACCGATCGCTCGCACGCCTCTCCCGTCGCGTGGAACGTCGAAACCGTCACCACGGTCATTTCGTTCGTCGTCAGCGTCCCCGTTTTGTCCGAGCAGATCACCGTCGTGCAGCCCAGCGTCTCCACCGACGGCAGCTTCCGCACGATGCAGTTCCGACGCGCCATCGACCGCGTTCCCAGCGACAGGCACAGCGTGATCACCGCGGGGAGGCCTTCCGGAATGGCGGCAACGCCCAGCGCCACGGCCACTTTGAGGTAGTAGATGCAGCCGCGGAAAAAACCGCCGAATTCGGGATCCGAGAACTGATGGAAGTTCATGATCCAGACGATGACGCAGATCCACATGATCACTTTGCCCAGAAGCTCGCCGAATTCGTCGATCTTCTGCCCGAGCGGGGTCTTTTCTTCGTCTTCCCGCGCGTCCATGACGGCGCGCTGGATCTTTCCGATCTCCGTGTTCATGCCGGTCCGCACTACCAGCGCTTTGCACAGCCCGTTCGCGATCGTGGTGCCTGCGAAGAGCATGTTCACCTTCTCCGACAGACCCGCGTCAACCGTTGTGCAGACATCGGGGTTCTGAAAGGAATGACACACAAGAAAGTCCATCCTACTTTGAGAACAGTGCGGCTTTCGCCTGTCAGTGCACTTTCCTCCACACGAAGCGTCGCTGTCTTTAGAGACAGAATTCGGCAGTCGGCAGGGACTTTGTCTCCGACATTAAGCTACACAACACACGAAATCGAGAAGGAGTACGCGAATAATGTCTCCAGGAACGAGTTGCTCGGCAGGAAGGTTGGGATTTACTACTCCGTTGCGAATACAACGGGCTTTCTCGGACTGCATTTTCTTTAGCGCGTTGAGGGCAGACTCAGCATTGTTTTCTTGCCACACGCCCACGATAGCATTTAAAATCAATATCAGCAATATTACAAAGGGCTCTACAAAGGCCGTAACGCTGCTCTCACCCCCATTTTCGAAAAAAGCAAGAACAAACGAAAGTACAGCAGAAACCAACAAAATTTGAACCAAATAGTCTTCAAATTGCTCCAAGATGAGTTTCCAAAGGGGAGTTGGAGGTTCTTCGGCAAGAGCATTCAGTCCGTAAACACTCTGACGTTTCAAAACTTCTTCATCTGTTAGTCCGTCGTCCATATTCACATCATAATCGTGTAAGCAGCTTTCTACACTACATGAATGAGGAGAAAGCGTTTTTAGGTCCTGGAAACGATGAGAAACTGTTTATAACAAGCAGAGCACAGCAAGAAATAGATCAAAACTTACAGGTACCATTTTCCAAAAAAATTTGGTTCCGTAAACTTCAAATAATAAATTCTAGAAAAATGGGCATTCATCGAACAAACAAGAAAAAAATAGTTATTCAGTTGATACAGTCAACGTTTCACTTATATAGGGTTTGAACTGCGTCTCGTTTATCATCTCACTGCAAGTAACTGTCAAGTTATAAAATGCATCAACCTCATATGTAATTTGGATACGCGGAACTCCTTTCCTAGCCTTCTTTATTCCATCGAATTTGATAGTTTTGATAAGTCGGCAATTCTTTTGAAAATCTCCTTCTCCCTCATAAATCGCTGTAGAAATCAGTTGCTGATCATCCTCTGTCGTAGTGAACAGTTTGCTCTTCTTGCAGGGAAGTTGTTCTCCTCGGTCGATGAGTGGGCAAATCTTCCCTCCCAACACTGCAACTCCAAATGAACACTTTGATGTAGTCTTGACTTCGATTGCAGACACTCCAGAGGAAGATGGCTCTAAATTCCCTTCTTTCCCAGCATAAATGCAGGCGCCTTTTGCCACGCAATCCGTTTTGCTTATATTTTCATTTATATTTATTTGATATTTTTTCCTAAGAGTTTCGGAAATGAGAGGGATGGAGGTTGTTCCTCCAACCAAAATAATGGCCTTAATGTTATCCTTATTGTATTTCTCGAGCAACTTGTCAATCATATTAGTAGTTTTATCCACAATTTTCTGAATAAGAGCATTAAATGTTGGTTTATCTATCGTAATGGATACTTCATCATCATCATCAGTAGCAGCAACAGGTCTGTTTTCTTCTGGTATGAATTCAGTGATATCAATTGAGCCTTGACCACGTGCTGCAATGATCATTTTCATCTCCTCACATCGTTTAAGTAGTACCGCTTTCATCTTTTCGCTTTTGTTTATCATCTCTTCCAAATCAAAGTGATATTTATTCCTTGATATCATATAAACATATTCCAATAGTGCTTGGTCAATATCTGTGCCCCCTAACTTGTCATCTCCATCTCTTTCCTTAATGTCATAAGTATCTACTTTTTCATATTTCACTAAAGTAAGATCAAAAGTTCCTGATCCAAAGTCGTATACCAAATAAAGCCCTGGCTCGAAATTTCTGTTACTTTCGAAATAATGAATAATAGCAGCAACAGGCTCATCAAGCAATTTTACATTGATAGGCGCCTCAAAGACTTTGCGACAAGCTGCAAGAGTACACTCTCGTTGAAGTTGGTTAAACTTGGCAGGGACACCAACCACGACTGTAGAGAGCTTCCTAAAACCATCACTCACATACTTGTTAACGTGATGGCGAATCTCTTTTAATATTTCCGCTTCTACATCGACTGGTCCAATCCTTTCTTCTTTGCCATGGCGTCTGATTAAAAAGCCAGCGTAATGATCAGCCAGCTCCACAATTTCGCTACCATACGAAAGTTTGGCTAGTTCACCCATTTCATTCACAGGCGTACCAATTATTCGTTTTGCAAACCGAATGGTGACAGAATCTTTTGCGCCTCCTTCAACACCCACAAAAATAGCTCCACTGTTGTCGTACTGGACTGTAGATGATATTGCTGTCTTTGAACTTCCAATATTGACAAGCTCCTGAGTGCTACCATAACTTACAGCACAAAGTGAATTACTTGTTCCCAAATCGATTCCACAAACAAGAGAAGTAGCCATTGTTATATATTCTATACTCTCAGTTTAAAAATGAGTTGTGGTATTGGAAACTTTAATTACGCGAATCCTACTCGTATTTTGTTTGGTAGAGGTCAGATTGCTCAGCTTCCGAACCTTATCGACAAAGATCGACTTGTGTTCATGACCTATGGAGGTGGTAGCATAAAGAGAAACGGAGTCTATGACCAAGTGATGAAGGCGCTCGAAGGCTACGAAATCATCGAATTTGGTGGAATCGAAGCCAATCCCGATTTTGATACTCTGGTGAAGGCGGTAGATCAGATTCGTAAGCTTGATATGTCCCGTGTCTTTTTGTTGGCAGTTGGCGGAGGTTCTGTCGCTGATGGCACCAAGTTTATTGCTGCTGCATGCCAGTATACCAAATCAGAAGACCTTTGGGAACTGGTTCTTTCCGCAGGTGCTGGAGTGGAGGTTGCTATTCCTATGGGTTGTGTGATGACTCTTCCCGCAGTAATCATTCTCCTTCTATTTTTTACTTCTAGACAGGTTCCGAAAGCAACTGGGGTGCTGTCATTTCAAGAAGAGCTCTTAACGTACTTCTTGCCTTTTCCTTTTATTTTCAGTGCAAATACTCAATTTACAGTCCTCTCCTTTTCCCTCAGTGGTCGATTCTGGATCCTGACACCACCATGTCGCTTCCTCTGCGCCAGACGATCAACGGAGTCATCGACTCGATCGTCCATGTCTGCGAGCAATACCTCACCACCTGCACACGTACTCCTCTCCCTCCCTCTCTTCCCTCTCTAGACGCCGATGTCCAGGACCGCTACGCAGAAGCGCTTCTTCTCGTGTTAATGGAGAACGTACCCTTTCTCTCTCCTTCTTTTCTCATCCCTCAGGGTCGCAAAGTGATCGCCTCGCCTTCTGACTACGCTGCGCGCGCCAACATCATGTGGGCCTCCACGCAGGCATTGAACCGATGGATCTGCCAGGGCGTGCAGGACGACTGGGCGACGCACAAGATTGGCCACGAGCTGACGGCGTTCCTCGGGATGGACCACGCGCGGACGCTGGCGTGCATCCAGCCGCGCGTTTTGGAGTTCCAATTCGAGGCGAAGAAGGGAAAATTGGCGCAGATGGGACGCAGAGTGTTCGGAATCCAGGAGGGGACGGAGGAGGAGATTGCCAGGAAGGCGATCGAGGCGTTGGTGCGGTTCTATGAGGAGGATATGGGAATGAAGACGCATATCCGCGAGTTCGACCAGAGAGAGGACAGATCGTGGATTGATCGCGTGGTGGAGAAGTAGGCGTGTGGATGGGTGTTTAGGGAAGGTTCACGCAGAAGGGAATGCTCCTCGGAGAAAACAAGGCGATTAAGCCGGAAGATGTGAGAACCATCATCGAGAAGAGCTTCTGGAGTGTTTGTTTTAAACAGCTCGTGACTTTTGGGATTGGTTTTAGATTATGTTTACGGTCGTACGAGCAACACGGGCCACTTCGGGAAAGGCGATAAGTCGATGTTTGTTTGCATCTGCCAAGAGTGCTTCGCTATTTTGTATTTTTGCTCATCCGTAGGTTCAAAGCCGTTTTACAGAAGATTTATCACTCCGACTACGGTCGGTACGTTTTTCTCCCATGCTTTGTGATTTCAAGGATTAGTTGCGATCGGTGGAATTACCTACTACGCCTACACCCACCCGTATGATAAAAATGCCTATATTGAAAGTCTTGAAGATCCCACCGCGTATGAGGTGGAAACATTAACACCTAAACAGGTATGCTCGAAACCCGCAATCGACTCTGTCGTAGGTCGCTGCCCACACAATGCTGTTAACTCGAACGGGAAGTCGTTTGCTGGGCAAGCTTATGGATATCAAAGTGTACTTCTTTCCACTCTGCCTTCATCCTAGTCCTTTAAAATGGCGTGAGCCGCTCTACTCGCGTGTCTCCAAATGGGTGGGTATCGACGTTACCGAATTCGCGTATTTCTCTCTCTCTCCCTTTTGATCCCAGCGGCACCTTCGAAGACTACGAAACGCCCAACTCCTTCTTCACTCGCTCTCTCAAACCCTCCGTACCCTCTCTCTCTCCTCTCCCCATCCCAGGCGCGTCCGATTCTGCCGTGCGACGAGCTTTTGCTGTCTCCCGTCGACGGCACCGTATCCGTTCTGGAAGAGCATCTGCATCCCTCCGACTCCGTGCAGCTTCGCCAGGTCAAAGGCGTGCGCTACTCGCTCCGCTCCTTCCTTTCGCACCCCTTCCGCATGCGAGGTAGGCAATGCCCAGCTCCGCGTCCCCCGCAGACCCTTCCAACTCGCTATATTCCGCCGTGCTCTACCTCTCTCCCGCGGACTACCACCACATCCACGCTCCCGCGGGACTGGCCATCGAGGAGCGCGTCCACGTCCCTGGCCGCTTGCTGCCCGTTCTGGAGGCCTATGCGGCGCACGTGAAAGGCCTCTTCACGCTGAACGAGCGCGTGGTTCTGGCGGGAGAGTGGCCGTACGGGTCCTTCGCGCTGGGCATGGTGGGAGCGTACAATGTGGGGTCCATCCGCATCGCCGGAGATTCCGTGCGCACCAATCTTCCGCACGAGCTGTTGTATGAGGGCCATGTGCATCGGCGCGTGTTCGAGGCGCCGTGGAAGGCCGCGCAGGGCGAGCGAGTCGGGACGTTCGCGCTGGGGTCCACGGTGGTGCTGGCCTTCGAGGCGCCGCAGTTCACCTGGCTGGTGAAGCCGGGCGAGAAGGTGCGCGTAGGACAGCCCATCGGGTTCGTACGACGCTCGGAGAGAGTCCGGGAGATCGTGGACTCCGAGTATCCCGCTATGGTGGAAATGGGGAAACGGGGAAACGGGGAAACCGGAGAGAGGATGCAGACGAGAGAGGAGATCATGTCTGGTGGAAATGGGGAAACTGGGGAAACTGGGGAAATGGTGGAAACTGGGGAGGAGATGAAGAGGATGGAAGGTCAAGAAGAGGTGGAGACTGTGGAGACTGTGGAGACCGTGGAAACCGTGGAAATAGAGAAGGGAAACGAGTTGGAGAAACCGGAGGAATTTCCGACAGTGTTGGAAGTGATGATTAGCGAGGTGGTTCCGGAAGTGGAGACAACGCAGAAGGAAGAAGTGGAGGAAGAGGAGGAGGAGTGGCTGCTTGTTCCCGTGGAGGGAGAGAAGGATCCTGATTTGTGGTAATTCTGTTTGTTAGAAATTTCGTTTTTTGGCTCGGATTTCGGAAATGGCGAAGAAAAATAACAAAAAGAAGGGAAAGAAGGAAGTAAAGGAGACTCCAAAGGTGGAGGAAGAGAAAACAACGATTATAGGTAGTTTTGCATAATTCGAAGTAATATTTAGAAAAGAAGGAGGAGAAGCCTGTAGAAACCGAAAAGAAGGCCGATACTACAGCGTCTGACGCGTATCAGCCTGGAGGCTTGAGTTCAATGTTATCATCGAAGGAGATTGATTCAAAGGCACAGTTTGAAGTGAATAGCGTGAATTATAATTCGATTTGGTGATGTATAGGATGATGAGGAGATTGAAGTTGACAGTGAAATTGAAAAGTCATGGAATCCGTATGATGATTCGGATATGGATGAACGCGTAATGTGCGTTGTTTTGCAGTAAGGAATAGTTGGATGAAGCCCTAAAGAAGATGAGTGACAATCCGGATAAGTGGATGAGAAAGATGGAAAAGGAAATGAACGATTCCGATGAATCAGATGATGATTCCGATGAGGGTTCTGATGAGGAAGAGAGTGAAGAGAAAGAAATGGAGGAGGAGGAGAAGGAAGAGGAAATGAGTGAGGAGAAGGAGGAGGAGAAGGAGGAAGAAGAGGAAGAAAAGGAAGAAGAAGAGTCAGAAGAAGAAGAAGAGAAGGAAGAGGAAGAAATGAGCGAGGAAGAAGAGGAAGAAGAAGAGAGTGAGGAAGATGCTGAAGCTCCTTCCAAAGCTCCTTCCAAAGCTCCTTCCAAGCATGAGATCGAGCAGCAGCAGAAGCAGGAGCACCGAGCCGCGCTGCGATCGCAAGCGCAGGACGAGAAGCAGGCCATTCGCAAACTCATTCCCGCTCACTCTGTGTATTTTTTCTCCCCTTTGCTTCATCCACAGCTTTGTGAACGGAATTCCCTTCTCCTGCACGGAGGAGCAACTCAGAGAAGCGTTCAAGGGGTGCGGAACGATTCGAAGCGTGTTTTTCGTGCGCCGAAATAACGGAAAAATCGCGGGATATGGGTAGAGGCGAGGAAGTGCGGTGAGAGGTAGAGCGGTGGAGTTTGAGAACGCGAAGCAGGCGAAGCAGGCGTTGGAGAAGGATGGAATGGAGGTAGGAGCCGCGGAGAGAGATGATGCGCAGATGATGGGTCGAACGCTTGGAGTGAAGGAGCTGCAGGATAAGAAAGTGCTGGATCGACAGGCGAACCGAAAGGAACAGAAGAAAATGAAAAGAATGGAGAAGAAAACGATGAAGAAGGAGAAGGAAACCAAAAAGCAGCGGTTTAACAAGATGAACGCTCAGAAGGGAAAGAAAGGAGGATAGAAGAATAAATGGACTGTTTGTTGAGAAAAAGGAGCGCTAGAAAGCTTGCAACACTGATTTCGTTGCCTAACACAGAGACGTTTTTGTATGGGAATCCAGAACTTTTGGACTCTTATAGAACCGTCCGGAAGAAATGTTTCCATTGAATGCATGCGCGGGAAACGGTTGGCAGTGGACATCAGCATCTGGCTCCACCAGATCATTCATGCGATGCGTACTCCAACAGGAGAAACGGTCCCCAATGCTCATATCTATATTGTCATCTTTCGGCTGTGTAAACTCATATTTTACGGAATAAAGCCCGTTATTGTCTTCGATGGAGATGCCCCTGCGTTAAAAAAGCAGACCCTGAAGCGGAGAAGGGAAAAGGCCGAAAGAGCAAAGACGAAGATGAACGAGATTCAGCAAGAAATGGCTCTAGCAAACCTGGTAGAAAAGGTGAAATCAGGAGTGTGCATTTTTACTTGAAATAAGTTGTAGAACGTCGATTCGGTCGAGACAAAAGAGAATAGAGATATTGTAAATGACCCAGAATTTGAGAGCGATGGAGAAGACGAAAGAGAAGGAATTGATGACCAGGAAGCCAAACTCAGTAATCTATACAATTTTACCTACTCGGACCGAGAAATAATCTATATCGATCTGCCTTATAAGAGTCTCTGCAATATTTGGGTTGAATGGTAGAGGAGGTTCTCCACATCGCCGTTAACACTCCCCAAATCTACGAAGTTCCCAAATCACAGCGTTCCCGTTTGCTCGCCATTCTCCAAAGCTATCTTCAAAAAAGAGTGATGCAATTCCTCCAAGGTTGTTCCGATGACCCTGAAGAACTGAGTCATCGCCAGCTGGAAGCCAATCGCTTTCGATCGATTGTGATGAAGCAGGTCTATCAGCTATTGCGCGAGGAGCAGGAGCGCGAAATGTCCATGTCGTCGACTGTGATGAATGGCTTTGAGTACTATTTCAAAGAGAACGCAAACCCGTTCAATGATATGATTGAGAAGCGATGGCATGTGGATGAAATCGAGGAAATCGAGGTGACTCCGATTCGAGATGAGTTCGAGGCAAAGCGAAAGCGAATAAACGATGAGTATTTGGATTCACTGCTTCATCCGAGTTTGAAAATAGAGGCAGAAAGGGACGATGAAAAGGACGAAGAGATCGGAAAAGTGATGTTATACACGAATTTGAAAGATTTAATCAGTGTGGATGATCCGTCTGTGAGACGTTATCCCGATGAAGTTGGCGTAGACATCACAGGCGATGCAGAGTTTTCGATGATGTTAAAGGAAATGAAGGACGAAAATGAGTTGCTAAAGGAGATGAATAAGCAAATGGACGAAATCGAGGGAGTTGGGAAAGGAATGAATGAATGGAATGGAAGAGAAAAAGAAAAAGAGGATGAAAGTGATGATGATGATAATAATCGTAGTTTGGATGTCAAACTAGAGGAAGAATTGAAGAAAATGGATGGGAAAGGAATGAAAGAAATTGTGGAAAATGGAGAAGTGAAAGAAGCGAATCCTATGGCTTTTTCGAAGAATCGAATTGAAGGAGAATCCAATGAATCCAATGAATCCAATGAATCCAATGAATCCAATGATTCCAATGATCTAAAAGTATCGAATGAATCAAAAAGAAGAGTCGAATTGAATGCATTAAATGAATCAAACAATCTCATTCCCCCTGGTCATTCACATGAATCAACAGAAGCGAAAGAAATCACTTCTATTGCTTCTCCATCACTCATCGAATCCACGTCTTCAGTCCCTCTTTCTCCCATCCCCAAAGAGGTGAAGGAGGACAAATATCTCTTGGAAGTCAGCAAAAATGGAGATATCGCGTTAAAGACAAAAGCTACAAAACCGGAAACCAAACCATCCGAACAGGAAGAACACATCAAAACGATCCTCGAAGCATCCGCTGAGCAGCTCCAACAGATTCGAAAAGATCTCTCTCAAAAGTACCGACACTTTTCAAGCCAAAACGCCTTTGTGTCAGAAAACATCATTATGGATATCGTCGAAATCCTGCACATTTTTGGAATTCCATATGTATTCGCTCCGGGAGAAGCAGAAGCTCAGTGTGCCTTTCTGGATCTAATGGAGTTAGTGGACGGAGTGATTAGCAATGATTCGGATGTGTTTGCTTTCGGCGGAAAGACCATGTACCGCAATTTCTTTGTGGACAATCGGTTTGTTGAAGTGTACAAAATCGAAGACATCGAAAAGGAACGAGGATTGAATCGAAATCGAATCATCGAATTGGCTCTTCTTCTCGGATGTGATTATTGCGAAGTAGGAATATGTTTTAGCAACATTTGAGAATGGTAGGGAGTGAAAGGCTTGGGTGGAGTGATGGCGATGGAGTTGCTGTCGTTTTTCCCTTCGTTATCGGAAGTCCAATCCCTTCCATCCATGTTCTTTCATTCAGTCTTCATTCACACGTAGCTTGACCGAGCTAAAATCCATGGCCGATGGGTCCTCGGTCAGTGAGCGTGCCACTGCTGAAATGCTCGAGTATGTTAGAAAGCATCGCAAGAAACTCGACCTCCTCGAATTTGAGCCTGATTTTGGAAGACAAGTCGCGGTTTTGGGAGGGGTGAACTGTAGGCAATCGTGAATGCTTTCTTATTCCCTGCTGTGGATACGAGCTTAGAGCCTTTCTCGTGGAGTTCGGTCCGGATGGATCTGCTGAGCGAGTTTTGTGAGCGAAGAAGTGGAGTCGATTATGAACGGATTCGAAGAATGGTCGATCCTGCGATCCGGAACCAGGATCGCTCTACCCAGATACAGTAAGTGATTGGTTTGCGATATAATCGGCAGAATCACAGACTTGCTTCAATACAAGAGTAAAAGTTTTGTTAGGAAAGAAAAGTCAAAGCGAATGGAAAAAGCAATCCAAAGGCTGCAACAACAGTCTGGTGTTTATTACAAACACAACAACAACTACGACTCTACTTTGGGGTAATTAAATTAAATCAGAGGTTTGCCCTCGTCACCCTGATTCTCTCTATCCTTCTTGTTCTTATTTCTCACAATCATACCAATGATGAAGAAGCCAATCAGAATAACAACAATTCCCACAATAATCCAAACAGTATAGTTCGTAGGCTCGGGAGCCGGAGCAGCCGTGGTGGGGACTTCAGTAGGAGCCAAAGTGGTAGGAACTACAGTAGGAGCCAAAGTGGTAGGGACTTCAGCGGTAGGTTCCTCAGTAATAGGAACTTCAGTAGTGGGAGCCAAAGTAGTAGGGGCAAAAGTGGTAGGAACTTCAGTAGGAACTTCAGTAGTGGGAGTCAAAGTGGTAGGGGCAAGAGTTGTAGGAACTTCGGCAGTAGGAGCTTCCGTAGTAGGAACCTCAGCAGTAGGAGCTTCCGTAGTAGGGAAGTTCAAATTCTGATTATCGACCGAACTGTTGTCGATATCAACCTCAGTTGCACCAATTAAGGAGAACACAAAAAGCAACGAGAAAGCAAAGAAAATAGCCTTCATGTTAGAATATTCTGTCCATCAAGAACACAACCCTAATTTTATATGTCCCTGATTTAATGACCTAATTTATTTATTCTTATTTCTACAGTAAAATCAAAGATAAATAGACTCTAAAAAATAGGCGCGAAATAAAAGGAGCTACAGCAAAAAATAGAGATAATAGCTAACATTCTCAAATTTATTTTTGATGGTGCAGGATTTTGAGAAAAGAAGACTTTTGTTGCAAAACTACATCTATAGCAAATTCGAAAAAGAGATGTGCTGTATGTTTTACTCACCCAGTTTATCTCAGGTATTTGTTATGACATTTCTCCACCAGATCAAATTTCTCTACCAGACACTTGCTGTCATATGTACTGTACAGAGTGCCTGTCGTGTATAGGTGTATTTGATTTGTACCGATTTTTGACATAGAACCAATTGTGCCCTACTTGCGGTATAAGGTATAGCCGAAGGGTGCCGTTTCCTGTCCTAGTATCTTTTGGTGAATGATTAGTAGGAATATGTCAACCAACGAGCCAATTTAATAGGTCGAAGTGACGATGTATATGCAGATGAGCAGGGTAATAAATAGGAAATTGATCGTCAGAAGACTACAGCTACGGAAGACGTAAATCACATGTTCCTTTTTCTATTTAGACCCGAAATGCGATTAAAGCGCTTGGCAAGATTGCGAGTGTACACCCAACCTTCATCATCTCAGTTCATGTAGAATCAATTGGATTTCTTTATAAGTCACTTGGACAAATTTGAAAGCTATATTACTCCTTCCTCTGTATTTCACTGTCATGTTCGATCTAAAGTAGTTACCTCCACTCATTCGAGAACTCATGACGGAGGTGAAGCTAGAAAAGGTATTTCTTCCTTTCCCCGTTTCCCCATAGACGCAAGAGTTTCTGCAGATCCACCTCGACGAGAACTTCTACCATCCGTTCATCAATAAAACGAAGACCACGCGACAGTACACGACAGGCGTAGCGATGTTGTTTTGTCCATTTAGGATAGGATTTGCTGGATGTTTACGTGAAGTTCAACGTCGAGAAATACGTGGAAATCTTCTTGGAGAACATCCCTGCCGACGAGAGCGTAGCTCTTTCTTTCTTCTCGTCTCTCTCTAGAGAGCGACTCTCCTTCTGAAGAAGTGCAAAGAAATGGAGCATCTGAATCTCTGGGAGTTTATCATGCTGAGCAAGGCTATCGGTGAGCTTTCTCTCGAGGTAGGGATCAAATCGGGCTGATCAGCAGCTCATCTCCGCGTTCTTCACGCACTACTACAACGGACAGTGGGCGAACTGTCTGTGCCGTATCGCTGCGGAGCCCAATGAATTCCTGGAGACGGTTCGGAGAGAATTGAAGCCCTATAAGAACGAGATGATCACGGATTTTATTAAGGATCGGAACGAGATCGTCGCGATCCACGTGGCGATGTACAACATGCAGGGAAGTCGGGTCATCTACGATGGATTTTGGACGAAGCATCAGTACAATATCCGCGGTGAATTGCATTTCGGAGTGAAGTTCTCGGAGAAGGACAAGGCCGAGTACAGTTCAGACACGCTAGCGATGTTGTACAAGGGCGATTTCTGCATGGGGATTCGGCATGGAAAAGGAGAAGAGTACGACGGGCATGGCTGGCTTCTCTATCAAGGCGAATTCAGGAATAACAAGTATCATGGCAACGGGAAACTGTTCTATCCAATGGGAAATGTGCGATACGAAGGCCGGTTTGAGAATGGCAAGTATAATGGAGTGGGCAAGGAGTACGATTTTACGGGCTTGCTGAAGTATGTTGGGACATATGTGAATGGAGAGCGGCATAAGGAAGGTTCTTTGTATTTAGCTCCGCACTATTTCCAGGATGTTGGCTATTACGGAAAGAAGAATATACAGATGAACGAGTTGCATTATCATCGCGTGGAGAATTGTAATTTGGAGGATTTGAACTATGGAGACCGCAATGAAATGCGGTACACCGATCAAACGTTCGAGCTCTTCGAGAAGAAAAAGCTTCCGTGTTGTCTCAGAGAGCCCAAGGCGTACATCTGTAATGGAATCGAAAGGGATTAAAGGGATAGACGTGAATGAAGAAGTGCTCAACAACATTCTTTTACAAATGAGCCATTACAAGGAAAGTTTTCATCAAGAGCAAAAGTCCGAAACCATGGTGTTCTACGGCAATTTCGATCCGACAAAACCGGTTCTCTCGGTGTCTCTCGCTTCGATTTATCCGCTTCTAATTAAAAACAGCGATCTGCGTAATCTTTGTTTCAATTGTTTGGGTCGTGAATCGCGTTGTCATCGCGTAGACGTTTCATTGGATTTTGATCTCGACCAACCATTAATGATCCACTCTCTTTATCTTCGCAGTACTTCTCCTTTTTGATTTTCTCTCTATTATAGATTGTATAATTCGGAATAACCAGTCCTCCCTTCTGGATTTCGGCCAGCTTCCCATCAAAACCCTCAAAACCATAAAGATTTGCTGTTTCCTTAAGTTCTCTTGCATTCTCACACACAGGCTGCCATTACACCGAACTCTCTTTCTCCAAACTCGAGCTCCAATCGGTCACCACGCTCACCATCGAATGTACTCTTCTTTCTTTTTTCTCTCTCTAATCTCGCAGCGATGGAAGAATTAAAGACGGTCACTGTGGCGGCAGGCGCGTTGATTCGCTGCACGCAGTTCCAACTCCGCAGTTCGCCTTTTCGTTTTCGATTCAATCGCAGATATGCCCTCGCTTATGACGATCCATCTCGGGAAAGATTGTCTCCCCATCGCGTCCTGCGTTCTCACCAGTCGCAGCGATCGATGCAGTGTGAAGTGTAGACTGTCCTCGCATTACGTCGATTCAGTTCCCTGAGAAAGCGTTTAAAGGCTCGTCGATGCTGATGATTCAGGGTGTGGATTGAAGAGAAGGATCGAGAATAGGCAATTATAACCTGAAGACGATCACGTTCGGGCCAATGGCGTTTGATAAATGTCCGGTTTTGCTGATTGAGGGTGAGAGAGGGGAGCAGACGTTGAGTCGTAGATAATGCATCTTTGGAGAGTGTGAATCTGAGTGTGGGATGTTTCAATATGATGAATTCGTGCAGAATAAAGAGTCAACATGATGTTGGTGAGTGATTCATAGAGAACAACCGATTGCGAACTTGGGGCTTCCGCAACGTTGTCAAGAAACCAAAGGATCTGGACTATGATAGCACCAGCGATGCGGTGTTGAAGTCGATTGGGAAGTGGTTGAGTCATTAAAATGGAATGTGTTGTTTGTAATGAAAATGTTTGTTGTTTCTACATAACGATAGCGTGTAGATTGGAAGGGAGGAGGCGATTTGGTCATGTCCGGACTGTTTTACAATCTATCATTTGAGATGTGTGAGTTCCTGGTTTTGGCTCTTCTTACTACGTTACCCTGTAGGGCTCAAGCATGTATTCAAAAGCGGATGATTGAGGCCATCAAGAATAAGCAATCTACCTCTTCCGTGTCTCGAGAGTGGACATGGTACCTGAAGTTGGTTTATTTTCACTTTGTAGCAAGTATTGCAACAAGGAAAACACCGCCGTTCCCAATCGCTACTTTTGTTATTGTGGAAAGAAGGAAAATCCAGAATTCGATCCCTGGCTTCCTCCCCACAGTTGTGGCAATCTCTGTGGTCGTACTCTTCCCTGTGGTCACGTCTGTAATGAACGCTGCCACGCAGGTCCTTGCCCTCCCTGCCCTCGCATTGTCACCATCTCCTGCCCATGCGGTAAGACGAAGCGAACCGTTCGTTGCAGTCTGCAGCACCAAGAATCGCCCGAAAACCTGTGCTCTCTCCCCTGTTTGAAATGGCTTTCCTGCGGAAAGCACCGCTGCCGCCACAAATGCCATTATGGTCCCTGTCCCGACTGCGCGCAGACGATCCACCAGACCTGTTTTTGTGGCAGCGAATCGCGCGACGTTCCCTGCGGTCAAGACGTGTCCGCGCATTATTCCTGTGGTAAAATATGCAATAAGCCGCTGCAATGCGGCCACCATGTTTGTTCTCTCCCTTGCCACGAAGGCGAATGCCCGCCCTGCCCCACCCTCCCGCCTCGCACGTGCTTCTGCGGGAAAAAGCGTAGGGCTCGGGCGTTTGGTTGTGTCCTCAGAGTTCGATTTGCCGTGCACGGCGGCCACACCTTCTTGCCACCAAACCTGCGATCGTCTGCTGGCGTGCGGACATCGCTGTCCTCATTCTTGCCACCCTCCACCTTGTCCACCTTGCGAGCAATTCGTTTTGAAGGCTTGCCGCTGCGGAGCCACACAGAAGCAATGTAAATGCAGCGAGGTTCTTCTTTGCACCACGCGATGCAACGCGCTGAAAGCCTGCGGAGTTCATCGATGCAATCGGCGTTGTTGCGACGGCCAGCACGCTCCTTGCACACAGGTGGCAGCCTCGCGCGTTCTTTTCTCTCGTAGATCTGCAATAAGCCACTCTCCTGCGGACGACACACTTGTCAATTGCCTTGTCATTCGGGTAATTGTCCGCCTTGCTTGCTCACCGTCACAATCACGTGTGACTGCGGCGCCACCACGCAGACGGTGCTCTGCAAAGACTACCGGCGCTCGCTCTACCCTCCTTGTCCACAGCTCTGCACCAAACCATCGCATTGTAGCCATCCACACATCCAGGAACATCAATGTCACGCTGGGAAATGCCCACCTTGTACATTGCCTTGCGGAAAAGCGCTTCCGTGTGGCCACACATGTTCTGCTATTTGCCATGAAGGCGAGCCTTGTCCGCCTTGTGCAGAGTTGGTGGAGATTCGTTGCGCAGGAGGGCATGAAACGCTCCAGGTTCGTTGTTCGGAGAAAAACAAGGTAGTGTGTTGCGATCAGCCGTGTGGAAAACTGTTGAGTTGCGGGAAACACGTAGGAAAACCGACGCGCTGCTTCGTAGACTTGCTCCTTGCGCTGCCATTCCAGCGAAACGCCTTGCGAAACGTGCAAACAACTCTGTCCAGGGCGTCCTGGCTGTCCACATCCCTGCTCGCGCGTGTTCTGCCATGCGGGCGCCTGCGATCCTTGCCATCAGCCCGTGAAACGCCCGTGTTTCTGCGGGAAAACGTCGAAAACGTTCGAGTGTCGCGAGGTGAGTGGGAAGAGCGATTCGGGATTTTTCTCGTGTGGGAAAGTGTGTGGGAAGCCGCTGCAGGGATGCAAACACGGCTGTCGATTGGTGTGTCATGAGGGAGTTTGTGGGAAATGCGAGCAGGAAATCGTGGCGAAATGCGCTTGCGGATCGCGCGTGGAACGAATCCAGTGCTGGAAAGCGCAGCAGATGGAGGGATACAACGCTGCGAATGTCGTGCAGATTCTCCTCCCCTGCTTGGATACCTGCAACGCGCAATCATCGACGATTTCACAAGACAAAAGTACACAGTCTTCGAAGGATTCGCCATCAAAACCCGATCAAACCATTTCCAAACCTTCTTCTTCTTCTTCTTCTTCTTCTTCTTCGCAGCTTTGGCTATGGATCGTAGCATTGAGCGTATTCATCGCTGTGCTTTCTTTCCTACTTCGTCTTTTCCTAGTTCACTGCATTGTTTATTGCAACAAACAATGAAACAATGAAATAATAATAATAATAATAAACAACGTAAAATCATCTTCGCTCGGTGGAAGCATACGACGTCGATGTGTGTGTCGAATCGTCCGAACTGCTATCATGGTAATAGCTGTGATCGTAGTGCGTGTAGTCAGGCGATCGGTAGTAGGCGCGGTCCGCTCGCTCTCGCTGTCTTCCCATCTCGTACCACATCCATCCATTTCCGAATGAGTTCTACGAGATGAGCCAGATCGATGGGAGGATACGTCGAAGTAGGGAGGCGTGAAGAAGGGATAGTGATAAGAATGATGTGGACGATAAGGAGATCGGCAGCAGCGAAGACAGCAACAGAAGAGAGAGCTGAATATGTTCAATGGGAAGAAGAGGACTTTGAGGACAGTGTTGAACCCGATGATCCAAATAATAAACAAAATAAAGATGATCTATAATAAAATGAATTCATGGAAGAAACAGTGAAGATGAAATTAGCAATGTTATCGAACCATGACCAAAAACCTCCACCATTGTAGTCATTGTAGTCATTGTAATCGTTGTAGCCGTTGTATCCACGGCGATGATGATTATGATACGTACCATAGTCCGCGTTGCGTTCAAGCTTAAATCGCACGCCACAGGAACCCACAAGGATATACGGATCATCTAGATATTTCATCAAAGGAAATACCCCCTACCTGGATAATCGTATCCTTCACACGAAACTACCGTTTCTCCCAAAGAAACGCCTTTATCCAGTTCAGCTTTGCATTCCCACTATCCATAAATTAACTCAAAAAAGACAACTTGGACATCCCTTCCATCAAATCCTCGGTTGTAGCACTGCATGCTCGAAGGAGCGAATGAGCAGCTCGCAGAACCTCTCTCGCAGGTCATTTGAGGAATGGGTCTAGAATAACAAGCAACAACAAAACAAACCTAGATCTCCTTCCTGTAGTATATTTTGATTTCGAAAATGTAAGAGTTTGAACAGAAGATAGTAGTACTTTATTTGCATTGGAATTATAGTTTGAATCATAATTATAATAATACCCCCATGCGGAAGCAATGAGGGCAAAGAGAACTATAATAATCGTTTTCCTCATTTTGGAATAATAAATGAAAGATGTCCAAAAACTGGCTCTTTTGTTGGCATTCTTCTATTTCTTCATTTTTCCATTTTATTCTCAGTTCTTCTTTGTGATTTTTTCGATTTTATCTTTATTCGAGAGTTCTTATTTCTGTAATCGGTAAGAGAAATCACGTTGACACAGTTTTTGAGTTTGCGATGATTTTATTTGGATGATTGTCTTTTTGTATGCTGCAAGGTATAGGAATAGTTGAAATGAGCAATGAGTGTGAAGAATTAGTTGAACGGATGATTCTTTTTGTCTTGTGAAACATATTTGGGATGGCTGTATACTATACATATTGCAATGAAACGAAAGTCGGATGAATTGGTTGTTTTTAGTTTTTCTCAGTGTTGTACCATGCAATCCTTATAATAGATTCTACTGTCTTTCCTCTCTAGTTTCCAATGTTTAAGAATGAACGAATACAATGTCTTTACTAATACATTAAAATAATATCATAAAACACGAACATGATATGATACATATGCAAAAATAGTTTTCTGCGAGTATTTGTATCCATCAAACTTCCAAAACAAATCTTGTTTTATTGGATTGAGAAATGAAAGACTATCACGAAACACACATACACTGCATTAAAAGCATCATAGATACTTTGATGGAATCACAACCAGTCGAGGAAGTAGCTCCAATGGACGAGTTTGCGTGGAGAGATGATGCGCTGCTCGATGTAAGTAGAAACGGAATGTTCTGTTTGAATAGGCCTTTGAACGTGCCGTTACTTCCCATAAACTAGACAAAAAGCCAAAACAGTATAATTTGGCACAAATGACTCACATTTTAGAGCAAAAGAAAAGCAAAAGAAGGCAAAGCTTGTAGTAAGTGATTTGAAACATATATTACGTGCTAGACTATTTATAAAAAAGATGCATCTGAACAGTTTGACGAAATGGTTGATGATGGTGATTCTGAGCTATTCACCTCGAAGAAGGCGGATGCTCCCATTCAGTCTGTTCCAGAAGAGTCCGAGACAGTCAATGAGCCTGCTCCCAGTCCCAAACCGAAGAAGGTGAATCCATCGAAGCCAAAGAGCGAGCCAGCTGCTCCTTCAGCCTCGATTCCTGCACAGCCTCCAGCAGCTGCATACTATCCCTACATGGATCCCTCTGCTTCCCAATATGCGGCCCCTCCTGCATTGAACACGCCGAATTTCTACGCATCGGCTCTGCCCTCAGTACCAGACGCAGAGGAGCAGGAATATCTCTCCCAGCTTCTCTTGGCGTGGTACCAGGCAGGGTATGCAGCAGGTCGCTACATGATGGTACGTCAACGCAAACAATGCTTTGTTTTCTCCAAACACAATAAAATCATGAGTGGGTAGATTACATTTCGCTGCCTTCCTGCGAATCTTCTAAAAGCTGGTAGTCGGTCAGATCGGTTTTGCTGAGCAAATCGCGAAGCTCTTCGTTTTCTTTCTTCGCTTTTTCTAACGCGCAACGCAGACTTTCCGCTTCTTCTTTCGTCTGCTTCCAAACCTCGCTGGACACGGCTTCGCTGCTTCGTTTTCGCTCTTCGGCGAGCTGCTGGATAAGCAGCTGATTCATGAATTGAAGCGAGCTGGCGGTTCGCATCGATTCGGACCACTCGACAGAGTCGAAGGCGGGATCGTCTTTTTTCTCTGCGCTGTCTGAGTGAGTTTGAAGCGTGGATTGCGAGTTAGAAAGAGAGGAGGAAGTGGATGAAAGCAAAGGAGTTGGAGAATCCGGGGAATTGGTGAGATGGGATTCATTCAATGATTCATTTGAAAAGTGTTGTGTATTTGATGATTCTTTGGATTCCTTTGATTCATTCGATGATTCATTCAATGATTCATTCATTCTTCCATTTGATAATTCATTCAACGATTCATTCAATGATTCATTCAATCTTCCATTTGATATTTCATTCACTGATTCATTCAATCTTCCATTCACTGATTCACTCCTCTGCTTCTCCTTGTTCAAATCGCTCCAAGGCACTTCTCCATTCCACTCCCTTCCCTCCATCCATCGCTTCCATCCATTCCTCGCCTCCCTTCTCTCCACACTCCTCCACTTCGCGCTCTCCACTTCCTCCTCCAACTCCGCACATCGCTTCTGCAATCTCCCGACCACTTCTTCGTTCTGCTCCATCGCAATCTTCGCTCCTCTCGACAGCAAACTCTTTCATCACTCCCTTCGTCCATCCCTACAAACTCCGCGTTCACCGATCGAACCTCGCGTAGCTCGCGTCGCGCCGCCTCCAGCTGAAGCGAGAGCTGCTAGTCATTGAATGGAGAGTCGTACTGAGTCGTTTGATTCCATGCAATCGTTGAGATAGTTCGTTAATTGTGTGGATCGCGATTTCTCGGCGAGAAGCTGAGACTCTAACTCGTCGATGTGCTGGGAGAGCTCGGTGGTGTGTGAGGAGGAGGAGGAGGAGGAGGAGTGGCTGAGAAGAGAGTGTAGAAGGTTTTGGTTTTCGATTACGATTTGATGAATGGCTTGGAGAAGATAGGCGGAATGAGAGGATGATACGTCGTCAGGAAGAAGGTATTCGCGTGATTGAGAGGAAGAGGGTGTGCCTGAATTAGGCGTCTATGTCACTGAAATGCGAAGAGAGAGTACTGCACTTGAAGGAATGGTTGATGAGACGGATGATGGCTCGGAGAGTCGGTGTTGAACGTACGTGTTGCTATTTACAGAATGGGTTATCTAGATTATAGAAATAGCGAGCACAGTACATGAGCACCTCCATCTGAGGAAATTTCTAGTAATGGAGTGGTGATAAAGGACTGAATTTCCTTTTCTATATCAATTTTCTTTGGAATAAATGCTGCTTCTTCGTTCTCAACAGAATCGTGCCTTCGCTTCATTGCATCCTAACAATTAGCTTTGGATTTGAAATAAAATACCTTCGGAGGCGATAAAAGCTGCGTATCTGATAGTGGGACGATCTTCCTGCGTTTGAAATTAAAAGTCAGAGAATACTTTTTCGGTGCTGGACTATCCTCCTTTAGAGGAGAAAACGCAACTTGTACCTCGTTTTCATTCATCCTTTGAGTCACCAACATTTCCCTCCTTTTCCAACAAACACAACCAAAATGATCAAACCTGACTATCCACGGGTAAAGGAATATAGGAATCTTCATTTCCGAACAAGGCGGGCTTCCACCCATCTTTGAAGATGATCGTTCTACACTGAACAAAAAACGTAAAATCGACATGAAAAAGGATAAGAAAAAGCCCACAACCACATCCACCGTGTAATGCTTCCTGGTGGCAATGATGAAATACCCGGTTATCAACTCGTAGAGGAAGCATCCCAGAACAAAGTTCTTCCGATCTACATTCAAATTCCGACCGAACGCTACATGACAAGAACCGTCGAGGCAGCTCTCTCAGAATTGCCACCAGTGCGATAGTAACAAACCCGATATGCCCCGAGGGAACCAAATCCCCGCACGTCGTAAAGGAAATGCCGTCCACGGGCATGTGGCCGATGACATCAATCCAACTGGCGATCAGACAAAAGATAAAAACAAAATACTCCTGAGGAGGACGGAACGAACCTCCTGGACGACAGTGGGGAGCAGGACCTGGGAGGAGAGTAACCCAGATACAGCAAGAGCGCACGATATAGAACATGGAGAAAATGCGGAGTAGATCTGCGATGAATTTGCCGATTCGTTTTGAATCCATTGTGAACGCGATGATAAAAAGAATCACGAAAGGAATAAGTGTCAAGATATCCCTAATGGAGAGGAAATAGGAAGAAGTACCCAAATCGCTCTAACAATTTGTTGTTCAGTTCAGCAAAGGCAAGAAAGCCGACATCCTTCAATAAGGGTCCCGGAACGTGAAGATAGCCTGAGAGATTTCGGCTTATTTCGTTTGCTACTCTACATGTCAAAAGTAACAATCGTAAAGCACTCTGAAAGGATTAAAATGTTGAAATTCTTGTGGATCTCGCGAGAGTCAGCCGTTTCCATCGAGTATGCAAGCTTTTGGGAATAAATATACACTGAAATACAGACTAGAATCCAAGTCAGTCTAAGAAGAAGAAGAAGAAGATCACACAGCATACTTTCCTAAAGTAATCCCTCGAAAAGCATAAAACACGTTGCTCCATATGTACATGAAGAAAAAGAAACTACATTAAAACTTGATCATGATCTGTACGAGAAGCTACAGTAGGCAAATGTTAGAAGAGCATTCCTCTTCGCGGTGTCCTTTCTATATGACATAAACATATCCCAATAAAATTGACAGAAAGGATTATGAGTATGTAAATTCAAAGAATTTCCAAAGAACATTATTTGGTTTTACCACATGCCGATATGTACTGAGACTAGTTTTTGAAATAAACACTGGAAACCATGAACATAGCGTATAGCATGACTGCGATGGAAAAAACTACAGTATTGATAGAGGATGAAAAAGCCAAATCGCTGTATACGATGGGCTGGTTTTCTGTGTCAAACGATCCTGTCATCACAAGCGAAAATGCCTACAATGGAAAAAAGTCAATCGAAGAATACTTGTGATTTGGTTTCCAGCCTGTGGACATTAATGTTGATCGTAATGTTCGAAGAGTACAAGGATGATGTATCGTTCAAATTATGAATGAGTGTGCCCGGAGGAATCAAGATCGACTCTACGTTATTGTTGCGATCTTCGGAATCGAGACTAGTCATTACTCTTCACCTCAATGACGTGTATACTTGTTTGGATAATAGATAGTCCCGTTTTGCTCAATTGACAAATCAAGGTCATTGATCAAAATATTGCTGCTGAACGTGGACACTGGAGGATCTGTCCAAACGAGAGTCACTTTCACGTACACAGAAGGCTAGATAAAGGAACTTCCAAGAGCGTTCAAAAAGGATATATCAACCAGCGTCCAAAAGCGCAGATGCAACGATGTCCGATTTACTTCTCCTTCTCGAACGAGCAGATTGAAGGTCGATTCGTTTCTCCAATAGAGCACCTTGTTAATATCCATCCTTCCAAATCCCTGTTTGTTATCCGGCGCTGATCCTGAATAAGTGGTCGGAAACAGCGGATTGCCTTCGCCTCGAAGCGACTGGCCGCTATGAATGATCATTGCTTTCACTGTTGCTGCGGTTGGATGGAATGCATCAGCCGCATTTTCCTCCCCGGAAGGGTAGAACCCCTTTTTGAAATACTCCGAAATCAGCAGAGCGGTCGCTGCGACAATCGGAGTCGACATGGACGTTCCCGTTTTTGAAACGATTCGACAGCTCGATTTGTCCGACCCGCTCGATGCTGCAGAGTCAATGGAGACTCCCGGAGCCATAATGTCTGGCTTGATTCGCTTGTCGGAAGTGGGTCCTTGACATGAGAAGGTGGCGCGAATATCGGAATAATAAGGACTGTTGTACACGGCGCCGACGCTCAGAACATTCTTTCCGTTGGAGGGAGAGAAGACTGTGCCCATGCTACAAGATGAGGGAGACGAACAGCTGAATACCCTTTTTCCCCATCGTTTCCTGCAGCAAACACGAGAAAGCAATCTGGATGTTCATATCTATAAACATCAGGACCGTTTCGTTAGGAGATACACATAGTTATCGATGCTGGATGTATCAAAGCTGTAGATTTCGCTGAAGGATCCCCAACTCGCACTATGTACATTGGCTCCTGCTGAGTAGATTGCATCGATCAAATAGGTGATTCGACGAGGGGTTTCAAGAGTGGTTTCTGATCCGGACCCCGATCCAATATCAAAGAAAACGATTCTCGACTTATAGGCAATTCCGTCATAGGGAGAAAGATCCTTGTCCCCTTCAACCTTCCCTGCAAGGGTTCCAGCGACGTGAGTTCCGTGAGCATCACTGCCATCTTCTTTGTTGTTACTGAATGGGATATAGAGCGCTATTTTCCGATGGTTGGTATCTTCCTCTTCGGCATTATAGCGAACTGGGTGATCTGGATCATAGAAAAAGCAACTATTCATGTCGATTCCCGTGTCAGACAATCCAATTAGCATATCTTCTCCGAATAATCCATGTGCATAAGCACTTTCTAGTTCTTGGCGTGTTAACATGATCTCTTGGGACGAATAATCTCGGAGCGATCGCATCGTTGCTTCTTGGTAGTTTTCCATGTGGGGAGGCAACGAATAAACATGTTGGAGCTCGATTCGCATACTATTCGGTCTCGTAGCCAAATAGGCAGCAGTGGGAAGAAGGAACTCTCTAGATACTTTCACTCTGCATTGGTCAATGAATTCGAAAAGGGTGCATACGTAACAAGGTTTTGGGAAGCGGACAGATGGACTATGCTATGGTTGGAATGATCCATAAACGAGTATTCTGAGATCACTTCAATCCATTGCATGAACTGTTCGACTGGGGAAAGAGTTGAGTTCTCTGGCTTATATTGCTCAAGAAAAGAATTGAGTTCGTTTTCCCATAGCGTTATGTTTGGTAGTCCTACTGTAACGACATTTAATATCGCTTCCTCCAGTTGTGGATTTGCGATTTCGTTTATAAGCTGGACACTTATCTAGATGGAATGATTCGAGAGCACCTAAACTTTTGAAATGGACGGAAAGAGAAAATAGGCACGAATGTAGCTCCAGTTTGCATGTACCATGCCAAGCATGCCTTCATCAATATAAATCAGCATGCTATGACTATCACCCCCGACAGCTTCATATGCACTAAATGTGAAGAATTGAAAACTATTTGACATGTTCTCATCCACATTTCTTAAAACATCGATGAAATCGCACAACGGAAGCTGATTGTCCACCACGACATAGAACAGGCCGTGCTCGTGACTGTCTGTCAATCTTCGTTTTGACTCTTGCTGACTTATCAAAGACTAGATGGAAGGAGATTATTGAAACAACTTCAATTGTTTGGTATTGGACTTCTTTAGAGAGATAGTTCATCCCAGAGAGGATGTGCTCTGTAAATGCAACTGCGATTTCATGATGATCTAGAGCGCAAATATGTGAAATAACGAATAATAAGAGGTATAGGAAATGCATTTTGAGTAAAGGAATCTATATCCTTGGTGATTGCTTCATCTATCAAACGTGTTATTTTGAGATATTTATCTATTCCGGTTAAGAACGGCAGGTACTTTAAGAAAGGAGGCGAGAAATAGGAATGGGAGCTTCTAGAGTCGTAGTTGAAGGAGGATGATATTTTGATGAAACGTGTAGGGAATAAGAATATTCGAATCAGGTGTTTATAATTTCACATTTGAAAAGAGAATGAATAGTGGTATGTGTTTTTCAAGGTGCAGCATAGAATAGTAGAAACGTTTTCTATTTCCGTGTTGTAAATATATTAATAATTCAACTTCATGCTGTCTACAACGCAATCATGCTATTTCTTTTCATAAAGTGAATAAGCACAGGAAATGTATTATTCAGAAGCGTAGATAGAAATAAAGGGATAGAGTTAAGGGAAAGAGGTACGAAGTGGCTAGAAAACACAAACGTGACTACTATGAGAGAAAAGAACGATTTCAAGATCATTATATTATGGTAAGATACAAACTACCTCACAACTATGCAGATTTACGAATATAGTTTGACCACAATAGTTTTAAAGAGAGAAAAAAGATAGAATAAAAAAGGTGGCATTTTGGATCACTTTTAATGCAAGACATTGTTGATTTTGTCATTTCTGCTATTAGTAACTACCATATTGATAGTTCCATCATCCAAAACGTTGCAATATGTTTGGGGAAAGGGATGAAACCTAGTGGCTGGATTTCACTCATATTGAGTAATGGAGAATGTATAGTATTGAAATTCGATAACGGAGTATTTATGAATCAAGGATTTGTGGTCAATGAGCAGAAAGTGTTGAAAGTGCTTGGAAATCATCCAATTGGTGATATTTCGTATAATAATGGAGTAGTAGTAGAAGGAATCGTGGATTTGGATCATGGAAGTCGATTTGAAGGTTCCACATTGAAAATAGGAGATGAAAAGAAAGGAATTCCATTTGGATATGGTGAAATGTATGATGATGATGGATTCTTGGTGTACAAGGGTATAATGATCAATTGGAAACGATTTGGCTATGGAACGAGTTATCATAATAATGGATGTATTGAATATGAAGGATATTGGTGTGATGATAATCGATTTGGAAATGGAAAAGTATATGATCGATATGGTACATTAGTGAATGAATGTGAATGGTGTAATGGAGTTGAAAGCAATACCGATTATTGCGGAAATGGCTCAGAACTACTGAATATTGGAATGAAACATTTGAAACTGAGTGACAATTGTGTATTAGTTAATTGGGATGTTTCATTGTTGTATAATTTGGAATCAATCGAAATTGGCAATGACTGTTTTGGATCAGTGCAAACATTCCAAATCGATGGATTGAATCAATTGAAAACTATCAAAATCGGAAGCAATTCGTTTACTCAGGCGAAAAGTAAAGAGAAATGGGATTCTAATAAGGCAAACAACAAGTCGAAATCATTCCACATATTGAATTGTGAATCATTGGAATCCATTCAAATTGGTAAATATAGTTTCAGTGATTATGCTGGAGACTTTGAATTGAAGAATCTACCACAATTACAATCCATTCGAATAGGGACATTTGGAAGTGATTCTTGTAATTTCTATTACAGTTCATTTGTGATTCGAGGTATTGATATGATATTGAATATTTGAATAATGCATAGATCTTCCAAATCTACAATCCATTACATTAGGTGATTGGGCATTTGGTAATTCTTTATCAACAATAATTGAAAGTATTGAATGAATGTGAATGAAATGATCGATGTAGATCTTCCATCATTACAATCCATTCAACTCGGTAATTATGCACTTTGGGGAATATACAGTGATGACTTATCATGTACACTGACAATGCGAAGTAATAATGAATTGATTGTAAATGATTTGCCTTGTAGATCTTCCAAAGCTAACATCCCTTACCAATCCTCAAGGATGGAGTTTCTATAATCCTTATGTAGTGACATTGGCAAGTATTTCTGAAAATTGAATATTGATAGTATTTAGATATTCCAAATCTCCGCAGTGTTGAACTACCTAATGCATTCTTTTTTGTGGAGTCGAAATCAATTTCGAGTATAGTTTGATTGATTTGTTTTATTAATAGATGTTTCTCCCATTCTTGCGGATCTTGTCCTCTAAATCAGCCAGTTCTTCCAGCAATGGATCTACATATTCTATTCTATTCTATCCCATTCAGGGATCATTGTGTATTCATTGCTTGCTTACATTGCTTGATCGTTTGTTTTACACATCCTTACCCTCATTCTTTGGTCATTCATAGATTTAGGATCCAATCATCGACTGACTCTTTTCCATATCACATTCTACATATTGTGTTTCATTCTTTTCATTCATAAACTGGGTAATGGCTGAATCAATTAGTGAATCATCTATAAAAGCAATAATTCGCAGCTGTCTGTCTTTCCGAATAATAAACGTATAACCTTTGATGCATTACAATTCCTACGGATAGTTTATACTCAATATGTTTGTTTTCCAAATGCATGCTTTCATCCTTTTCTTGTTCTACCTCCACTATCGACAGTCTGCACCTTTTTTATTATGCTGTTATCTAAGTATTTCTAGTTACGGATAAACAACTACCCCTCTCCATACATAACTATTTTCATATATCCCTTTAGACTGCAGTCTCTTCATTACGAAAACACTGATTATTCTTACGATCTACAGCAAATAACAATCCTAAAACTATCAAAACCGATTCAAAGTTGGTCTAACTACCTAATGAGGTCTCCTATCTCTTATTGGCATCCTGTAATCATCCACTACTTCAAGAGCCAGGTCAATACCCTACACACATAAAATCCCCTAGCAACGGTAAAGAAAATCCTCTCTACCTTCATCCCTCAATCCCTGCTCATTGTTACAATTATTCTAATAACACAATCAACTTTCTTTGAAGAAACTCACCGTTTATCAATCAACAAACTCCTATCTCCCAATTTCTTCCATTATCATCAATTCAAAACCTACTAGCAATAACATCTTACGAATTCACATCTTTCGACAAATTCTAACGTTCTATCTCACTACTGCATATCAACATTCTCCGTTTCATCTCGTTTTCCATTCCTTCTTCCTTCCTACCAGACTTTCTCACTTTCCTATCCAATATCATTCCCACTTCCTCTATAATCAACCTCTCTTTTCCAATAGTTTTCCCACACAAATTCCCTCCTCAACCTCTCGCAATGATTTCTTCTCTATTTCTTCCTTTATATTGGAATGGATGAAGATTCAAAAGAAAAAGAGTTTGAAGAACATAACAAAGCAGGAAATTGTACTTTCAAGGATAGGAAGTATGAGAAAGCGATTCGCTTCTATGATTATGTAATCTTGCTATATTTATTTTCATAATTCAAAATTTTGAACTATTCTCCAAAGTACCTCACTGCTATTAAAATCGTTTTGCTGTTTATCTTGGAGCTGGAGATCTGTTTTGGGTTTTTGCAAATGTTGAGAAAGTGGTCGATATACGCTTAACGTGGCCAAAAGAGTACTTCCATAGAGATTCTGTGTTTTTACCTTTTAAAACTACAAAGAAGGCATCAAAACGTGTAAAACTGGTAAGCGTCGCATTCTGTGTACTCACTCAAAGCTCTCTCCCTTGAACCAATCAATGAAGCAGATATTCACATTTTAAAAGTTTTAGACAAGCCAACATGCGCACACGTACCTTCTTTTCTCCCATCCTCTCTCTCTAGGAAAGCCAGGACTTCGCAACCTTTGAAGAGGCGGAAAACATGTTGGACGGAAATTCCACGATCGAAAGTGGTCGCATCCGCCTGCGTTTCATCCGTCAAGACCAGAAGCTGGAAGAGTTCAATTCCTCGATCAACGAGGACTTCAAGCCAGTGATCGACAGGCAGAAAAACTGGAGTGTCTCGGATGATGGAATCGTCCACATGACCTTTATCCAGCACAGAGAGTATCTCTCCGAAAAGAACATGTTCACACTGCTCGTTCTTCCCTTTCCGATCCTCGTCATAATAATCCAACCCCCACCACGTACTGAT